TATAGTGGGTTCGAGCTCATTCTCAGGATTATAAACTTTTTCTATAACAGATTCGTTTAAAAACTAATTTTTTTTAAAATTAGTTTCGATCCCGGAACCTATCCCAACGCCCAGACACTTCCTCCTCAATCTTTTCGTAGAACCCCGAGGGGGGAGTCCGACTACGGTATACACCCATTTGACGGGCGGGGGTAGCTGTTAATCAGCGGCGCTAGTGGGACCCTCGCACGCTCTACAATTTTTTTCGACTGTCGGCGGGCAGAAGGCTGGCGGTGCGGTTGATCAGGCTGTAGCCGCGGGTGTACCGGTATGACAATTTGGGATACGGTAGCTGTCTATGGCGATTATCGGGTAAAAAAGGCTCGGAATTCGGTTCATTTTGTTCGTTTCCGTACGTTTTTCGAAAATCAGCCAAAATCCCGACAGGTCGAAACCCCGAAAGCCAAAACCCCGACAGCGAAAGACCCCGACAGCCAAAATCCCGACAGCCAAAATCCCGACAATCAAAATCCCGACAAGCAAAAATCCCGACAAATTCTAGACGCGAATTTGAATGCCGTTTATTTTTAAGCGGCTAATGTCGGGATTTTCGGAATCGGAATTTCCTTCTGTCGGGATTTTGGAATTTTCCAAGATAATCCAGACCTTCCACTTCCCCTTAAAATCGCCTAAAAACCCCAGAATTAACCCACGCGTCCAGAGGATTATTGTGTAGCACGCCGGCTAATCGGACAATTTACGGGGCCGTTGCAATTCGCGGGTTCGGAAGCCCGTGAGAGTGATAGGCGTGAAGTGATGGGGGTCCCAGGGCGAAAAGATAACAATTCAAGCCTGCCCCTCCCCCGATCCAGCACCCGGCAATTGCTACTGATTTCTGTTTTCTGGAGGATTTCTGAATTCCCCACTAAATCCATGCACTATGATGACTTCCCCGGTCCCTCGGAGCCTGTCAATTATTACTACGGTAGGCGGGCCAGTTTTAGGGCCGAATTTCGATTGTTATGTTTTTTAAACGGTAGGAAAAGTGTCTAGCTATAAATAAAAAAATATACTAGCTGAAATTAAGGATTTTGCGCTTCCCCAGCCCCTTTAAAGATGTAAAAATGACAATTTTTCAGGAAATTTATAGTAAAAATGCGATTATCTAAAAAAATACTAAAAAACCCGCTGTCACCATCCCTTTAACTTTTTTATTTGACTTACTCGCCGAAGAAGAAGATCATCTACCTGACTTCCTACGGAATTCTTTAAAACATTTATTACACGCGAGTTACGGCAAAAAGGTCATCTACACGAAAATTGAGCTCATAACTGGGTATCTACTTGATTTTCTGCCGACGCGGCCCTTAAAAAGCAAAATCTATTAAATACTCGTCGAGAAACATGATCATCTACCGCAAAGGATTTTTTTAAATCCCAGGGGAAGCAAAAGAACAACATCTACGCGAAAACGAAGCCTATGAATGATCATCTACTGGAACCGAGCTGTCGGCATAGCTTTAAAGCAAAATTTAATCCGTACTCGTCGAGGAACAAGCTCAACTACTCGAAAGTGCGGCGTATGATTGAATTTCCTAGGAATTACAGGTGCCGCCCTTCCTTTAAAAGGCAAAATTTACTGCGGACTTGACGAAGAACAAGAACATCTACTTCAAGGAGATTTTCACGCCCAGATAAAGACATCTACTCGAAAATTAAGCCTATAATTTTCCTTGTACTCGCCGAGGTACAAGTTCATCTACCCGACGTGTCCCTGTCGCCATCCCTTTAACCCAAGTATCCCACTCTCCAAACCAACCAGCCACAAATCGATCCCCCCCCCCCAAACCAACTACCATATGCAGTAGGCCATTGGCCACTGGCCCCCTGAAGGGGCGTGGCCCTACACCCCCATACAGCCAACCCCACCCCACCCCCTTCCAAGATCCACCCATCGACGTCCCGTTCTGAGAATCCACAGAGTGCCCCTCATCGGCTGGGAGTCTCCCACCGTCACCTCCATCTCCACCTCTTCCTCCTCCTCCTCGTCGGCTTCATCCTCTATGGACTACTCGCTCGACCCTGCCACACAACAGCCACCGCCACCGCCACTACCGCAGATCCCCAACGACGGCGGCCTGCACGCGAACGGTGCGATTCCAGGGGGTTCGGGGAAGGGAGCGGAAAACCGGGGTGGCTTGGGCTTTGGGCATGGGTATTGGAACCTCGTGGATTGGAATAACGAATTTTTAGAGTCTAGATTTTTCGTGATATCGAAAGGGGAATTTTTCGCGATAAAAATTAAGGCTCTAAAAGGAAAAATTATGAAAATTTTACATTAAAAACCCGATATTCTCCTTTTTCGACCGCAAAAAGACGATATATTTAGAAAGACAAATTACTAAAGGTATATGCCCTGATAAAAGTACGCCCAAAAAGCCCAAGCCACGCCGGAAAAACCTCGGAAGAATTTTTAAGGAACATCAGCTATCGAAAAATCCTTTATTCGCTCTATCTCACCCTCTCTCGCTGCTCTCTCTATCTCTCACTCTGGCTCTCTCTCGCGCGGCTCTCTCTCTCTAGCTTTCCCGCTCACTTTCTCCCTATCTCACTCTCTCTGGTTCTCGATCTCTCACTTTCCCTCCGGCTCTCTCTCTCTCTCTCTCTCTCTCTCACTTTCTCGCTCACTCTCTCAACCTCGTTCTCTCTCGCTCACTTGCTCTCACTCTCTCTCCCCTTAGAATTTCGCTACTCGCCGTATCCGGCATTTTTTGAATTCCCTTAAAAACAACTTTTTCACCTGACTGAAAGCTGATGCTCCTTAAACACCTCCTCGAAAAAACCCGCCCAACTGAGCTCCACCCTTCCAGTCGGCCTCCTTGCCACCGTCGGCGATGGCGGAACATCGGCGGCGGCCGTCGCCGCCCAATCCGTCGAGCAGCAAACGATGCTCGCCTACGATGCCCTTGCCCAACTTGGCTACGGCTCGGCCGGAACTACCGCCTTTCACCAAGCCATCCAGCAACAACAGCAACAGCAACAGCAACAGCAACAAGACTACTACTACACCACCCCCAGCAGCAGCCCGAGATGTGGCAGGCGCAGTTCGCTCAGCTGCCCCTTGTACAGGCCCGCCATCCCCTCATCTACCACCAACAGCTCCACCACTATGCCACAATGGGTACGGTGTGGTGGGGCGCGTTTTAGGGGGTTGAGGATGAGAAAACGCTCATGCTCGCTTTGGTTTTTCCCCAAAAAACTGCTAGAATTTGCGATGGAAAGGCGTTTTCTTTTTTTCTCTTCCATCTCTCATTAATAATTATTATTAATCGGTACTGGGCTGTTAACGAGGGGGGGGGGCTTATCGAAGAAGCCAATTCTTTTTTTTTACGTATACCCGCCTGTTAACAGTATCTAATGTATTTTTATAATATTTTTAGCATATACTAATTGCTAGCAAATTAAAAAAATTTTAAAATCGTAAATTTCGACCGTTTTGGCCGTTTTTCATACTTTTATGACTGAAAGGCGAAAATCAAGATAATTTCTATGATGTTTATGAGATTTTTATGTCTACAAACGTTATAAATGCTATGAAAATGATGTACAAAATGCTCTAAAACCGTCATAAACCGGAATAACCGGCAAACCCCCCCCCCGTTAAGAGATAAGAACCGTTAATTCTCAGTTTCGGCCTATGCCTAGAAGGTGGTGAATTTTTCAGTTTTTTATTTATTTTCCAACTTTTTATTTTTTTATTTTAATACTTTATATCAATATAATTACTATATTCATTTAGTGCTTTTATTAATTTATAGTCTAACGTTAACTTTAACCCAATTTTAGCCTTACTTCTCGATTTTTCTTCAAGATTACCAAATCAACCAAATACCTACCGGTCACTTCAAATACCTACCCCTGCCCCGATAGACCCTTAAAAAGCCTCCCCCTCCTCCTCCCCTCCGCAGCCCATGCTCCCCGTTTTTGCTAGCCGCCCCTGACTTTCCTCGATCGCTCGACTCATCGCTTTTTGCGGTGGTATCGGGCCTTTTTTGAGGCGCGCCCTCCCCACTTTTGGTCAACACCCCGGGTGGTCGTCGATTCAAATTATTCAGGCTGATGGAATGGGCAAGCTTAAACGCTTGGCTATGCCTCTTATAAAGCGCAAACTAGTTTAAAACTTTTTTAAGATCTCCATTTTCTCGTTAGCTAGAATGGCTCAAAATCTTTGTGGGTGTCCATGACCAATCGATGCTCTCAGCCCCCTCGAAATTCCCATGAGCCGAATCGGGCGACCAGCTCCAAACAATATGCTAATCATAACCCTGGATACGGTAGCAAGATGTTATGCCGAAAATGGGGCAAATTCATGAAGCTTGTAGCGATGAAATTGAATTGGTGAAAAACTGGGCCTGACTTAACTTTTTAACTCGCCGATTGCCAAAATCACCTTTTAAGTCATTCGTATGTTAATTTTATAGGTTTGGGAATCGTAAAAAACCGAAATCGGGGCTTTCCCATTATCGGGGGGGTCGGGCACCGGGATGTTCAATTAATTTCCAGGAATACCTAGTACGGTATTAAGTATTTTAATACTCTTTTCAATAAAATTTAAATATATTTCAAGTGGTAAAACTAACGAAAAACATAAAAAAATTTTGATATCAGAATTTCGATCAAAATCGGCGATTTTTGTTAGAAAAATCGATTTTTGTATTTTTCAATAAAATTTTTGAAGTCTTTGCGCTTGGGAATAACAAAAATGGCATAGAACGCCTAGATGAAAAAATTAGCTACTAAAGAAAAAAGTTGGTCCCCCGATAAGAGAAAAGAACCGCTTAGGAATAAATAGCAGAAAACCGAAATCATACAGATAAAAGTTGATTTGGCCGTTCATATAATTGAAACTTTTAACGTCTAATTAAACTTTTCACCGCCCTTTTTCAGATCCCAGCTTCTACACGGCGAATGCGGCAGCGGCAGCCGGTCAATTCGGAGATGGCAGTCCCTTCTACCCCCTTATGCACACCCATCATACCCAAATCACCGACGCGATCCCTGTCGACCAGCCGAAACCACTCACACAGTAAGCTAGCCCTCCGTTTAAAAGCCTAAGCATTTTTCTAGGGATAAAATGTCGCACTTCTTGAAGAACCGCGAACGACTGGAGTGCCGGGTGACGATATTCCACGCCAAAGTCGCGCAGAAGAGCTACGGCAACGAGAAACGGTTCGTTTTCTAGAAATTCCGACTAGAAGTTGGCGCGCTTGGCACTGGTGCGTTATCGGGGGGGGGAGTTGTCGGGCGGAAAACCATTTTTTTACCGCAGGCTCGAGCATTACTACAACACGATTGAAAGAGACTTTTGCATTATCGGGGGGGCGCGACTTTTTCTTTGGAGCCAATTTTTATATTATAAACAGAACGTGTTTCTAAACACTTTTTCGCTATTCCTAAACGCAAAAATTTTAGAAATTTGATTACAAAAATACCGAAAATGTCGTTTTTCGACAAAATGACGGGTTTCCGAGCAAAAATTTCGAATTGTATGCTTTTTTAAGGTTTTGCCGGCAGTTTTTCTACTGAAAATATAGTTGCATTTGACAGAAAACTTATTATTTTTAAAACTTATTCAATGAGATAGTTGAGAAGGCAAAAAGAGCGTAAACTGGACCGTCGCGTAGTCCTTTTTGGTCGTTTTGTAGAATTCTTAGTGTCGTGAAAAACTAACTCTCTGATCGCGTTTTTGCGCGTAATTTAATTTCTTCTAGAGCTTCAGTGCTGAAAATCCTTATTTTAGACGTAATTTACCATATCGCAAGGTTTTTTCTGGCGTTCAAGCCATGTCAAAACGCGCGCTAACTGGGCCCCAATGGGCCCCACCCAACCCCCGGATGACCCCCCAAAGCTATGTGCATACCAAATTATTTGTGCCAATTGCCCCCCGGTGGCGCAACTATGGCGCCCGGAAACAAAATCCTTGCGCACACCCGGCTGCCCGGATAGAGCCTCAACCCCTAAAGAGGGCACTCTATAGGGTGGCAAGAAGGAGGAGGAGATGGCCTAATAGAGTCCGTATTGTGTCTCAATTAGCACCCCCACCCCTCAATGTTTGTCTCTCTGCCCATCCGCTCTCTCTCTCTCTCTCTCGCTCCCTCTCTCTCGCTCTCTCTCTTTTCTGTCTCTGCCTCTCCCATATGTTGGCCATTAACGGATTTCGGATTACCGTGTCCGGGGCCGAGGATTCTAGAGTTGCGCATGCCAGCGAGAGAGAGGGAGAGAGAGAGAGGGAGAGAGGAGAGAGAGGTTGCGCATGCCCTCCGGCTGACCCTAACGAATCGGGGGTTGGGGCATAATTTAGGGGGACCAACAACTTCTTGGGAAATACCTGGGATTAGCTGCAATCAGCTTGAGACCAGAACAGCATTGGGGATGCTAATTAGCGTGCTAGAAGTCGGGGTTACGGTAGGAATATTTATGGTGTTATATGGCCTTAAAAGGTCTGTAGACCTAGACTTAAGGGGCACCTAGTTCCCCCTTGCTAAAAATCACCCCCCGCTAACAACCCAGTGCCGACTTAGGCCTGGTCTTTTTTTTCTTCATTTTGTTAAGGCGCTTGAGAAGTCAATTCGGAAAAGAATTGGGATGATAATTAGCACTCTAGGAATGAGGGAGGGCGGTTACTGTAGGGTAAGAGCGCAAAAATTGCAAATATCGGTCCCCCGATAATGTAAAAGGTCCTTAATTTTTATGATTGTCCTATATGTAGAATTATACAAGTCCAAATCGCTTCAAAGCCAAGTTATCCAAACATCCAGTAACAGTACCCAAAAACAGCCAGGTGCTACTACCATCATGCCGGCTGGCAGCCCCCCAGGCCCCTCTGTTTGTATTGGTCTGTCTCTCTCTCTCTCCCTCTCCCTCTCTGTCTGTCTGTCCGTCTATCTGTCCGTTAGTCTATTTATCTCATGCTCAACCTTGGCCATATTTGGACAAGTGGCCAATTGGCGCGGGGGGTAGCAAACTCATTGGGTCCCCCGCAACGCATCCTCTGGCCCTTTGATGTCGGGCCCCGGAGCGTGGCCCGAAAGTTTGGAGCGCCACCCGGCAAGTGGCCCATCCCGCTATCCATGCAAATAAACAAGCCGCCTTTGGGGGATAAGCCGAGGTACGGTTTGGGCTAATAGTTGTGAAAGTTCCGCATTTTTTTTCCGATAATCCAGAAACTTGGACAATACCAAATCGGAGACTCGATGCCAAATAAAGAATCTCCAGAAATTTTTCGCAATTCATGCCTTATACCGTAATAGCAAGTATTTAATAGCTTTTTTAGTGAAATTTAGCTTCACTTTTTTTCTTCACAATTCGAATGGACCTTTATTTTAGCCGGAAAAATGTAGTTTTTCCGATACAAATTCACCAAAATTTCGACTCATTGAAACCTTTTTATCACTTTTTGAACGTTTGTAAAGTACTGAAACCTTTTTCGCTGAGCAAGCCAGACACAGAAGATTTGAATGAGAAGTGATGGGGGCTAGTAAATGGCTATTATGAATAGAAAGGACCACCCATTCGGGCACCCAATCATCGCGGTAATAAAAAATGTCGGGCTTTTTTGTTCGAGCGAGCGCACCCTGCCTGGGATTGGCTTACGTGGGAGTACGGTAGCTGGAGCGCTATCTACCTTTCACCAATCCCTTTTCTGACCCAGCTAATAAAATTACAAGCTTCATTTCGGTTGGGCATGCAAAAAAATGCGTCCAAAACTCGGATTTCCAGATTTTTCTGCCCACCCCCATGCATCTACATCGAAGGCGAGGGCTGGAAGGAGAAGAAGGTGGCCGTGCAGACACTGTATAAGGAGTGGCGGGTAGGCGCATATTTTTGAAAATTCGGTTTAAAAAAAACATTCTCCTTCCAAATTTTTGAAATCGGCCCACGCTACAGCCGGGGTGTTTCCTAAAGCGTGGATGTGGCCCCTTGGGGGGAAGAGGGCCTGCCGTGTCTCAATCCCATCAGCCTGTTGGCTCATTGGTTTCGTGTTCGCTTGCCGCGCAGAAGGGTCGGGTTCGACCCACAGCCGTGACGTGGCTTTTTGCTTTTGCATAAAAAGCTCGGAGTTGGATTTTTTTCAACGCATTTAGTCTTTTTCCTTACAAATTGTCAAAATTTACATGAAAAGATCACCCGAGAAATAACCCAAATACAATGCACAAACATCGACATATAAACACATTTCAACATTACGAAATTTCGACACCATGATAGCAAATTGCTTTTAGTTGCATCAAAAACGTGCCAATCAACTCCCCGAATACACAGCTGAACAAGAAAAACAACAGGAAGAGCAGGTTCTACCAAAATTAATGCTCTTACATCCCAAAATTTAGGCGGCGGAATTGGTGTCCTACATTGGCATCGGCGGCTCCTCAGAACAAGACCGTCAGGCCCTCGATTTTACGAATGGGAAGGTGAGCGGAGATTTGCATTATTCTAAACCGCTTTTTAATGTGTATAATCGTAAAAACCTTAAAAATTTTGCGAAAAAATAGAAAATAGGAAATTTTCGACCAAAATTGCCGATTTTCGCCAAAAAAAAATTCAAAACTCGAAGTTTTCTTAGATGATTTTCTATTTGAAATATAGCTAAAAATTACTAAAAACACGATAAAAATACTACGTTAAAACGTTAATAGGCGCTTCGCGTGAAAATATATTAAATCCAAGCATAATGCAAAAGAACCGATTAAAGTACTTAAATTTTCGGAATTCTGTAAAAGATTTCCCCCCCCCCGATATTGCACAAGGACTGAAATTCTGTTGTTTTAAAATTAATCGGGTATTCTTAGGACTACTGCGCCGCGAAAACGCTGTACATCTCCGACGCCGACAAGCGCAAGTATTTTGAGCTGAACGTCGCCTTCTTCTACGGGTGTCACCATCAGATTGGCAACTTTGCCAGCCAGAGGATTAAGGTTTGTATTTAAAAAAAACCCAAAAACCCCCCAAAAAAATTTAAATTTTTTTTTTTTTACCCCCAAGAAATATCGAATAAAATCTAAATCCCAACTTTCTAGGTGATCAGCAAGCCGTCAAAGAAAAAGCAGTCGATGAAGAACACGGACTGCAAGTATTTGTGCATCGCCTCGGGGACAAAGGTATTTTTTATTCTCTTATAGAATTTTTTTGTTATTATTTTTATTTTATTATTTACGTTTATTTTTATTTTTATTATTTCCGTCCAGGTAGCGCTGTTCAATCGGTTGCGCTCCCAAACGGTCTCCACACGCTACCTCCACGTCGAGAACGGGGCCTTCCACGCGTCGTCGTCAAAATGGGGCGCGTTCACGATCCATTTGTGTGAGTTTTAAGTTTAAACGGGGGTTTTTAAATGGCGCAGATTTACCAGATTTAAAATATACAGTTTTATTATTTTAATATTAAGCAATTTTATTATACTTTTAGATTCTTTTGAATTATCGGGGGGGGGCCAATTATTTTTTATAAGTCCAGAATTGTCTAGTAATAGAATAAGTACAATTTTAATAGTGTTTTTAGTAAATTTTATCGATTTTTCAAGAGGATAAACGCCTAAAAACTTTTTAAAAATTGAAAAAATCGAATTTTGGTCGAAATAGGTATTTTTTTGTAAAAAATTTTAAGATTTTTGCGTTTAAGTATCTTAAAAAAAGTATAAAAACACTTTACGTATTTATATAGATAAACTGGGTCCTAAAAAAAGTTTGTCATCCCCCGATAATGCAAAAGCACCAAATACCTATTTCTTCTAGACAACGACGACCCGTCCACCGCCGAATCGGCCGACTTCAACGTGAAAGACGGGTACATCTACTACGGGGCCGTCGTCAAGCTGGTCGATTCCGTCACCGGAATCGCCTTGCCAAAGCTGCGCATCCGGAAGGTCGACAAACAGCTCGTCCAGCTCGACGTCGGCGTGGAGGAGCCGGTTTCGCAGCTGCACAAGTGCGCCTTCCAGATGGTGGACAATGAGCTCGTCTACCTCTGCCTCAACCACGACAAGATCATCCAGCATCAGGTGCGTAATTTTGTAGCTTTTCGGAATATTAAAAATTTTCCAGGCCACCCGAACCGATGAGCATCACCATCAGATCAACGACGGGGCGGCGTGGACGATCATTTCCACGGAAAAGGTAGGAATTTTCTCAGGAATATCAGTTTTTTCCTCTTCCAGGCCGAGTACGCGTTCTACGAGGCGATGGGCCCGGTGCGCGACGTGGTGACCCCGGTGCCGGTGGTGACCTCGCTGGACATGATGCAGGGCGGCCACGAGAGCCCTCGTATCGAGCTGCAGGGCGTCAACTTCCGGCAGAACATGAAGATCTGGTTCGGCAGCACGCCCGTTGATACCATGTTCCGGTGCCTTTTTTGAGGATCATACCGGGCGATCTAGAAATTTCACAATGTTGATATTCCGGTTCTGGTTCGTTAGCGGGGGGGGGCTAGGTCGGAAAATTCATAAATACCATGCTTTTCCAGTTCTGACGAATCGCTGACGTGTATCGTCCCGTCGTTGGCCGTGATTCGCGAGGATTTCGCTGATGGCGACATGTTTGATGTGAGTGTGAGGCTCTCCCCTCTCCCTCTCTTCCTCTCTCTATCTCTCTCTGACTTTCTGTCTCTCTCTCACTTTCTGTCTCTCTCTATCTCTCTCTCTCTCTCTCTCTCTCTCTCTACAAGCGTCCGATTTTGACTATCGAGTACACCCTGTACACGGAAACCCCCATTTTCCAGGTGCCCATCTCGCTTGTCCGTGACGACGGGGTCATCTACTCCACAAACATGACCTTCAGTTATAAGGTTCGTTAAAAAAAAAAAATAAAAAAAAATTAAAAAAAAATATTTTTTAAAATTTTTTAACTTTTTTCTTTTTTTTCTTTTTTTTTTTAATTTTTTTTTTTTAAAAAAATAAATTTTTTTTTTTTTTTTTTTTTTTTTAATATTTTTTTTCACAAAAAAAATTTTTATATTTAAAAAAATTTTTTTATTATTTTTTTTAAATAATAAAAAAAATAAACCCCTAAAGGAATTTAAAATTTAAATTGCTTTTAAACTAGTTTACAAAAAAATTTGAAATGAAGCAAAAATCCAATCCTTTCAGTCTGCTCACCCGCTGGCCCGTGGCTATCGCTGCTGATGCTCCCCGTCAAAATTGAGTGCCAACCCTAGATTGCCAACCCAACACGATGTTTGAGTGCCTTGTAAAGAAAAGCCAAACCTATTTTTTTCGTTAGTTTTCCCTGATTTCGTCTACTTCTCACCGCTATCCCCCACCTTTTACCTGATGTCAACGGGTGCCAAAATCAGCCAAAATTACCCCCCTTTTTAGCCCCCCTTTAATACACATATTCCTCTACATTTTCCCACGGTCGTCCGGTGTTACTGTAATTTAATTATGCAACGAAGCTGCTGTTTACGAAAGTCAAGCCTCCGGGTACTGGTGCGTTAGCGGGGGGAGGGACAATTTTCTTTAGTCTCTATATCCTACAGGCTAAAAATAAATTATTTTTCTAATTTTTTTGAAGTTTTGGATGGCTAAAAATCATGAAAACTATTTAGAAAAATTGTTTTTATTTTTACTTCCTAATTTTAACAACTTTTTCAATTGGAGGCTAAAATTTGCTAAAATTTTCGCGGTTTTTTAAGCTTTTCAAGATTATCAGCCCCCCCCGCTAACGCACCAGTACCCAGAAAAGACGTCTCACCTTGCTGGGTCTTATCAATCCTCTAAAGCATTTCGAATTTCTATAAGAAAAAAATCCGCAAAGCGATCTCCCGGACAACATTTCGACGCCCCCGAATCTACTAGCAGTTGTTCAGGCAAAAAATTAAAATGTGCCCCCCGCCGCCGCGTCTGTATTCGATGCTTTCACCATGTGCTTTTCTTGGCCCTGCAATAAAGTGTTATATGTATTTTTCGCACTTTTTATTGTTCTAAAATGCAGTTAAAGCAATCACAACGTACATTGGTAGATTCGGGCATGAGAATTTGCATATTTGGGGGTATTATCCTTAAGGGTAAACGTCAAAACCACGACAGTGATAATGCCGACAGGCTATAATGCCGACAATCATAATGCCGACAGGCAAGAATTCAGACAGTTCTAATGCCGACAACGAAAATGCCGACAATCAAAATGCCCGCAACTTCCGACTAGTTGGTTGTCGGTATTTTAGTTTACGGAGTTTGGCTTGTCGGCATTTTGGCCCGTCGGGCTTTTGGTTTTCGGGATTTTTGCTACTCCATATATACATTTTTTAAGGCACAAATAAAGCATAGGAACAGACACGTATATGGACAAATAGGCTGCGAAATCAATAAAGGGCGTGAAATCAATAAAAATTGGGGTTTTTTAAACGTTGAGGTATCGGGGAAGTTAACAACTTTCTGGTAGAAAAAGTCAGATTTTCCTGATAAAAAAATGCCGTATGCCCTGTAATAAAAAAGGACATATTTTTAACTTTGTTATCAAAATTTGGAAAAATTAGGTTTTAAGAAAAATCGAAATTTAAAAATTTTTACAACATCTTAATGGCAAAATTTGGCCGATTTTGAACGATATTTACAGCTTGGAATGACTGTTATGCGTAGTTTTGAATTTTCGCACCCAATTTTGGCACTTTTCTACTAACGGGGGGTATAATGGAGCGGAGGAGGTTAATATTAGAGGCGTTACAGTATTCAATTTTCGACACAATTTTCGAGCTTTTTAAGACTATTTTTAAACTTTAGCTATTCCCACGGCCCTTGTAGAATCCGCCGCCCGTCGCCTCGGCCAGCGACACCCTGGAGTTGTCGACGATCGGCGATGATCGCTGCGGGACCCCCCGGGCCACCGCAGCCCCACCAGCGTCTGCCGACGGGTTGATCAGGTTGCCGAGCACGGTGAGCGCGCCGAGCATCAGATTCTCGCGCTCCATCCCCTCAACTCCTCCGCCGCCTCCGCCCATCATCGGTCCCTCATCGCCGAAATCCATAGGGCCAGGCCGACCTGGAAATAATTGCTATTAATTGAATTAACTGGAAAATTTGTAGAAGGGTGCTAGGTTTTTGAGCTCTTTTCCATTATCGGGGGGGGGGAGGGATTTGTTACGATCCAATTTCCCTTATAAAAATCGAGGTAGTCTTTCTACACCGTTTCGCGCTATTCCCAAATTTTCAGAAATTTATAAATGGTACTAAAAATAGAAAAAATCTATTTTTTTTATCCAAATGCAAATTTTTCTCAGTTTTCCTAGTTTTTTTTCAGTTAAAATAGAGCTAAATTCTACCAAAAAAAAACCAGGTGCTACACTACTAGGGATAAATCAGGTTTTTAGGCAAGAGCCCCCCCCGATAATGGAAAAGAACCGAGAAAATTTATCGCTCAGGTAACGGTTACGCGATCTAAAGATCTTGGGAATTTGCTAGATGCTCAACGTAGTGCAAAAATTCCTATTTTCCAAGGCACCTGAACGGTCACTAAAACAAGTTTTCATCGCCGCTAGACGCCCTCTAACGGCTTGAGGGTGTACTTAGGAATGCCGCGGAAAGTGGCTACAATGATGTGTCACCAAATCTACGACGTACTTCAGCCCTAAAAACCTATGGAAAAGTGTCAGACCTTGTTAAGAATTCTTTAAAAAACTTTAGAACCTTTAGAAGCCAATTTTTTTTTTTTTTTTTTTTTTTTTTTTTTTTTTTTTTTTTTTTTTTTTTTTTTTTTTTTTTTTTTTTTTTTTTTTTTTTTTTGGTTTTTTTTTTTTTTATTTCTGTAATTTTAGACCCGGTCCACCACCAAACACGCCCGCCAAAGCCAAATTCCTGTCTTTAGATCGTTATATGTTATGGTTAGTACGCGAATAGCCACTTACAGACCATAGGGGCCACCGCTGGACGACGTGAACCGTCCGCCGTCCCCGTTCATCCAGCCCATACCCGGGTGCCAGCCGCCACCGCCTGAAAGCGCGCACTTTAGCCGACAGCTTTTCATCGCGTAACCAATTTTTGCTGTTTCTGGAGTTATTCTAGCAGAATATCCATACTTTGAACTATGAGCCGGGGCGTGAAAGAGAGAGAGAGAGAGAGAGAGAGGAAGAGAGAGAGAGCGAGGCAGTGAGAGAGAGCGAGAAAGAGAGAGAGTGAGAGAGCGAGCGAGAGAGAGAGCGCGCTAGAAAGAGCGAAAAAAATCATATTTTCGTGCCTACAGGCGGTTTTTTAATCGTTTAAACTGTAAGTGAAAGCCAGCAAAACTTGCCTCCCATCATTGGCATCCCCTGGCTGCCGTACCCATAATTCCCACCATAATACCGCGGTCGACCCCAGAAGCCCATCGGCTGTGGCATCATCGCCGGCGCGTTCCCTAAATCGTGCCCCTTGGAAAAGAGCGTCGTTCTCCTCACCAGCCCCTTGATACGGTGCATCGCCTGTGATCGACTTCAGCTCGGCCATCCCGCCCGCAGCCACGGTAACTCCGACGAGGGTGCAGAACACTAGAAACAGATGGTACTGGTGCATTAGCGGGGGGGCTTTCGGGGTGCGACCTAAGTCTGACCCTACTAAAAAATCTCGACACTTCGAAACTTTTGCTTTTTTTAATTTTAGAAAAGGTTAGAGAAAAATATTTTCTTCTCGAAGTTTAGTTTTTGATATAAGTACAGGGATTTTTATACGCTTTTTCCTATCAAAGATTTCTCTAAAATACAAAAATACCGATTTTACGCCCAAAATTTCAAATTTTTCAAAATTTCCACGGTTTTGTAAATAATTTTTCCCAACTAAAAATATCCCTACATCTTGCAAAAAACACTATTAAAATACTTAATCTTACGTTACTAGGCTTTTCTAATCTCGTTGGAAAAACTGGGCATCCCCCTGATAATGCAAAAGCTCCAGCTAAAATGTATCCTATGAGTTAGAGATTAAGTGGCCTCAATAAGCTTCCCCCCCCCTAATGCACCAACACCAAAAAATCCCAAAAAACTCTAAGATACTGCCTCACCTATCAAATTGCGCATCGTCGTATCGTAGCGTATCGTAGCTCAGCGTACAGTAGCCCGATTGCGTTGTTAGTGGCCGAATGTAGCCGACGAAGCAGCTCTTGCTGTGCCCGTTGAAGTGGTAGAGGAGGTGTTGGAGGAACTGGTATTTGAGGGCGAGGTGAAGATGGGCAAGTTGTATTTGGTTGTGGATGGGAATGAGCGTGAGGGAAAAAGAGGAGGAGCACGAGGGGAATTGAGGGGAGGGCGGTCTCGAATATTTGGCGAGTGAAAGGGGAGGGACCGGCCATCTCAATCCGCCATTCATACCTCCAAAATTCCCTCAACCGTATCCGGACGATTGACAAATCCGCGGATTTCAGGTTGAGCTGGCCCGATAAGCCAAACCGGATGGTACCCAGGATTACGGTTGTATACGGTGGAATAGGATGGAGTACGGTGGAATACGATCGAACACGGTGGAGTACGCAGGAGTACCGTGGACTACACATGAGTACTGTGGAGTACGGTGGATTACCGTGGAGTACGGTGGAGTACGGCAGGGTACGGTAGAAGGGTCTTTTGCTATATCGGGGATGTCAATTTTTTTAATTTGAATATACTTCCGGGAATGCAGAACCCTATAATAACTGTTTTCATAGTGTTTTTGGTAGAATTTAACTATATTTAAAGTTGAAAAGCTATCTAAGATCCAAAAAAATTACATTCGGCTCGAAAAGCCCTATTTTTTACATTTTTTAGCAAAAAGCTGTAATTTTTGTAAATATATACGTTGAGCAATAGTAAAAACATATTAGAAACTTTTTCTCAATTTCGATGAAAAAGATTTGATCCAGAAAATGTGGCTCCCGCAGATAATGCAAAAGCATGTATGGTGGCTTGTCAGGTGCAAAATTAACGAATTCTTGCAATGTTTCGTAAAAGCCATTTATGTTTATTTTTCAAGCTTTTAATGAAAACATAAATTCATGATTTTCTTAGTTTTTGGTTGAAAGTTTCTAGTTTATAATTTGCATCGTAAAAACGCCATTAAAAACTTTAAATTTTAAGCCAACAGTCTGACCAATTTGGCGTAAAAATGGATAAGCTTACCTTAATTAGCTTACCATAATTTTACCTTTGTGATGTTTTCCCCTTTCCTCGAATTTTCCAGGAGAAAATTTGCCTAAAATCGTCTTGTTTTCTTGCGTCACCGATTCTCCTCATGCACTTTGCATACAGATTATCCGAAAAATGGGCTGTAAACACCGAAACTCCACGAAATTCGCAATTTCCATGCCCCGACGACCTTGGCCAGAGGAGGGTTGTGGAGCCGAGGAGAATCCACGCGGGGGGATGCGGCCCATTTATAACGAGCTTTTCTTCCCGCTTTTCCCGGGGTGATCTCTCCCTTTTCTGGACAATGGACGGTGGGCGAACATGCATCTCTCTCTCCCTCTCTCTCTCTCTCTCTCTCTCTCGATTTCCCTGGATTGTTCCCGAGATTCCATGCCCATTCCGGGGAACTTTCTCTGACTCACCAACCTGAGAGTTACCTCACTTGTTAAAATTGACATACCAGAACAGGGAAAATGTTTTTTGGGATCAAAATCGTGCATTTGTTAAATTTGACTTTTGATTCATTTATTTCCAAAATACTTAACTATCTGGAAAGCACAAAAAGACCCGTGATAGCTGAGATGAAATGCGGGAGATAGAGCAAATCCGAGGTGGAGATGATCGCCTCGCGGGGTATCCGCGAGAACGACGTCCGTCGATGGGATGGGGGCGGAGGGGTGCATTGGCAGTCCGTTGAAGATGTACCATTGGGCGGTAGGGTGATGGCGGGGTTGATTGGACAGTGGCGGGCCTGGAAATCGTCACAATTTAAAAGTTATTCCTGAAAAATCCGTAAAGACTCTAACTGTAAACTGTAAAGGGGCTAGAAAGTCAAAAAGGGCCGATGCGGGAATCGAGAATCCAAGCAAATGACGAGCGGAAAGATCCCGACAGCTACAACCCGACACGGCCGAAATCCCGACAGCCAAACCGACAGCCGGAATGCCCACTGATAAAATCCTGGCAGCGAAAATCTCGGCATCCAAAATCCCGACACCAAAAAGGCTGACGGCTAAAATCCCGACATCCAGATACCGAAAATCCCGACACAGGCCGACATAATCAGCGGTTTTCGATGTTGGGCCCTGGGCCATCGGCAGTTTTTTGTCGGGATTTTGGACTATCGGGATTTTTTGGCTGGGGGTTTTTTGTGTGGTTTGGTTGGCTGTGGCCGGGGTGTTGGGTTTGGGGTTTTGGGTTTTCCCCCAAAAAAAAAGGGGGAATATAAAAAATTTTTTGGAATTATAAAAAATATAAAAAAAAATAAAAATCTCGAAATTCACGCGCTATCACGGCAAAATGAGTGCCGAGCGGCGTATCTGGCTGTTTGCCAGGAAACTTGACAGTCTTCGCCCCTTTAAAATCGGCAATCCGTTGTACACCTACATTCTTCCGCTGCGCCTCACGATGGGCCCGTTCAACCAGATAGTTGATCGTCGTCACATCATCCATTGGGGAGTGGTGAGCGATGTGACGAGCGAATTGTCGACACCTCTCCGCGTAGCTACAAAATACGAACAATTTTTCAGGCTGTCACCACGAACCTGTCATCGTTGAGAATAGTGCCGAGCTTCTCCACAAATTCCTCCCGATCCATGTCCATTTTGTCGACGAGCAGCCCCACGCGTTTTGCCTCGACCACTTTCGAGTTTTTCGCGTGGTCTAGAGAGGGGTTTGACCATTGTTTTACCGTAAAACCTTAAAATTAAAAAAGAGTTCTGAAATGTATTTTTCAAAAAATTCGAGTTTTACCCGCGAAAAGTGGCATCAATAGCATGGGTTTGCCGTGGACCAACGACTCGAGAATGCTGCTCCACCCGCCATGCGTGATGATGGCTTTGTAGTTGGGGTGGGCTGAAATTGGCAAGGTATTGAATGAAACTTCCGCGTGATCGGATTGAAACTTCTTGAAATCTCGAAATGCTGACACGGAAAATAGCTGTGAAAGGAAAGTAGCGGAGAGAGAGAGAGAGAGAGAGAGAGAGAGAGAGATAGGGAGATAGAGAGAGAGAACGTAAGAGCGAGGGAGCGAGGGAGAGAGAGAGAGAGAGAGAGAGAGAGAGAGAGAGAGAGAGAGAGAAAGAATACCACAATTCAGATACACACACCAATCAATGATATCTGCGGAATCCATTTCGTCAAAATCACATTATCGTCCTCCATGCGGATCGTCTCGTTCATCTTCTCGTACTTGACAATAAAGTTGATTTCCGGGAACGATTTGAAGCCCTGAGAAAGGTAATAAAAACCAAATTCTGTAGCCAACCTCAAAGAATGCCTGCTGCAGGTAGGGTGGCATTTCTGAGGTTTTCGCTATCGACCCGAAGGTTAGGAGGACGAATGGGCGCTTTTCGGCAATACGATGACCATTCCTAAACATTATTTTAGCCTGAAATAGGTGCTCTAAGCAAAAATTACTCTAATTTTTCTCTAAAAGTTGGTATACTGTAAAAATTACGAAATCGATTTAATCAACCTCATTTAACGAAGGCGGCGTAGCCTCCACGGTATGCCCTCCGATATAATGAAAATGTGCCAATGTCGGGCCGGAAAAGTCAAAAGATGGCACAGTATTCACAATAACGGCAGAGGCGCTTTGAGGAATCTAAAAAAATGGTTAAAAACCCTCATCACTTCTAGAATCACCTCATCAACATGACGATCCGCTTGGAAGACGCCCTTCGATCTCCAGATGCTGTTAATGCTGCGCAACGAGAGGACCTGAATGCCGGAAATAACATTTAAATGGGGTACAAAGTATCTCAACCCTTTATGCGTTGATTTCTGGTGAATAATCCCGACAGCCAAAATGCCGACATATCCTTGACACAAGTTTGAATGCCAATTATTTTGAAACCGCTATTTTGGTTGTCGAGGCGTTAGCCCGTGGCGATTTTGGCAAGTCGGTATTTCGGCTGGCGGCATTTTGGCTTATGGAGATTTTGGCGTATCGGCATTTTGGCTGTCGGTATGTTGGCTTTGTCGACATTATGGCTGTCTGGATAGCCTGTCGGAATTTCCGTTGTCGGGTTTTTTGGGCTTTCCGGATTTCGACTGCCGGTATTTTCACTGGAATTCATTTACAGGATCGAAAAATTGGCTAGGAAATCATGGAGATCGATAAAACTGGTGCCCCAGAAGGCATTACGACATGTAATTCCCCGAACCGCCAAAAGTCGATTTCCCCCGAAAAAGGTTAGTTTTGTTTTTGGCGCTTTCTCGCAACGAAATTAATTTTCTAATTTTTTCATCTGCTTTTTGTTCATTTTTGGTATGTCACGACCCCTTTAACACTCAACTCTCTCATACCTGGAATAAGAAATGTGTCGTGCGCGTCAGAAGCGTATTTTGTGCCCGCTCCAAAAGCGTCATATCGTCCGTGAACGGTCCAAATAGATCTACAAACGTAAATAATTCCATTCCACTCCGTTTTCATACCAGGAACGTAGCTGTTTGGCTGCGGAATCCCAAGTGTATTCGGTTGGACGGCGTGTAGCCCGGTGGCTGACAACCACACCTAGAAAATCTCAGGAATTCTAGAATTTTTCGAAAAACCGACTATTGAGGGGACGTTCAGCTTCTTGAATAAGCCGAACGCGCAGAAATCGTACTGCTCAACGGTGACCACATCGAATGTGTAGTTGGCAAGGGAATCGAGGATACTGTCGTCTTTTGAAACCCCTGAAAACGTTATCACTTGTAAATTAAGGAGCTTTTGCATTATGGGGTGCTTTTTTTAAGGCCCAATTTTTCTAATAGATATAGAGGAGGGATATTCAATAACTTTTAAAAATTTTAAGCTTAAAAACTTTGCAAATCTTTAGCAAAAAATACAAAAATATCGATTTTTCCACAAGAATTTACTTTTTTACTAATTTTTTAAGGTTTTTAAGACACATTTTTGCAGTTGAAATATAATTTAATTTACTAACAACACTATCAAACGCCTTAGGTTTACTACGCGTAAAAAACTGCAAATACTGAAAAAATACAAAAATATAGGTTTTTAAACAAAAGCTTCCAATTAAACCAAAAACCAATTAAAATACTTGGTGTTAAATTTCCAGGCATTTCTGCGCTATTAAAGACCCCCCTCCCCCCCGATAATATAAAAGAACCAAGCCAAAACTTACCAATGCAAGAGTCGAGGAAAAGCCGGGATAACCGCAGAAATTTGCGTAATATCAACGGATTCAACGGGTTCGAATTCTCAAACGGCCCCGGGTTCCGCCATAACGTATTTAACAAGGCACCCGGCGGGACCCCCGTATCGTGTCGTAGTTTCTGAAATAGAGGATTACTCAAATTTCCAAAAAACACCGTGGCGGTCGACTCCTTGTAGACGCTGACGCCGTCATCTAATGCTATGTGGAGCATCACCTAAATGGGGGAAATCCAGATTTTAGCAGCTTTTGCATTATCGGGGGAGGGGCAAAATTATAACTTGCATCCAATCTTTTAATAATAACGCTAAGGCTTAGGGCAGCGTGAAAACGTTACAAATTATTCTTCTGAAATCAAAATACCGATATATCGACCAAAATCTTAAATTAAAAAAAATTTTTGAGAGGTTTGCCACCGGAACTATACTCCAAACGCCAAAATCCCGACAACTGAGATCCCAACAGCAAAATACCGACAGTTACATTCTCGACACTGTCATAATGCCGACAAGCCAAAATCCCGACAACCATAATCCCGACAGCGGAAATTGCAAAATTCGACAATAGCAAAATCCAATTTCCGAGAGCTTTAATCCCGAGAGCAAAATCCCGACTGAACAAAATGCCGACACACAAAATATTATTTTAACGTGATTTGCGATTTAAGTTGACGCCAAGAAGATGTCGGGATTTTAGGTGCCTAAAAACTGGCCTGTCGGCATTTTGGCTGTCAGGATTACCCTTGTCGGTATTTTGGCTGTCGGTATTATCGCTGGAATTCCCAAATTTACTAAAAAAAAACTTATTAAAATCTTCGGTATATATGATTAGGTACTCCTGGAGTGTTAGAAAAATTCTACCCCGCCCCGATAATGCAAAAGTACCGCTTTATATTCGTTTATTGCCGAAGCTCATTTTTAGCTTTTTTTAAGCTTTCAGCTTCATTCCCCTATTTTTGTCAGCGTACCACTTGATGGCCCCGTTCGATGAGTGCCTCGGCAATCTTCCCATTGAATGCGACGTGTGAATAGGATAGTGTCGGAACATACATTAATATGTTCAGCCCGTCTACAGGTGTTCTGTGTAGGCACAGGGCGGACAACAACAGGAAGAGGCCGAGGCCCGGCGTCGAGATCATCCTGCAAAGTTGCTAAATTATTTTTACTAGGCCTAAGCGTAAATGCTTTACAAATCTTTTAAAAAATTAAAAATATGGATTTCTCGACCAAAAACAGTACTCTTACTTTTTCCCCGAATATACGGCAACTTTTCGAGTTTTAAGGTCGGAATCGAGCCAAAAATGAAACAGAAAATCAAGCTGGAGCTTTTCTCTTATCGGGGGGGGGGGGCTGGGGCGGGCTGGCTAACGTTTTCGATGAATTTCACGGTGTTTTTCAGCATAAGAACCGAATCAGAGCAACGAATGAGACATTTTTTTATCCAAAATGCATGAAAGGGGCCAGAAAGTAGTCAAAAATTCAAATTTTAAAATTTCGATAAATGCTTAATAATTTTTGGCTACAGTGCTTTTTTCAAATTTCGAGATGTCAAAATTCGACAAAACGAAATTCGAAAATTGTAATTTCGGTAATTTGAAGATCGAAAAATTTAAATTCAACGATACGAAATTCGACAAATTAATTTCGATATTCTAATTTTCGACAAAACCATTTAACACGTAAAAAACGGAACTCTAGTAACCGAGAAAAAGGGATATTTTTCGCTTAGCAAACTCGAGAAAACCCTCGAAGCGGTGGAACCGTGGGTGGAAGGATACTAAGAATTGCATAGAGTTGAGGGACCGGAAAATGCTTGGAAAAGGGAAAAGGGCAGACTTGAGGAATTGTGCAATTATCGGGGGGGGGGGTCAGTCTCGTCCCGGGCTGGCCTTTATGAAATGCGAACCCCCTAGACTGGTCATTATGGCTGGCGGACTGGTCAGTTTTCACTGAAGGCCGCCGGATTTGAACCCTGGCGAGAAAGTTTGGCTTTGGGGTACTGGACCGTTAGCGGGGGGACCAATTTTTCCCATATGCGATCAGTACGGCCTAATAAAGAAATATATAGCATGGTGTTCGCATTTTACACAGCTTTAGATACCCAAAATCCACGCAGAATTATAACTTTTCGCACAAATAGACAAATTTACAAAAAAATATTTAACGTTGAGAATAAAATTTCAATTTTTCTATAAATTTTTAATCTCCGAAAATTACACTAGAAACCCTATCAAACACAAGATCTTCTTCACAGGCATCCGCGAAAAAGCATAGATTAAAAAATTTGCCCCCTCCCCGCTAACAGACCAGTACCGGCTTCGTGAGGTTCGCATTATCAACTTTTTCTAATTTTCATTTATTTGAAATTTTCTAACTAAATGCAAGTTTTTCTAAATATTGAAGCACCATGCTTAAATTGAAAACTGAGAAAAATTGTATCAAAATAATGATTTTTTTTTGCCAAACAAGACCGATTTTACTTCCGAATTCTCGATATTTTTCAAGTTTTCTAGCAATAAAAATATCCAATTAAAAAATATGCCTAATTAGTCGTTGCACTTTACCCAAAATGAGAGATCGCGAATCGCCATAGACTAAAAAAAAAAGATTTTTTGCGCGAAAAACAAACGTTCACGAAATGCCTAATTCAAACCCGCCGTGCCCGAGATGCCAGAGATAGTAGACATTGGTGGTCAGAAAAAGAAGAGAGACAAGAGCGGAAATGTCGTGATTCGATTGCCAACCCTGGGTGCGGGCAGTCGGCTGATAATTTTTGAGAGCGAGAACGAGCGAGCAAGGGAAGAAAAGAGGAAGGAATGATCAACTCACATGTTCATGCTCAAATTTTGGTGTTTAACAAGACTATCATGAATCGCTAGTTTGTAAATTGTCTAAAAATATATGAAAGTAAATAGAATTCCATCCACGGGACCAGCGGAACTTTCTGGGAGCATGGGCGCGACAAGATGGGAACCCTCGTAAAATGGTCAAGATCGGCTCATTGTGGCTGGGATGTGACGTCGAGAAGAGAGACCGTTTTGAGAGAGAAATGCACTGGCAGGCAGTATGTAGTCTCCCGAAAACGGTGCCAAGAACTTTCCGTACCAGCCAATTTTTCGAGGCGGCCGTCGAGTTGTGGTAAAGCGCAGGTTCTTTTGCATTATCGGGGGGGGGGTAATTGTCCAGAAATGCCTATAAACTTCTGCGTTTAGAAATGGTAACAAACAGTTTAAAAACACTGCCTATTTATATCAGAAAAATTGGATCCAAAAGAGGTGTTTCCCCCTGAAAACTCCTTCAACCCCCCCTCCGATAATGCAAAAGAACCGTCTTATCTATTTGGAAAAAGCCTTAGTTTAATAGGTTTAGATTTTATTCGGAGTTTACGGAAGCATATTAAAATTTTAGTTTGGCCTGCCAAACCCCCCGCTAACGAAAGAACCTAGTTTTTTCAAGGATATGTTCCCTGACGATACAATTTACAGCAGTGTATAAAAAATAAAATGTCGAAACGAAAGACTCATCATGTCAAAATTTAAATGAACAAGTTTGCCAAAAATTTCGCAAATACTATTTAAAAATCTCGACATATCGAAATTTCGACGCTATTAAACTTCGATATTTTGAAATATCGAAATTACGACAGCCAATCTTAAAATAATAATACCATCTTTATCTACATACCACCGCTGCCACCCCCTCATCCCCCAAAACCATCTTCAGACCCATTACACGCCAGGGCGATAGGCGTTGTGGACAACAACTAGTCGCAGTCGGGAGGAGGCGTGGAGGTGTGAAATTGATGGGGGCAATATCCCATCAGCCCCCACCTAGACTCATCCAATGCTTCCCTTCCTGCCCAGCTTCTTCTTGTCGCTGCGTCCTCGGCTTCCGATCCCATCCGGATCCTCAGGTTCTTCAAAGCCTCAACCCCCTTGTCGTGCAACCCGAAGATTCGCCCGCCTGATCGTGGCCAATTTGTCGAGAAATCTTGGCACCAGCCGGTCCCCTCTCGGCTGTGCGCACCCCTTGCACTTCAGCACTTTCTAGAAGCATTCCGGAATCGTCCTGTTGCCATTTGGAAGGTCTATCCGTTTTATGAATGAAAGCTATTAAATATTGGCTTTTTCCGATCTGCCTCATTTTGCAGATTTCGCGTCTATCGTTCACCGAATCCAAAAAAAGTCAAAAAGAAGAGGCGTTGTTTTCATTTTGTCGAAAATTAGAACGTCTTGCTTCCTTAATTTTGTTGAAAACGCCAGAATCCCGACAGCCAAAATACCGACCCCGAATCCCGACTGCCAAACTCCTGACACCAAAGTAGCGATTTAACAGGAAGTGACGTTGTAACTAGCGTCAAAAAATGTGTCGGCATTTTGGTTGCCGGGATTTTGGCTGTCGGCATTTTGGCTTGTCGGGATTATTTTCATCGGGATTATGGTTGTCGGCATTTCAGGTGTCGGTATTATCACTGGCATTCGAAATTTCTTAACTTGAATGTTTAAATCCCGGAAATCTCGACAAAATTATTTCCGACAAAACGATTGCCAGCAAAATAATTTTCGACAACTGATTTTTGAAAAAAATCTTGTTGAGAAAGATAAATGTCGGCAAAATCATTTTTCACAATCACAATTTTTTGCAAAAAGCAAACTTTCTGAATGCCCGCCTCGCCTTTCGACGTTCCCGCAAATGCACTGCCCCGGCAACACCGTTCCCAATTCCAGAATTGTTCATCACCATCGTCACCAGGGTGCTGACAGTGGTTACACTGCCTAGGGCCATTGTCACGATCCCATCTTCGAGTGGACGGGCTTTGATGTGAAGGAGCACGAGGGGGGAGCTCAAGCCGTTGCCAATCGCTGCTCGCCCAATATCCCCCACCTTCAATACGCCCATCTCCTTCTTCTTCTTCTAGCCGTACGGATCTGCCGCGATCAATTCCAAGCTGGCGGCTGGTACAACGATGATATGGCTGCTGACCGGTTGGTTGCACGGGATTTTGCACTGATCTGTTAGCGGGGGGGGGTGTAGGGATTCCCGCCTTTATCCCGGGAGGCAATTGTGGTCTTGACTGTCGGGATTATGGTTCCCGGGATTTCAACTATCGGCGTTATGCTACTGAGATTTTGGCATGTCGGTTTTTTGACTCTCGGGACTATGACTGTCGGTATTTCGGGCATCGGGATAATGCTTGTCGATATTTTGGTTGTCGAGATTTTGACTGTCGGCATTTTGGCATGGCGACATTTTGGTTTGCCAGTATCGTAGTTTCTACTAGAATTTATCTTCGTTTTGCAAATTAAAAAACGGGTAGATTAAAAATTTTGAAACGAGGGGCCTTTTAATTTTTTTGCTCATTTTCATACGTTTTTGACCAAAAAAAAATTCGAAATTTTCGTAATTTTTACGAACCTTTTATGCTTAAAACGGCGTAAAAGTAACATCAATGGTGTCCATTTCATCAGTTGGAACAAACAGGAGCGATAAGCAAAGATTATCACGCCGCCTCCCCCCCCGCTAACAGTCTAGTACCGAATTTTCGATAGGTGTGGCCGTGATCGACCTAATTTCCGCCAAAGCGCCGCACCAGGATTCTATACGTCGAATCAGGCAGACAGGTAGGTGGCTAAAGGATTGCTTTTTGTTACAATTTCTTATTATTTTTTAGATTTTGAGCCAGATGCCTTTCCTCGCGGCGTTTTGTCACCACATGGCGAGTGTTTCGGCGAATTTCGTTCCGGCTATCAGCGAATCTCGAGCTTGGTCGACCAGAAGCCGCGGCTGGCTGCGATGGTAGGCCGGAATGACTTTCGTTGGGCTCAATTTGAAAATGCCGAAATGTCATAATCCCGACAGCTGGAATGGCGAAATTTTCTGTTGAAATATCTAGCGGGAGACCTTTTGAGAATTTTATTATGGCTACATTACGAAATTTCGGCATTATGAAATCGCGGCATTATGAACTTTCGACATTCTACTCGCAAATCTTTTGATAGAGTTCCTTTAATTTGTCGGAAATTAGAATGTAAACATATATTTTGTCGAAAAGTCATTTTTTCAAATTCCACTTTGTCGAAAATTTTTATTTGTTTGTCAAATTGAATTTTTTCAAATTCTCTTTTTCAAAATGTCAAAACCTACCAAACAACCAAAAAACTACCAAAAAAAATTTTTTAGCAGCCACTAACACGATGTTTGGAAGCTTGCCGTATAAATGTGTCGCCACTGTCCCGAGACCATTTCCCGTGTCAGGTATTATTTACCTCAACAACTATTCTTAAATTTTAACCTCCGTAAAGTCCGTAAAAACCTGTGCTTTTTAGGGCATCAACATCATTAGTGGGCGGATCCCGATGTGCGAATTTTTTCCGGTGGAAAAGAATGAAGTATGGTTACTTTTCGTCCCAAACAACACAATTTTAGAAAGGCTTTAAGGAACGGCATTGGCGCAAAAGCGATTTTTCCTACTACTACGAGAAAATGTGTTTCAAGTATCGTTTCCGGCATGGCAAAAAAACATAGCACTTTAGGCTGCCGGACGTCTGCGAGGGGAGGGCTTTTATTTTCGACGTCAGAAGGGATTTTCGATTGAAGGCTATCGCTATTGAGGTAGAACAAAGCTTCACGAGCTTTTGGAGCTTGTTTATTAGCGGGGGGAACTTTACTGGTGCTTTAGGAGGAGCCCTATAAATGTATTTTTAGCTAGAAAGATTTTGGCTTTTCCTCAAAAATCGCATTTCTAGTTTTTTGCACGTTTCTTAATCCTTTTTCATTAAACCGAAGCCACTAAAAACTAATAAAGACAATTTTGTTAGGCAGGCTAGCTCGAATAAAGGGATTCACCACCCCCCCCCGCTCACTCACAAGAACCCAATTTTTCTAAAGCTTTCGGATGTGCGCACTGTTGGCGAATGCCGACAGCGGTGTCTCGATGAATCCTGCCCAGCTGCAACTTTTGAATCGAGCACCAAGTAAGCACAAGATTTGTTATTAAATTAAATAAATTCAGAACCTGTCGCTTCTACAATCAAACTCGGCAAGAATCCGAAGGGGAAGAAGCACCGGGCGTGGACTACTATGAAAACGCGTGCCGACCTGGTAATGCTCTTTCTGCTTTTATCGTTCTTGGTTCTGGTTCGTTAGCGGGGGGACGGGGTCAATTTTCCTACGTTTCGGTCGAAGTATAGATACTGTAATTTCTCATAACTATTTTGAACTTTTTGGAAAAAACCGACGGTTTGGAAATTTCACAAAAACTCCCTTTATTAATTTTTTTGTCGCTTTTTTATGATCGGAAACGACTAAAAACACTCTGAAAAAGTCTATTTTTACGAAATATAGGTTAAGCAAAAACAAAGGAAGTAGTTTTTGTTTATGTCAAGCCCCCCCCGCTAAAGCACCAGAACCTCGTTGTCTTTAGAACGTCGCCGATGCGAAAACGGAAGGGTCGACTTTATCATGGCTCAACACGCCGATGTCGCGTCGTTTGGGATCCAGGCCGGTGAGGAAATAAATAAATGTTGAAAACAAATAATTTCATGGTTTTTTAGAATTAAATAAATTATTAATAAAAACAAATCAATTAACGTTTTTATTCAATCCAGGTACACGTTCCGTACGCGACTGTATGCGCGAATGTATCGACTCGACCGCCTTCCACTGCCGCTCATTACAATACAACCCGAAAACCAACGAATGCTATATCTCGGGTTTTTAATCCGCAAATCAGAAATATTTAATTTTTAGAAGAATCCTCTGAGCTGGCCGTACCCTCATCGACGCTCGACCTCTTCGAGCCGGTATGCTTGCCATCCCCTCCGACCCTTTCCGCCATGACGCCCTGCAATCGGCCGTACGCCTTTGAGAAGCTGCTCACCACCAGACTCCTTTTTACCAAGGAGCTGCGGCTTTTGGAGGGTAGGGGTGCAGTTTACCCCCCGCCAGCCTCCAACTTTTGTATCTCGTCGCCCTGTGGTCCTACAGGGGTGTAAATATACCCAAAATGTTTGCCTTAGTTTGGCGAGTATTTCGGTCTACTTTACAGCCATGTAACATCGGAAATTTTTCAGGTGTTGGTGTCGAAAAGTGCCTAAGCTCGTGCGTGGACAACCCAAAATGTCGAGCGATCAACTACGAGGTGCGCCGTCGAGACTGTCATATGCTGGAAATCGAGCGCCGTGTACAGGGAACGCGGACAGGTACGGTTGTGTAATAGCTTATAGAAGACCTGATTACACATTTTAGGTAATGACGAAAATTACGACTACTACGAGGTGGCTTGCGATATGGGGCAGCAAGATGACCCACGTGGGCGTGGATCTATCCTAGTGGCCAACGAAAGGAGTCTTTTGTAAGTACTTGCTACGCTCCGCGCTTCGGTTTTTTTCAATATCGCAGGCTACCCCCCTTTTTTCTTACTATTGCTAAACGTAAAACTTTACGAATTTTATTTTAAAAATGGAAAAATATCGATTGCACGAAAAATAGCGATTAAAATTTTTCTAAGTTTTTCACTTTAACTTTGGCTAAAAAACCACTAAAATAGACCTTCCCGCGATTTCTAGGCGTTAGGCATGCAGGAAATCCCCAAATTTCAGAAATGAACACCGCCACCTGCAGCATGTCCACATTGCCACTTGGGACGAGTGCCGTGAGGCATGCGAACGAGTAATTAACCATATCTTTTTAAAATTGACTACTTTTTCGGCGGTTTTTGGCTGCCGCACCTTCGCCTTCTCGGCGGCCATCTCTGAATGTCATCTATCCGCCATTCAAATTGAAAAGGCCGACGATCAGCGCCTCCAAATCAACCGCGACTTTGATGTTTTTGCGAGGATGAAGTTGGAAACAGGTGGGATCGCTTTAACTTCGGCACCTCCTTTTCAGAGAGCCCACGCATTCAAATATCATTGGACGTGCTGAGCACGACTCCGCTGCCGAAGTTTATCGAACAACCCGCGCCGGCAAGCCATCTGCAAAAGATTTTCGACACTGGCAAGGTTGTTATTTTCTCTGAAGAAAGGGAGCAAAATATTGATTAGGCGATTGAGTCAAGTAGTTCGAACGAGTCCCCGGCAACTCTCGACGGTGGATTGCAAGAAGATATCTTTGCTTTCCCCACGACAACCACTGACATTTTCGCCTCCAGCACGTTTTCGAAGGCTACAGGTGCGCTTAGAAACGGTGCGATTAGCTATTGCTTCCGAAATCACAATAAAAACATTGTATCTTCCTGTAGATCCCGATTTCCCAACACTTGGTACAGAAGCCACCGCCGAGACGACACCGACAAGTCGCGATCCGGTGGTGGGCAAATCTTATCTGCTCCAAATCCAACGTTTTTTTAGACAGCCCCTGATGCCCCTCCACGTCTCCTAACCCCGGAACCCGAAGCGGAAACAAGCATCCAAGAGCATCGCCCTCGCATCTTCCAGGGGCACAACTTTTTGCAAGAAAAGGCGCGCATACACCGGCCAAGTATTCTGGACGTTGAAGCGAATACCGTGATGCTGCCTAATGAAAAGCTTAGCGAAAATCAGGTTGGCGATCGCTGCGCGTTAGGTTTTTACCACACTAAACCTTTTAGGTGACCACGAATTTCCAGCTTGAGGTCGATCCGAATTCTTCCGACTTTCAACAGCCAGACGAGAAGCCACCACCAAGGTATTTGCGTGAGCATAGGCTCCAATTTTTTAGAAGAAAACCTAGCGCCCTGCCCAGCGAAACTCCTGACCCTGAGGAGCTTGAATTGGAGGAGAATGGCATGCCACGGGTCAGAACAGCGTTTTGGGTCAAGTTTTTAGGCTTTTTTCTTTATTAAAATCGCAACCCTAACGCTATTTTGCTTTTTATCAAAATTCCAAAATTTCTTAGGTTATTCCGCTCACCGAAAACGTCGGCCACGTCTCGCCGTCGGCCGTCGCAACCCGCGCCGAGTGCTACGAGAACGGGGTGAACGTCACGTTTCAAGTCAACGGAAAAGGGCAGGTTAGCTCTAATTTGATGATATTAATTTGAAGAATTTTTCGAAACAACGGTAATTTGAGGATTACACGGGTGCTGTTTACGCCGCCGAGCGCTTCTCGCAATGCAGAGTGTTCGTCAAGAAGGCGCGCTCATACTCGATCTTCATCCCTCGGCCGGCCCATAATACGTGGTGTAATGCGTTAGAAGTGGTAAGATTATTAAATCAATTTAAATATCTTGCCTAGGATGGGGTCCTTTCCGTGGTAATTGTAATGTCAAACGATCGCGTTCTTCCACACGACGTCACCACAAAAGACGATCTATTTTATCAGGTAGGAAATTTGGATCCGGACTGCTAGCGGAAGTGGTATAGCTTTTTAAACCGTTTTATGTATAGACAGTTACTAACAATACTAAAATTTCGATACATTTTTTATTTTTGTACAAAATGTATGAAAATGGTCAAGAATTTCAATTTCTTTCGGCCTGTTAATATTCAAAACCTCTCTAAAAGCAATATAAAAAACGAGAAAACGTTTACACCCTCCCCTAACACCCCAAACCTCGACCGTAAATTCAGATCACTTGCAACTATTCGCTGACAAAGGTGAATCGCGTGGAATCGGGTCTCGTCGTTGGGTAAGCATCTAAAAATCCTATTAATTTTACCAACCTACAATTCAAGGGGCCCGTCACCAATCTCCATTCGCTCCCGCCACTCGCGTTCATTCGCCCTGCGCATTATGCAGGGAGACGCGCCGGTGGATAGTGTCTTCATCGGGGAGAAGCTCGTCGCCCGCGTCCAGAGCGATATTCCGCGTAAGTACGGTCGGATTTCAATCATGATTTTTTTAGCCGATCGACTACGCGTGAATGAATGTACGGCGACGAGGGTGGGCGGGCAGCTAAATCCGGCGACAGTGCAGTTGATTGCTGATGGGTACGGAATATCTACGATTTTTAAACGATAAATATAAGATGCGCACTTATGCCGTCCATAATGGGCCCGATGCGTCTGGGGAACCATGGATGGGAAGCGCCGCTGAACGCGTTCCGCATCGACGGCTCCGAGCAGATCGATATCGTCTGCCTGGTCGTCGTCTGTCAACACGATCGCTGTCCGGAAGCTAATGTAGGTTTCTCAGAACCTAATTCGCCAAAAAAAAACGAAATGTCGAGTTAATTTTAGCTGACATGCGGTGCGGCACCGTCAAGGAATTCACGCTCTCTCATCACATCGAATGCTGGGGAGCCGATTCGTGTAGATAGTCGCCTAAAAGTAGAGGCAGACACAAAAATCTTTACGGATCTCTTTTAGGTATATGGAAGCGAGCGAGAAGCATTGCGAGAGGACGGCCCTGAATTTTTCCCAGGTAGAGTACCAGAGCCAAAGTCTTATTAGGACAATTGAGGTTCAAAACCTGATTTTTAAAGGGATGCCGACGGCATAGTCAATCGGTTACGCGCTGGAAAGAAAAGCTCGCGCCCCCGGCCCCCCTGTGGTTCCAATTGTTGATGAGGGGATCACATCCGACATGATTAGCTTCAGATTAATGTTTCAAAGATCGTTTCCGGCTTGTTAGAAAACCGAGTCAATTAGGCGCTATAATTAGCTTTAATATAAAAAAGCGGAACTGTCCGGTCAAATATTCCGGACGACAAGTGTCTGAAAACTTATCAAAAATCTTTAGAACTCTGCATACAACCAACTGTCTACCTCCCTTCAATGCTTCTCTGCCTCTTTTGCGTCATATCACTAATCTTCTCGCTTACATTAACCAACAGGCACAAAGCCACCCTGCTCCGGGGGTTCGGCGACAGCGAGAGGTAGGCGCCAAAAATCTTGGGCACATCTAGCAAAACCCCCTTTAGCGTTCCCCCCACCAGCCACCCGATACCGCCGACAAAGCTCAATGTGAGCCGCTAGCCAGATGCCACCAAAAGCCAGGCGCCCTGCAATATTTTCAAGTACTCGGTGAAGCCATTGACGCTGTGATTGCCTAACTTATTTTTTACATGATTTAATAAATTATTTTGGTCGCTTGAATCGTTTATTTCTCCCAACAAGTAACAATGCAATGGTCAACAACATGTAACAAACCAGCAACAATGCGCTCCGCTCATTCCGAAACGATGGCTTGGATCTAAATGTGCCTTTTAATAAAAGAGGCATAGATTCCACCTGCTGAGGCGATTTTAGGCAAGAGTTGGTCATCTCCTGCCCGAAAACATTCGACAATCGGAAACGATCGAGTGGTGTGTAAATTAGTATCGATTTCAGGCGTTCACCCTCCGGACATGCCATATTGACAATCTGAAATTCGAGGCTGTAGAATACTAGGGATGCATACGTCTGAATAGAATCTTGGATCACTCGGCAGCTGGTAGAAGACGATATTCTTCACGCCCTAAATTTAAAAAGAAATCGTGGGCAAAAGCAAGCAATTTACCCGAATATGGAAGCGCTTATAAAAATGCAGTCGCTCGGTCATCAATAGTAACTTCTTACGCCCGTGGAAGAACATATCGCGAGCACGGCCGAGCTGAAGGAAAAAACGCTACTGACCTGTTAACAGGGGGAACTAATTATTGACTTCTCGCCCATACCTTTTGATAAAATGTAATGCATTTTATGAAATTTTAGCAGTCTTTGATTGCAAGAAAGCCATAAAAAAATTTCATTAAAAATCTTAAAATTTTGTTCGTATAGTTCGTACATTTATGATCTTGCGATAAAAACTGTGGAAAAACTGTAGCAATGCTATAAAAATGGTTTAATTGAGTAAGTGATTACTGGGAAAATAAGTTTCCCGCTGCTAACAGTCCAGTACCGAAAGAAAAATCAAGCCGAGGGAGAGCCAACCTTGTTGTCCGGCGCATATTCGTGACACTGTACAAAGCTCTCCAGCGATGTGTTCATATAATTACGAAGGCGTACAAAATCAAAGTAGGACGGCACAAAGACCAGGGTATGCTGCTCGAGTTTGCCGAGAACCTTGTCCTAAAATCAAATCAAAGCATAAGCCGTCGGAATATACCTTGAAATAGTTGAATCGGAGCTCGCTGGCGTCGTCCGCCTTGTCCACCTTGACGCGATGAAACTCTTGACAGATCGGCACGTTGACCTAAGAATTTGCGTGATGGGTGGAAAAGCGTCCCAACCTTGTTTAGCTCCTGTCGATCTGGGAAATGCCAGACGAGGCCTCGATGACAGAACGTTTGCCGCATCGCCAAAGAGGAGAACTGCTCGTGTTGGTATTCCGAGAAGATGAGCGTTTGACAGTAGTATTTCGCATGGTCTGAAGACAGGGATAACACATGAAACCCAAAAATTTTTACCTTCCAAATACAGCGGCCGCACGCGCCGGATATCCGTCTCGATTTTGCTCGGCTTTTTATTGAGCCAATTAAACGCCGCCAACACATGCTCCCAATTTTGTTGATAAAGGATGTGGCACTAAAAATCAAGCTTTAAAAAAATGGGTAAAGACAACCTTATCAACCACGGCGATCTGAATAGAGGAAAGGTAGTGACTATCCTCGCCCGCGTCGCCGTTCAACATCATGCGCAGTCCCAGGGGAGAACAAAGAATGATATCTGACTAAACCGGGAATATCAGTCAATTTTGGCCGCATCAACAAACCTTTGCAAAATTGGCATACAACTTAAACTCCTTTTTCGAAAATGCGATTCCAACGCGGAAGCAATCATCGACATTTCCGGCCATCATCTCCTACAAAAAAACGATGAAAAATAAAAGCATACATACCTTGAACGACTCGTCAGCGTGGCGCGCGCCCGAGACCCTGTAGCCGGTATCCCCGAATTCATCATCAAATCGCTTCTTGTTCCCGATATTCGCTTTAGCAATGCCATCTGAAACACGTTTTTCAGACCAAAATCAAAAATTATCCACCTCCAAAAATTATTCGCGTCATCAACTCCACGATTTCATGCGCATCTTTACGGAACGGGACCATGATAAGAGAACATGGACGTGCGAATCCCTGATCCCGACACGCGTTTATAGTTTCTTCCGACTAAAACATGGGCGTTAAAAACGGACCAGCCGGCTTGACTAACCTCATTCTCCTCCAAAAGCTTCTTGTTCTGCAAAATTCTTGTTCGACTCTGGATGACGTGGTTGATTACGTGCCCAGCATAAGTCAGCTGAAATCACAAAATTAAGTGGATCCTGGTCTCATACGCGGTGTTGCCATGCGTCCGACGGCACCCCAATAAAATCGCCATATTGTGCGACGATGGAAAAAAGCTCGGAGCGGGGTGTATCATCTATAAATAAAGTTGGAAGCTTTCAAAAATTTATTACCGTCTATTTCCAGTCCCTCATTGGCAAGCTTCTTATAATTTGCGGCTAGTGTGGGTCCCCATCCGGCTTCTACTGGCTCAACCCGGCTGCCCAATGGGTGCTAAAAATAATTGTTCACTATAGATGCCGACAAACCGCGAATTCAGAGCATCCGGGATAATAAGTGACTTCTCCGAGCGCCTTCAGACCAATTTTGGTCGGCTGAACTTCGTATTATGAAAACAACTATCGATCACCTTTCTTTCCCTTTTCGGTAACGACAGCTTTGCAACATTTGGAATGCCAAGGAAAAAGTTATCAAAGCAGGTGGCGTTGCTCACTCTCTTTCCGGGAGGCTCTAACTAAACAAAAATTGCGGCGATGCACTAGACCTACGCTTGGCGAAACCGGGGCTATATCAGATAATCGTCTCTTCATATCCTATGTTCAAGAGCGTCTCCGCAACTATAGTAGCTGAATTGCATATTGCCATTACCAAAAGATCCATTAGAAGAAGAAATATGTTATCGTTCTACAATTCTGTTTTCTGCTGTGTAAAGCAAACAAAGTATTACTTTTATTCAATAATTTTTGACAACAAAAGGTCGACGGGCCAAAAACAATGTAAGGGTCAGGGGGAAAACGAGAAATACGTAATATAGTCAAAGGAATAAATAACCGGCTTTCCATTACAGCTCCATTCGGCGGCCCTCGATGCTGACGCCAACGGCTCGCCGCACTTTGTTGATCTTGGTGCGTTCCTTGAAATCGCGTGCAGTGCGATCGATGCGCGACATTTCCCGTTTTCCAGCACCCTAGAATGGAATGCATAATATTGTAAAAGATTCAGACCTTGAATTCTCCATCAACGTTGCTTCGCGGACGAATCACGTAGTCAGTCTTTGAAGGCTTCGGTACTCTCGCACGTCCAATGTAGCCCTAAAACGAATCATATATTTTGCGAACATGCAACTACGAAATACCTTATCACCAGGGTTCAACAATTCAGCGATCTTGCCCTCCTTAGAAGTGCTGGGCCCATCTTCACCATCGAGCAGGTCACTACTAAAAAGGAATTGTATCTCCAGAAACCGAATACCTTTCCCGGCGTTTTTTAATATGATCCGGCATCTGATCGTAATCGCGCTGAAGTCGATCATCACGACTCAGCGTTCCGAGATCAGTAGAAAGCTAAGGCGCTTTAATCGATTACAAAAAAAAGTTACATTGAAAATTGGGCGTGCCCATTCTGCTATCAGCTTCTGGGCCAGAATACGGTTGTCCTTATTTTCGCGAGGATGCTTATAAAGCATCATCACTGCTTTGCCGAGGCCTGATTGACGCAGTGTACCCTGGAGACAAAATAGAATAAATTCGAAAATAGCGGGCAACCTGCTCAAGACGATAGGATTGGAGAAGGCGGAGAAGGGTAGTCCGAATCTCCAAGCATGGCAGACTTTTGTCCGGCAAAGGAGCCAACCACTCGGAGACGACAGACATCATTCCACCGTCGAGCATAGCTTCCGTCATATCAATCTATACATCCAATATAACAAAATTAGATAACCAAACCTTTAGAAGCATATCCTTGACTGTGGAGAGAAGCTTACGCTTTTTGAGGGCGGGCCGTCGCATCGTATTAGACTGGCGATCTTCCTAAATAAGGAATTGTCCGTAGCCACAATGTCACAACCTTGGCAGCTTGTTTCATGGCTTCCACCAGCTTTGCCACTTGTCCATCGTCGTCATTGATCAGATCAAATCCGTCGTTTTTCCTCTTCCGGCTACGGCGCTTCTCCGCCTTCTTTGCGTTCATCATCTTGTCAAAGTCCCATTCAAAACTAGAACAAAAAAATTGGTCGGCAGAAAGAAAATACCCGTCCTCGCCCTTGCGACCGCGGGCTGGCGCTTCATCGTCGTCATCAACGCTTTTTCTATCATCTTCTTTTTCGTCATCAGAGCCGCCGAAAATGTTCTCCACGAGATCGTCCTAGATACGTATTTAGGGGTAGCAAAGAACAACTACCGCGTTCGGAGCCTCATCACCACTGCCAGTTGGACTTTTTGGCGATTCATCGTCTTCATCATCGGAAACCACGCGGATCTTCTTTTTGGAATCTTTCGCTGGCTCGTCATCCTCAGAATCCTGCAACAAATAACAATATTTTGGTCAGAGAAATTCTTACTTCGTCGTCAGAGCCAAAGATAGCTCGACGCTTTTTCGCCGGAGACTCGGTGTCGCTTCCGGCTTCGTTCACCTCTTCAGTGACGTTGTCCACGTCAACGCCGTCACTCTCATCGTCAGAGTCCAATATTCTTCGCTTTTTCGGCAGCACCCTAGGCAAAAGGCACTAGAGAAAGTTTGAAAAAAACTCACTGCTGGGTCTCCTCCTCTTCATCATCGTTCACGGGAGAAGCCGGTGCGCTCAAGTTTTCCTGGGCCGGGCTAGCCGGTGTATCTTGAATTTCAGCCTCTTGCGGCTCGAAACTCTCGTCCAATGGCTCTTCTGACATTCTATTTATTAGATCCAATGCTTCGCAAACCTTTCACGACAACCTCTTCATCCACGAAGATTGGGTGCTCCGTTGCAGCATGTTCTTCGTCTTCTTCCTACATATAAGACCAAATTTGCCTATCAAATCTAATGTGTACCTGTGGCGGAGACTGCGGGGAATCCGAGTCGGGCGACTGTGGAGCATTATCATCGTGATTCGGCGACTCGATGCCCGATACGTCTGGAGAAGCTGCCGGAGACGCAGGCCCCTCTTCCGTGGGGCTCACAATCTCCTCCTCAACCGGGGTACCGTCATCCATCACTGAAAGGTAGAATTTGATACCTACTACTGCGGAAATCGATTCAAAGAAACCGAAAAGGCCGTGTCTAGCTAGGCGGGGCTCTCACTGGTGCCCTTTCGCAAAAAGCAATTGTCGATGGGCGCCAGGGAGAAAGCGTGCATTGCAGCGCACCGTGCATGCAAGGTCTGGAAAACCAGATATGGGCTAATAAAAGGCGGAAAAGGGGAATAACTGCCCTCAAATTCGTAAATTTTGAGTAGGCAGCTCTTCTGAATGTTTTTTAGGCTAAATTGTCGTATCCGGTCACTAAACCGATTTTGGATTTTTATATGTCAAAATGCTCAGCAGGTCGAGCTGATTACAGATCAGTTGAAAAAACTTTTGGGAAACACTTCTAGCTCGAGATATGAAGCTTCAAAGTTGGCAACTGAAGTATCCGGTCACTAAACGGATTTTGGATTTTTATATGTCAAAATGCTCAGCAAGTCGAGCTGATTACAGATCAGTTGAAAAAACTTTTCGGAAACAGTGCATTCGCGAGATATGACACTTAAAAGTTGGGCTTTACCCCGTCCCGGGTAGCTTTGCTAAAGATGGGTATGTGCTCGATACAAGCTTACTCTACAACCCAATTTGAGCCTAAAAATAAGGCTTCGTGCCACCCGGGGCCTAGTCGCTTCGGATGGGCGCGAGCTCGTACAGGGTTTCGAAATGGGGGCGCCAAGGCCGGCGAAGCGGCCGGGGGCGCCCCCATTTCGGAAGAGTGGAGCGGCAGCCCATCCGAAGCGACGGCCCACCTTGCCTGACAATGTTATAGTTTTTGAGAGCCTTCATTTTGAGATGGGATAATGACAAGGAATTTGAAAAAACAAGCAAAAACCTATCGCCCGGCTGTTCCACCTTGTACTCATTCCGATTTCCGCAATGTGTTGCCATACGTACTCGATTGCCCCACCTCAGTTTCAAATATTTCTGGTTATTGGACGGCATTTTAACACAGATATCTCGCGAATGCACTGTTTCCGAAAAGTTTTTTCAACTGATCTGTAATCAGCTCGACTTGCTGAGCATTTTGGCATATAAAAACCCAAAATCCGTTTAGTGACCGGATACTTCAGTTGCCAACTTTGAAGCTTCATATCTCGAGCTAGAAGTGTTTCCCAAAAGTTTTTTCAACTGATCTGTAATCAGCTCGACCTGCTGAGCATTTTGACATATAAAAATCCAAAATCCGTTTAGTGACCGGATACGACAATTTTCCCGTTTTTTATTGAAACGCGCGTAGTTGAAAAGTTAGTTATTTCAGTAAATCGTTCGGAGACTTTATTCTAAATTTCATATTTTTAAGGAAATTCATCGCCTAAAGCCGCCACCTCTTATATATTTTGCGTGGATATGATAAACTTTGTGCTAAATCTATCGCGAAACTGCGAAAATCCGAAAAAATGATACCGTAGCCATCATAGTACGCGGACAACACCCAACGTTTCGAAAAGTAGCGTACCGGCGTTTGTGAAAATTTTCGAATTTTGATACCTTTTCTATTTTTGTTTTTTTTATTTTGAAAAAACGGTGAAATGAGATTATGCTTGTTTATCATCCAAAAAAAATAGAAAAATTAGTTTTGTAAATGAAACTATTAACTGTTGTTTCTTAATTTAATAGAATTCATTGCCGAGGCTGAAGTTCCAGGTTGTCCCTCAAGTTGCCGTCTCGATGGAGTTGAATCTGCGGCAAAGTGGGATTGTTCGACGTATTTCGGTCAAGAAGTGGTTTCCGACAAGGAGCGGCGTCTACACAAAGGTTTTCTTTTCTGCCAAAGTCTACCTGATTTAGTTTATTCACGAGCAATACCTACGGGACGACATCCCCTGCGGATTAGGCTCTTGCCTCGAATGCCGACATTTTGATTCGAATTTAAACCTGAACCTGGGGTCCGACAACGCAGAAATCACAAAAGCGGTAACCCTGGCGAGCGTCATGACCCGTATTTCAGGTTCCTGGCAAACATGCTGTCATCTTCGACTTCACAGCACTTCAGCGATTCTATGACCTGCTCGATTACGACGTTTTCCAGTAATCTCATTGTAGATTTCCAGCTAATGCTTTTTTAGGAATGTTACGATTTGTCAGACAACCTGGGATCAGCTCACGAAGAAATGCGTTCTAGGCTATAAAAAGTTGAATACAAAGGTGGTGATACTTTCTGGCGGTTAATTGTGTTTTAGATTTATGAAGAGAAGAATGCCCGGTTCTTCGTTTTCCTGAACGACTATTTTGTCGCGACTGCTCGAAAAGAAAATCCATTGGCGTCCACTGCTCACTATCTAAAGAAGCATTGGGCCAACGCACTGGAGCCCGTGGTTTTGTGTGCAGAAGAGCATGATGTTGCAAAGCTTCAAAAGGATTACCCGAGGGTGATGACGTTGAAAAAATATATCGAAGGTAGAGTTGATAATTATTGACACCAATGATTTTTTAGGAATGAGTAATTCGCACCGGCAAGAACTACTAGACAAATTAGCTGCCTATGCTCCGATTGAAGGAGCACGAGCAATATTTGAGGAGCATCTGTCGCATGAAGTGTTGGCGAGATCGCTGGCAACTGGGACCGTGCGAAAAGGGAATTTCCAGGTATGGCCGACTCGTTGTTTTAAAGTGGTTTTAGGTGTCTAGAGAAAATTATCGCGAAGGATACGTTTTCGTTGACGGTGATATGGGTACGCGATGGTTCATTCAAGGTGCTATTATTCACACTTTTTGAACATTTTTATTAGGGCTCAATACGAATAGGGCTATCCACGGCGACACGGTGGCCGTGCAGTTATTGCCCGAATCCGAGTGGTCTGCTCCGGAAAAAGTTGGTTTCACTAAATTTACCGCACTGACTGAATTCAGGCTCTCCGTCTGCGGGACGTTGAGGAATATTCGTTGAATCCCGACGAGGATGAAAATGATGGCGGCTTAGAGCAACCGGCGCGCAAAAAGGCCAAAATTGATGTGATTCCGACGGCCAAGGTGAGTTCGGGCTGGTCCGCTATATTGTGTTTAGGTGGTTGGTATCATTCGGCGAAACTGGCGCCCTTATTGCGGCATCCTCATCCCATCTATTCGGAAGGAAGGCCGCCATCATTTGTTCTGTCCGTCTGAGCGGCTGATTCCTCGGGTTCGGATAGAGACGGAACAGGCTGACTTTTTGTCCCATCAACGGATTCTCGTGGCAATCGGTATGTGAATGAAGTAAGGGGTAGACGTACATTTTTCTTTTCAGACTGCTGGCCGCGCGACAGCAAATACCCGCTCGGTCACTATGTGCGCGCTCTTGGTAATATCGGGGATCGCGAGGTCGAAAACGAGGTATTCTTTTAAATTCGATAATTTTGGGTTATCTTCGTGTTCGTTACAATTTTAATAATTGCTCAATTTAGGTGCTGCTCCTTGAGCATGATATTCCACATGCACCATTCACTGAATCTGTACTGGATTGTCTTCCAAGCGAAGGGGCTAACTGGAAACCGGATGTACGTTTCTGTCTGGAACCTTGATTAAGCGCGATTTTCAGCTGAAGCCGCCGCGTGTCGACCTGCGAGATCTCGTGATTTGTTCTGTGGATCCGATTGGCTGTACCGATATTGACGATGCCCTACATTGCCGTGAAATTGGCAACAATTTATACGAGGTATTGCTGTTTTTCCGAAACATTGCCTCTCTCAGGTTGGCGTGCACATCGCCGATGTCACCCATTTCGTACGGCCAGGGACTGCGATTGATTCTGAAGCAGCCGATCGATGTACTACCGTCTATTTTTCCGATCGCCGTATCGACATGTTACCGGAACTTTTGTCCTCGAATCTTTGCTCGCTGCGTGGTGGCGAAGAGAGGTGCTCTAAAATTTTATTTTGATCATTATTTTTAGGTACACATTTTCCGTGATTTGGCAAATGACCGGGGATGCGACAATTGTCTCGGCCAAGTACCACAAGTCTTTGATCAAAAGCTCGGCGGCACTGACATATGAAAAAGCGCAGGAAATGATCGACAACCCGAAGCTGGTATGGATTTCCTTATGTCTCACGGGAGAAATCCTTTGAGAATGTCACTTTTAGGGAAAACCGAGGATTTTTCTTCAGTAATCGGACTTTTTTCCCTTGACTATTTCCCTGCGAGGCATAATTATTTTTATAGGATGATGCCACCACTCGGTCATTGCGTGGCTTGATGAAGTTGTCCAAGCTCTTGAAACGGAAACGTGTGAACAATGGTGCTTTATCGCTGGCTTCTTCAGAGGTATAGTTGCGATACGGTAAAATATTTTCCTCACCCAGGTGCGCTTCGATATGGATTGGGCGACCAAAACGCCGAAATCGGTGCAGAACAAGGAACACCTCGACACCCATTCCATGGTCGAGGAGTTCATGTTGTTGGCAAACATCTCTGTTGCGGAAAAGGTTTGGCAATTTCGTTAGCACTTATATATTTTGTTGCAGATTGTGGCCGAATATCCTGATTGTGCTCTTCTGCGACGCCATCCGGTCCCAGATGAGAGCAGCTATAAGCCCCTAATCGACGTACGTGAATTTTTTGGTTCCCAACAATCCATTTTAGGCGGCCCAGAAGAAGGGTTTCCAAGTTTCGACAGAGAGCGGCAAGGCCTTGGCTGACAGTTTGGATAGGTCAGTTGAAATAAGCTATCCACTATTTGCTTCTAAGGTGCGTTGACCGTCAGAACCCCATGACGAATACGTTGCTGCGAATGTTGACGACAAGATGTATGACGCAGGCACTATATTTTAGCGCAGGTTAGGGACTTTTAGCCTGTTTTCAGTTGTTTCAGGAACCATACCGCTGGATCATTACTGTCATTTCGGGCTTGCCACGCCTATCTACACGCATTTTACTTCTCCGATTCGACGTTATGCAGATGTCATCGTGGTAATTTTTTTATGGGCATTGTTTGGTTCATTCGTTTATGTAAACCAAATAATAAACAAAGGAATATAAAAATGATCGCTACATTCCGTTACTAAACCAGTTTTAGCATCGTCTACTGGCTGCTGCCATTGGAGCCGACGACATTGGTATCGGCTTGCTTAGTCAAACGAACGTGCAGAAAGTTGCGCAAAATATCAATTACCGGTACGAGATACAAGGGTGGCGAATAAGAAGAATTTAGGCACAAGAACGCCCAGTACGCCGGGCGAGCCTCCGTTCAGCTAACCGTGCTAACCTATTTCAAAGACCGCGAGGAAGTCTGCGATGGCTTCGTCATGGGAATTAGAGAAAATGGAATCCAGGTTCGAATTTTGTCCCTTACCGCGACCATTTTTTAGGTGTTCGTTCATAAATATGGAATCGAGTCTATGATTGTGGTGAAATCGGACGAAGTGAAGGTCGGTGTAGCGTATTGGCTTACGTCCAATTTCAGGTTGATACCGAGGCCCACACAATCACCAGTGGCAACCAGGTGCTCTCAGAACTCGATCGTGTCAAGGTATACCTTTTTCATCGAAAGTACATTGCTTGTAGGTTCGCGTGAAAGTCAATTCGTCCAACATCCAGCGGCCGCGAATCGTTCTCGACCTGCTCGACCCGCAGATTCCTGGCGTTTCGGTGGACTTTGATCTCAGCTCGTCTGTCGGAATGCCAAAGAGCTAGGCGACAGTATCCTGTTCCTGACAGACCTTTGTTTTGTTGATTTTTTTTAGTTGTCCTGTTGAATAAATTGTTACCTTCACGACTTTGCTTACGCGATTTTTTCGGCACAATCTTACCACATGGCGGTTTCGATCGATTTTGGCTTATCGTCATTTGCAGGAAAATAACAATTGGCTGAGGGTGTTATTTATCTTCCCTATTCGCGATATTAGTGCCTAATATAACCTAATCATTTACTAAGAGAATATTTTCCGGTCAAGCTTTGCGTCTATGTCTCCCCGGCTAGTAACACGCATTCTCAAATTCGCTTCCAATAATTTTGCTATTCCCATCTTTCTTTTAGATATGTCGCAGCTAATCTCGCTGTGTCGCGCCGTGATCGAAGACTATTTTGGGCCCATCGTTGCCACTGTTCGATTATCTTTCCGAGCTCAATCTTTCAATTTAGGTGGGCGAAGCATTGCTCCGAGAAGCGGGTCCCCTCGCAATAATTATTAGCCGGTTGAAAGAAAAGGTATTTTCTGGAATATCGTTTTAAATCTTTTCTTGAAGGTGACTCTGCCGCAAATTCGTCGTGCAATCGTTGTACTGGAGCAGCATCATCTACTAACATTTACACTTGTCAATGCGCAACGGGTGTACTATCGGTAATCCTTTGCAGACTTCGATGAATTGGTTCAGAATAAACCCCTGGGATGTCGTAAATCTGTTGCGGATTCCTCGCTGTGGCCAAGTCATCAAGTCACTTTATGCCGACGCTGGGGAAGCCATCTACGAAGAACTGGTATGTCGGAAAATCTTGAGTGTGCTCTGAATTCTTCATAGTGTCATCTGGGACGAAGACCTTTTTTCAGGGGGGGGGTCACGCCAACGTAGTGGCACACATTACCCCATTTCGGTCGTCGGTTAATGGTATTTTAGATCGGAGAAGGCCGAACGACGATGAACAGTTTGCTACAAAAGGTGCAAGGGAGAGAGCTGGGAATTCCGGTGACTGAGGTAATTTTTGACAGCTTTTGAAAATAGTCTTGCAGGTCTACAAGAAATTTTGCGCTCTTGCGGCCGCGAATTTTATTATTAAGGAAGCACCGGTGGAATGCGTTGTTCGGGTAAGATTCGGTGGCTTTTTTGATGAGTATTTTTAGGGCTGCCCAAGCTTCTCCACCACCTATGACCAATTCACCGTACCTGAACTGAAGCTGGCTAATTTCAACGACGGGTCTCGCAAGCGCAAAGCCTCCGTTAGCGGCGATGATGAGAGCATTTATTGGAAAATCAATTGGAATCGGTTTGTATTTCTTTGCACTCAATAGGCCGTTTTTAGTTTTGAAAAATATCTACGCGACGAGCTGATAATTGAACTGCTAGCTGGCCCACATTCTAGTTCGGTATGTTTACTTTCCTTTATCACATTCATTTTTGGTAGACTGAACACCAAGAGCGTCGCTCCACGATACTGGCTTTGCTGAAGACCAATGAGGCGCGCGCAACACCTCAGCAGATTCTAGAAACGTTACCGATATCGGTGAGAAATTTGCGACATTTTGCAAATCCAAATTCAGCTAACTGACATTGTAACGACCGCCAAGGACAGCGGCATCGCTGATCTTGATCGTCGATCAGCGGAATCGGCCCTACTGTCCATGTGTGAAACGGCAAATGGAGTCCTTCGGAAAGTGGGCGACAGTGCCGGTGGACTTTACACGATAGGTATGTCCTTGTAATTTATTTATATTCTTTTTTCTAGATTACTCTCTTGGAATGCGCCAACTCGCACAGTCTCACGTCGAATCGCTCATCCGTGAGCAGTTGGACACGAAGGCCGTCCGGATTTTCAGGCTCCTGCAGAGACACCGCTATTTGGAGGAGGAACAGGTATTTTTACTACTTGCAAGCTATTCTCACCAGATTTTTCTTATTAGTAATATCTTTCTTCAGATCGAAAAAATGGTCATGCTCAGTTCAAAAGAAACGCGGGAGCTACTCTATGCAATGAACGAAGAGAACTATGTTTTTGTCCAGGTACGACTTATTCTTTTTCCATAAGAGTATACCATTTCAGCCCCTGGGCAAGACATCGGATTTTGCTCCCGCTAGGACATTCTACCTCTACAATTTTGATTTGGACCGCACAGTCCGTCTCGTCGAGGAGGGCACTTGCAAGGTGACAGAAAATGTTTGTTGTTCAAAGGCCTTTAGTTCTTGCTGAATCTGATCAGCAGGCGAAAACATGAAGAGAAGCAACACTCCGTCCTCTTGGAGCGAAACAGGCGCATGGAGGCAATCCTTGCCGGCCTTGAAGAGAACACCTCCGAGCAACAGGTCCATTATTTTTTTTATTCTCTAACTCTGGGTTTAGAAAGCCGAAATCGTACAGATCTACTTGAGCGAAGGGGACCGAACAACCCTGGAAAAATATAAAAATGGACAGGTATGGAATTTCGGTCGAATCGGGTTTCAGACTTTTTCTAGGACATTATATTTTCTTATCATCTTATCAACTTCTTTCAGAAAATGCTGATGGCAAGCGAGGTGGAGATCGAACGAGTGCTCTTCGTACTGCACAGCCACTTGGGCTTCTCGAAACGGCGCGCACCTGTAGCGAAACGCGGCCGGGGGCGAAAATCGCTCGTCTGATGCAAGCACACCAGTTTTCAAGGGCTAGTTCATGATCATTTTTGGCCTGACTAGATAACTTTTCCAATTTGTTCGTTGCACTGTTGTTTGTTTTACTTGTTGAGATTCTTTTTGTTGATGATAAAGATGGTTATCTAATTGTTCTCCTAACGGATGCTTTCTGAGAAGCTTTGATAATTATATTCGATACAAATATTCGTAAATACTATCTTCGTTTGTTCGCCGTGCGGACGTCGGGCTCGTTTTGTCGTAGGCTGCTTTTTAAGGAAATGAATTCGAGCTCAACGGATCTGGTGCCCGACGATTACGCGTACAGGCAAATCGGCATTGATCCGGAGCAAGAGTTCAACTTCGATCAGGACAATGTTGTAAGTTTTTTTTCTGAGTTTCACTAATTTTAAGGGGTTCGAAATTAGGACATCTTTTCCAGGAATGGATGCAACCGCTTTTTCTATCGGTCATCGCAGCGAATGTCGAAAAACCAGATGGCGTTGACGCGGGCGCGTTTTTCGGAATGTTTTCTCAGGTGGCTTCGATTTGTGCCTTAATCATTAATTTTTAGATAACCGGTTTGGCGTGCACGGCGAGTGATATCCCAGTGTGTTTCCCCGGCTGCAATACCATTCCCGAGGCCATCGGCGCTTATCTGGATGATTACGTCCATTTCCACGAGTTCGTAATGATTTAATTGACCCTCCCGTTTAACAACGATCTAAAATGCAAAAATTGTCGTTTTTCTCTTACGCTGTATGCAAGGCTTCAATGAAGAAAGCGTCAGTGCCCATGTCTCATATGGTATTTGCAGATCTTTTGGACTCTTCAAACTGAAGGCTGTTCCGAATGACCGCGGTGGCGACTGGAAGTTTATTCTGGTGATGCTAGAAGAACAAAGGAAACGCGAAGAAATGAGAATTAGCAAGAAGGCGGCCAGGAACTACGAACCTGAGAAGCGGCGGATCTATATGGAGGTGTGGTGCAGCTTGCTATTTCCTTGATAATCCTCAACTTTAGAACTTCAACGCACTGCACGCAATCATGTCGGAGATCAACGCCAGGCAACACAGGCCGCCCAACAGCCCAATCCCGTTCGCCGATCTTCGAATAGCCTATGACAAAGTTGGACAATGCCTGAATGCAAAGGTGAAGCCGGTTGCTGGTTACGGTCCAATGAATATTTTTTCAGTATATGACGGAGCATTTTGGCCGCTCGTCATTCAAGAAACTGGTGCTCGACAATACCAATAGCCTGTTCTCATCTCGTCTCGAATACATCGAATCGCCGAGGGGTGGTGGACTCTTCGACTTGGCTATCAAGAAGGGCGTACAACGTTTGTATTTCCCCTTTTATCCTGTCTGAAAAATACTATGGCATGTCTCATACTCGATGTTATTGGGTTGTTTCCAGCATTTACCGAGGCGGAAATCGCTGTGACCATCGAGGCGGCTATCCAGGATAAGACTAATCTACTGAGATCTAAGAAGGAACACATCACGGATTTCAACAAGGTAATTGACTCTGTTCGCTATTGGCTCGTTTTTTGCAATAAATTTGTCCTCCTGAGTCTTTTCTTTTTTTTTTTGTTTTGTTTCCTAGCATTATTAACTTATTGACGGCTTTATCAATCGCATGTCACCGGAACAGTTTAACCACTGAAATCGATTATGGTTGTAGAATTTCGAAATTTGACGGAAGCAGTGATTTTGACATTCTTTATAATTTCTGCTTTAATGAATCTTTTAGAAACGGCAAGAAAATCGGCCTGCCGGCAAACCAGTAGCAACCCGCCCTGAGGTTCCTAAAAGTGAACTTCCCGCTCCCATCCTCGACATTATCAAAGGTATTTTTTTGAAACTCCGCGTGGCTATTCCAATGTCCGTTCGCTTACTGGCCAATTTTATTTAGGAACAGTGCGGCAACCGACCGAAATGCCGCGTGTGGTTCAACCTCGTGAAGTAATCATTTCGCGTTGTCCTGCCGAACCACAATTCAGGAGAGCTCCACCGATGATGACGACAACGCCTACACCGATGACGAGGAGGATCGAAAGCAGCGCGTGGAAAGGAGCCGGGCGAACCAGAGTACAAGGCAGGACGTTTCATTTCCGGTACAGTTCCATGGAAAATAATACAGTGAAATTAGGCGCCCAGTCGCGCCCCCCTCCGTCCCCAGGAAATCGGCCGCAACGTATGGGATGATCCTCGGTGAGCTAACGATAATCTACTGACTTTGCTTTAGCGCTGATAGCCCCACCATGGATCTCCAACAATTGAGGATCCTGGTATGTCTTTCGAACCATAAATAAATCTTTATTAGGAGCAACAGACCGGATCTGCGCCGTCGCCAGCAAATGTCAATGCTTTCTCTGGGATAAAGGCACGAGTTTTCGGATTTTTACCTTTTTTTAGTTTTTCCCGCCCGATCAGAACGCAGCCGAATATGTGCAGCCGCGGGCTTCCGACCCGCACGGCCAATCAACGCACGACGAATCGGCCCAGCCAGTAAGCTTTTATTTTAGAGGATCGATTTTGCTTGTTTATGCGGACAAGACTTACTAGCTGAAATTGTTGGATGCTTGAATGTTAGCTATTTTTTTTACTCCTACTATTTAGTCGTCGCATTTCGCCGCCCGTGACGCTAACACGGTGGCCGGCTTCAACCCAAATGGCCGTGCCGACTTCAACCCAACTATGGGTGCACCATCGTACCAGTCAGAAACTAAGCAGGCTACCCAGGTATTTTGTGAATTCTTCACAATTTTTGTGATTTTTAGGATTCGCACTTTGGCGCCCGCTTCAACTCAAATGACCGTGCAGGGTTCAACCCAGTTATGGGTGCACAATCGTACCAGTCAGAGAATAAGCAGGCTGCTCAGGTGATTTGTCGTTTCTTTAGGATTTTTGTTTTTCTCTAGGTTTCGCATTTTGGGGCCCGCAACAACAACCCGGTGGTCGGTTTCCCCTCAAATGATCAACCGCAGCTCAACGCCACCTTCAGTGGATCATCATACCAGCCCGAAAGTGTTCCGGCTGCCCAGGTACTTTTTAGCATTTTTTTGCTAAAGGCTAGACTGCGATGCGGACGATTCACTAAGAAATAGTTTTGCTAGTGCTGTTTTCTTGGTCCCAAGGAATTGTTGGTGTTTTTAGCCGTCGCAGTTCGGCGCAATTCGGTTCAACCCCAACCCGGTGGCTGGCTTCTCAGATGATCGGCTGCAGTTCAACACCAATAGTGGGCCATCGTACCAGCAAGTGAATATTCCTGCTACTCAGGTATTTTTTTTGCGAATAGTTTATGAGGATATCTGGTGAATCTCTGCTAGCGCAAATTTTGATGCGGCTTAATAATTATTATGCTTCTTTAGCCTTCTACGTTCGGCGCCCGCAACCACAATACGATGGCTGGCTACTCCTCAAATGAACGCCCACAGTTCAACACCACCATGCCATCGCACCAATCTGAAAATCATTTTGCTACCCAGGTATTTTTGGAAATTTGTCCTCTTACCTTGCTTACAGCAACCACAGCAGCAACAGAGCATCTCCAGAAACAACGTCGATCCGCATGGACGCTCTATGCCAAATTTCCAGGTGAGCTTATCAGGCACTTTCAAGAAATTTTACTTTTTAGCCATCGATGCCTTCATATCCTGAAGAGCGTCGTGGAATGTCAGCTTTCGACAAGCCGCCACAACGCAACGGTGGACAGCTGGAGGTCGGTTTTTTTGCTCAAGTCGCTTTGGCTCTGGTGCGTTATCAGGGGCTGGAAACTCATTTTTTGCCGGCTTCCTTGGACGCCGAATAATGTCAGTCAGCTTCAAACTATTAATTTTTTAAGAGCCTTTTACAACGTTTTAAATAATCTACAAAAAAACAAACATTTTTTGATTTTTGCAAAAAATTTGTCAGATTTTTATTGATCGGAAGCTTCAAAGAACACTCTAAAAACCGTCTAGGTTTTTAAAGTGTTCTTAGAAGCGTTTAAGCCGAATAAACGATGTTGCCGCATCCCTCCGCCCTGATAACGAACCAGAACTGGTGTTGCACTGCGGGAGTGGAATGGTAACATCCCAATTTTTAGTTCAATCAGTACGAGGGAGCGGCGCAGGCTATGCAATCGAATCAGAGCTTTTCTACGCAAAGCATTGTCAGTGCTATTTTTTCGCGCCACAATCAACCCTTTTAGCAAAATCCTCGTGGTCAATTTGCGATGGGCTCGTCCTCTGGCTCTCAGCCTGCCTATTCGCGTTCCGAATCTCGACAGGATGTGTTCCACGGGTCCGGTTCATCCGGCAATACAACGCGGGTGAATTTTTCGTTTTCCTGAAATTTGGGGCATGCCACGACCTGTCCATAAGAAATGCAAAGCGCTTCTTGCCCACGTTTGGTATAATCGAGGTCTTCCAGCGCGGGCAGGGCTTCTCCGAAACGCCCCAACCTGCCGTCCATGGATTCGTCGCCCGGGAGGCCGGCATCCAAACTGACAACGACTTTTTTGACGAGTTTGTCAGTTTTCCCCCATTCTCCTTGGTTTTTTATTGATTTTTGTCTATGCCCATATTTGACGGTTTCAGGGCCGCTTTGAAACCTTCAATTCGAAGGAGGCGCTGGCTGAGGTGATTTACAATCTGCTGGTGTACCGTGAGCGTGAAAAGGAGTCCCTCAGGGTTCGTTACTCTTTTTACACTCGATAAACTTTTTCGTTTCAGCTCTGCAAAGTCGAGGAAATTATGAACGTCCTTCTGATGAAGCCGCTCTCGCACTACGGCCACAACAACTGGGCCTCGTTCATCACCTTCGAATGCGGTAACCGGATCAAGCTCAACCCGGTTGGCTCGCCAGCGAATGATGTGAGTGTTCTCTTTTCAGCTTTTGATAAACGGTGTTTTTAGTTTCTTCTGACGTTGTGGAACTGATGTGCCAGATGTGCAGCTTTCACCTTCACCTAATTGACGATACATCGAGCACTACCCGCTATAATGCCCCCTTTTGCCTACCACATTTTGACGTGTGCCTTGCCAGCCCTGTGATTTTGTTTGCGTGCATTACTTAAATTTCGACAAAATTTGACTGGAATATCTGAAATAAATATGTTTACAAAAATTCGACGACATTTGTAAAAATTTGAGCCAAATTGCCAAACCGGAAGTGAGGGATGGCAGTGAATCATGATTACAATGAAAGAAAATTTTACATCCGGAAAACGGCCGTCATTTGGCTGTGTTCTCAGGTATATAAGCAGGGCAGACGATCGAGCCAGCATCAGTCCTCGAACAAGATGACCTCAGCTTACTTCGGCGTTGGTGGCGGTTCGAATCCCGGAGCCGCCTCGGCCTACTTCGGTGTCGGTGGCGGTGGCGCCAAGGTAAGCTCATGCTGCTCATGCTAATTACCCCCATTTTTCAGCCCATGGGCGGCGGAGGTGGCGGAGGCGGTGGCGGCAGCGTTCCAGCCGGAACCTCGGCTTACTTCGGTGTTGGAGCTGGTGGCGGTGGCGGTGGCGCGACCTCGGCGTACTTCTCGGTTGGCGGCGGCGGTGGTGGCGGCGCGGCTGCGGCTCCTCCTCCCCCGATGGCCCCGATGGGAGGCGGCGGAGGTGGCGGTACTTCGACGATGACTGCCATTGGTCAAGGTGTGTTTTAGTGATAAAGCTGCTCGGCGAACGTTTAGCGCCGGTAAAATGTAAATAAATTTTTAGTTTTCGACAAATAAATTTACGCTTTAACACAAACACAATTTCAGCCCCTGGTGGTGGCGGCGCTGGACGCTCGACCATGACGGCCGTCGGTGGAATGCCCGGAGGTGGCGGCGGTGGCCAATCTACGATGACTGCTGTTGGCGGCATGCCCGGAGCCCCGGCTGGCGGATCCTCGACGATGACAGCTGTCGGAGGAATGCCGATGGGCGGCGGTGGCGGCCAATCGACCATGACGGCCATTGGAGGAATGCCTGGAGGTGAGCATCAACAAGCTGTCGTTTTATTCCTGCTATTTTGCAGGAGGCGGTGCTGGCCGCTCGACGATGACGGCCGTTGGAGGCATGCCTGGCGCCCCGGCCGGCGGATCTTCCACCATGACCGCCGTCGGAGGAATGCCGATGGGAGGAGGCGGTGGCCAGTCGACGATGACTGCCGTCGGAGGCATGCCCGGCGCCCCGGCTGGCGGATCTTCTACCATGACCGCTGTCGGAGGGATGCCGATGGGAGGCGGAGGCGGCCAATCGACGATGACGGCTGTCGGTGGAATGCCCGGAGGCGGTGGCGGTGGCCAGTCGACGATGACGGCCGTTGGAGGAATGCCTGGAGGCGGTGGCGGCGGCGCGTCGACCATGACTGCTATCGGAGGAATGCCCGGAGGTAGTTACATAAGACTTTTCGACTAATTTTCCAAAATCCAAAAACTAAAAATTTCGGAAAACTGTGCAAAAGGTGGCTGGAAAAAAACACTTCCAGGCGGTGGTGCCGGCCGTTCGACGATGACAGCTGTCGGCGGCATGCCTGGAGCCCCGGCTGGCGGCACTTCGACCATGACTGCCGTCGGCGGCATGCCCGGCGCCCCTGCTGGCGGCACCTCGACGATGACCGCTGTGGGAGGAATGCCCGGCGCCCCGGCCGGTGGTGGCGGCGCTTCGACGATGACGGCCGTTGGCGGTGCTGGCGGCGGACTTCCGGCCCCTGCGATGGGAGGAGGAGCCCCGATGGGTGGAGGCGGTTTTGCCCCGACGGCCCCTGGCGGCGGCGGCGCGACCTCGGCTTACTTCGGTGTCGGCGGCGGCGGCGGTGGCGGCGCTACGTCTGCTTACTTCGGCGTTGGCGGCGGTGGCGGCGGCGGCTCGAAGGTAAATAATGCTTGCTTTTTCGCGATATTTCTGCTAATGAATTTTCGGCATACCGTAAACCAATACTCAAAACCCACTTTTCCAGCCGATGGGCGGCGGCGGCGGCGGTGGAGGCGGTGTTCCGGCCGGCACTTCTGCCTACTTCGGCGTCGGTGGTGGTGGCGCGGCTGCTGGTGGCACGTCTGCCTACTTCGCCCCGAAATAAGGACATCGACGGGACGACGACCCACTCCCCTACTCGCCCTCAAAGTCACCTGAGACGCCTCGTGCTCGCTTTCTTTATATGTAGCCCGAACGATTTTATGAAGACTGGGCATTGAATAAAGACTTTTCCCAGCTATTTTGTCTCGCGTTGTGTGTGCATTGTCACAATTATACAGAGTTGCAGTTGTGCATGATTCATCACATCCGGTTCTTGGCTTGATTGTTGAGGTGGCATTCGGCTTCACGCTAGTTGCGAGTCGCGCTTTTTGCGCCATTAGTAAAATTTCGTTGCGATGAATAATGCCTTTGTTCGCCGCGAGCGGCTTCAACGCCCCAGCCATCCCGTACCATTTCCCCCAAGCTCATCCCCAAAAAAATATCAAACTCTCATTTTCCTTGCCCTCGTTGCTATGACGTAAACATAATCCTACCCCACGTGGTGCCTCCTCAATTTTGCCATGTCCGCGACATTGAGGGCGGTTTCCCCCGCACCCAGTCACTGTCCTTGCTGCTATTGCATCCTCATTCTCACCAAATCAAATGCAATGATAGCCGGAGGAGGCGGTTGAACTGGCCTGATGCGATTGTGGTCTTTCACCCCATCACACATCGCACATGCGAGCTCTGCACCCTTGACTGCCACCCGCTCCCCCCCCCGCCCCGTTGGTGGCTTTTCATATGTGTCGTGCCCTTGTTGGAGTCGGGGCGGTGCGCGCGCTTCTCGATTTGATTCGAGACCAACTCGATTTTGGACAAATTGATAATTTGTGAGCATTAGTCCGCGCGGCGCCACTTGACGTAATCGTTGCTTCCTGTACTGAATGGGCGCGACATCGGCATTTTTTTTGTTCTCTGCAACGGATTCTAGTTTTTTAGATCGTCGTAGATTTTGTTTTATTCGCTTTGATGACATTTACTTTTTTACCCCGAAACCGGGAAATAAGGTCCAGGGCCATGCTAGAGCTATTTTTGTGTTTTTTTTACGTTTATTAAATGTAAAATAGCTCCAGCTGGTCCCAAGGGAGTTCCAGCGATACAGGAAAACTCCTGCACAAATGTTTTACGTTAACTTGGGCTTAAAAGTGCGATTTCACCTAACTTGCTGAACTCTGAAGTTCGTAACCATATATACTTTTCCAGGAAGCCATCTCGAAGCGTACTTTCGCTGCCCTCGCCGTCAGCCAGGCCGCCATTTGCCTCGCAGGCCTCACCAAGTGCTGCAGCTCGGTAATTTTTTCATTTGAGTGACCCGAGCGCCGCCGAATTCTCCGACCAGCCGGTGTGCCAATTGGCGTTCCAATTATGCGTGGAATCCATGCTATTCGCTCTGATAACCGGGTAGCGCGTTCGGATACCCTGCTGATCTAGCGAGCCCTTTTTGGGTTATGCACAGCGGCATTTCGCGGATAGCCGGCCGTTCGGGATTGAGACTAGACTTTATTTCCATTCCAGGTCTTACTGCCGTCTGCAACGTGAATGCACTGGCGACTGTTCGCCCTTGGGTGTGTGCTGACGGCGATCACAAATTTCCCAGCAGCCTTCCCGCATACATCGCTCAACTCTGCCGTCAACACGGTCAACCACTTCATCAATTCAAGTTATGCGGAGCGCGATATACAACTCGAGGAGACGCACGTTAGTCTGCTGCTTAATCTCATAATCCCTATTTTCAGTTATCCCTTCTGCGCTCGCTACTGAATTGTCTGTGGTATGCCGGTCAGGTGTGCGGGGCAGCCGTCAGCCCGTTGATTTGTGACCGCTATGGGCGAAAAGGTGATTTGATAACTTTCTCGGCTGACCACCAATTTAGCGGCGTACATGATCTCTATCTTCATGATGACCCTGGCTGGTAGCGTGCAGACCGTTGCCGCTCTCACCAGCTACCCCGAGGTATTTTTTGCATCCTGCCGAATCTTTTTTTTGTTTAGGTGCTAGCTTTTGGAAGGATCTTGTCGGCCGTCTTTTCTCCATTAAGCGATGCGGCACTGATTCTCTACCTACAGGTCGTTGCTTCAATCACAAAAATAACTTTCGTTCAGGAGATTTCTCCGGCTGCTCTGCGTGGGACGATGTCATCACTGTATTCGACCGGCTATTGCGTGATCGGGTTGATCGGCATGATCGTGGGCCACGAGCTTGTCCTAGGGTTTGTCTGTCGTTTTTAGTTATTTGCGTTTTTCAGGCATTCTCTCTTCTTACTGCTGGCAATCCCGGCCCTCGTTGGGATCCCGTCCATCTTGTTCAGCGTCTTTATGCCCGAGACCCCGAAATACCTATGGCTGTCGAAGTGAGTTTTAAAAGTTGCTCGCTACTGTTAGTTTAGACACAACCAAGCGGGTGCCCTGAAGTCGTTGAAATTTTTCCGCGGCAACTTCAGCAACCACACGAATGAGTTGGAAGAGATGATCCGGGAGTCCGATGAGATCAACACGAGCAAAACAGACGGATTGGGATTTACGGTAATGTACTTCATACAAGCTTGGATTTCTTTATTTAGTCAATGCTTTTCTCGAAGACGATGCGGGCCGCATTCGGCTTGTCGATTTCCGTGCTTTGCCTCACCCTTCCATTCTACCCACTTTTCCAAGGGAGCACGTACTTTTTCCTGCAGCTGGGCGTTGAAAGGTTGGGTTCTGGAAAGAATTGTATTATTTTTGTTGTAGTAATGTTGCCCAGCTTTCCTCGTCTGCGTTGATGGTCGTCCTCACTATTGCATGCATTCTCTCCACGGTCCTTATTGATCGTTTCCCCCGTCGAGCTCTTCTGCTAACTTCTGGTAAATCGTTGTCAACAATTATCCTAATTTCTTTCCAGGTTTCGCGGGTGTCTTCTCACTTTCCATGTTTGTACTTTGTGCCACCGTACGGGAACCCCTCGGTGCGATGTGCTCTACTTATGCTTTCATTTTTGCTTATGGGTAACGCCTACCTTCCTTTTTCTAGATTTTTTTAGAATCGGTATCGGGCCAATTGCATGGATGGTTCCCGCCGAGCTTGTCCCCCTCTCTAGTAGGTAGGGAAAATAGTGCTGTAAATTCCAACCCTTCTTCCTGTCTAGGTCAATGATGTTCTGCACGTGCTACGCTGTTCACAGCGTTTTGGTGGTAATAACGAGCTTCATCACGGTGCCGCTTTGCGACGTAAGGGCAGCTGCCATCTTTCCCCACACCGCCATTTAGTTGTACGGCGCCTCGGCCTTCGTCCCGATCTTCATACTGCCGTCGATTGTTGCCCTTCTCTACATTGCTTTATACTTACCTGAAACCAAGGTAGCGAGTATTTTTTGCGTAGTTACTCCCCTTTTTAGGGGCGGGCTATCCACGAGATTTTGGCAGCCCTTCGGAATGGACACAAGATTTCGCCAACCCTCGACTGATCGGGTCCAAGTTCAACACGAAAGCCGCATTTCGGAATCACCGGTGATCTTTTTAAATGTACGTATTTTGCTATGCTGTGATATTGTTGTGTATGCCGATAAAATGCCTGCTACCCACAGAGCCAAATCAAACCCTATCTGGTCCCCGCGAAGCAGAAGCCGAAACGGCTGGCGCGCATTGTTACGCGTTGAATAGTTGCTGGCCTCAGTTCGTGAGCAGGGTGTTGCCGGCGGCATGCAGCCCCGATGGGACGGGCTGGGAGCTCATCTCCTATGCAAATTTTAGGCCCCAATAAGCTTCTGTGTGGCGCCGGAGCAGAGGAGGGCGATGCCCGGAGGGGGTTTTTGAGCCAATGCTTTTGAGGTGGACTGCTTGGGGGCTTGTTCCCACTTCTTAAAGTCGCAGGGGGCTAGACAAATACATGTTGTTGGCCGGCGGGGTGCAGTTGATCGTTGAGTTTAGGTTGAGAGGCTGGTCGTGGTGTTCTTTGCGATCAGTCTATTTGATGTGTCTGCTTTTGATAGTTTTACGCTATTTTTCGGTAGAAAGATCCGTAAAAAAATTAGTAAAATGTACGGAAAATTTTTGCCTATTCGGCAAGAATTTAAATATCTCAGATTTTAAACAATGACGGTAAAGGTTAGAAATTTTCCCCGTTGTTTAGCCACCCGCTAAAATCTCAGTACAAAAAGCACTTTCGTTTCCGGACACGGTACAACCCACCCGAAGCAACCCCGCGCGTCCTTCTTCACGCCTAAGTGGGGCCCGCCCAACAAAGATAGTCCAAGAAACAGACATTGCGGGCCGACGAGACGCATTAGCCGCCCTGTTGATCGCCGCTTTTTTGGCTCTCAAAGAAGCGCTGTTTCCGGCGCGCTGTTCGTTAGTAGCTAGAGGCGAGTGAGGGCCGCGAGTAGCCGCTCATCCCGGCGCAACCTTGTTCCACCCGCGCGCGCCCCCAACCCCCCAATCTGACAGTCTGCTCGGGCCACCGGGCCCCCGTGTCGTGTTTGTGCTGCTTCAGCCTGGGGGTCGCCATCTTTGGGGGAAGGGAATGTGTCGTCTCGCGCCTCAGGCTCTTTCCTCCCTCCACCCCAAATACCGTAGGGCCCGGCCTCCCTTTTGGGCCCTGTTGGGCCCGCCCACCCCATCGACCACGGTCTCGCGCACGGCTCGCGCGGGTCCGCTTTTTCCCTCCGCGCGACCCCCCTGGCTCCACCCGCAGAGCTTGTCCCCCACCAGCTTTTCATCACCCACAACAACCACTTCAGCCGGCTTGCTTGTTGCGTTTTTATGACACGTCTTCGAAGCGGCGGAATTCGGAATTCCTTGACTTTTGTAATCATTATTCAATAAATCCGAATCTTTTCTAGAAATGGAGCCAGTTTTTTCGTGCTCTCGCGAGCTAGCGCCTTGAACTTTATCACTTTTTCTATTAGCTAAAATGATGGTTTTTTTTGTGCTTTTATCTGCTTAGGTCTATTTCGTAAATGTTTTGGTGGTAGGTGTCCTTACAATTCCTCATCTATGCTTTTCTCTGACTTTTCCGGTGTTTCAGAACATCTCAGAAGCTTTTGAGCTTTCTTGGGTATAACGCAGCGCCTCGCATTACCCTTTAAAATGAAACTAAGTTAATTAATTTGGTAACCACCGATGACATGATTTATTTCACCTCTAGGAATTTTGATATGAACTTATTTAGTGCACCCTCGCTCTACCCCTATCTCTCTACAAGCACTATTCATCCCCGGTCACGCCCGCGTTCCGTATCCGCGCCCAGATTCGGAAGCTTTTGACCTCTCCTCCCCTACCATGATGCCCTCGAGTCGGCCTTGAAATAGCAAATATGGAGCCCCAGATTGGGGCTTCGGATAAACAGCCCCCTCTCTTCACACCCCTTCTCAATCTATTCCGGACACTCGACCCCTCGCCGCTGGGTCCTAGAGCCCCGATCGGGAAGTTCCAAGACGCGCTCAACTGTTGGCGCCGCATTTGGAACGGGGCCCCCTAGGGGGATCGCCATGTGATCAGTTGAGTGGAATTGGGAGAACAGGACGGATAGAACTAGAGTTTAAAATCTATTAGTGGTTACTGTCAGGATTTAGTGCGCCAAAATTCAGAAAAATTATCCAGTTGGCCAAAAAGTGTGGATTTTTGAGATGTTCTGACAATTTTTAGAGTTTTCGAATCTATTAAAAGCACTATATCGATGTTTAGATTCGTTTTTATCGAAAAATTTTTTGAGGTTGTTTCGAATTAGCAAATGTCGCAGGGGCCGCACGCGCTAATTATAGATATCTGGATCTTAGAACATCTGTTTTTACTTATGGAGTATGCTCGTAAATAGCTACCTAAGATATGTATATAGATTTTATTAGATTTAGATACACTTCTATAATACTACCGTATGATTAATATATTTTACTAAATTTATTCATATTTTACCTTAAAGATATCAGGACTGTAATGCAGATAACAGGATTATAATGCACGGCTGGCTTATGTAAATGGACTATTGGACCGTTCTACATTTTTTAATTGCCTTTTTAGCATTTTGAACACTTTAAAAATTTTCTGCGCTTTTCCTTTTTACTGATGCGAAAGACTATTCGTTTTTCAAAGCCGCCGTTCCCGGAAACCAAAAATACCCAAAAAAAACCCCGACTCTTGCTTTTCCACCACCCCCCAAAACAAACCAGTACCCCGCCCTTTGAAAATTGTTTTTTTTCTTCCACCAAAAGACTGCCTTCACCATTGTGTAGATGCCCCCGGTGAATGTTGGTTTGTCGCTCCCCCCTAGACGGAATCGAGTGACTGAGACGGTGTGTGTTTGTGGCCTGGAGGGATGGAGGTCCAGTCCTGTGCTGCCTTCACATCCCGTGCCCCGGAACCCTCCTCATGTTGACTGGGGCCAAATATACCCCGTCCTGGCCTCTTCCTCAGGGCACTCCAGTCATTCCCGGCCATCCATCCACCCTCATAGGGGTCTGCGGGGGCCCCAAGACTTGTTATCTGGGAGTAAGCGTGATTTTGCCGATTTTCGCGATGCCGAATTTTCATGTTCCGATTTTTTAGTACGATTTTAGCTCAATTTTGAGTTTCTGCTAGCGCCTTGATCGTGTTACCAAAAATCCAGAGCCAAAAAAATCGGCATGGTCAAATTGGGTCCTTTTGTATTATCCGGGGCGGGCGGGGGCCACTGAATTTTTTATAAGCCCGGAAAAGCCTGGTGAGGAAAAGTAAATTATAACTGTATTCTAAGTCGAAAAACTTTCTAAAAACTTTTAAAAATGCGAAATTTGGCCCGACAAGCCGCCAATTTTACTAGAAAAAGCGCTTTTTTTGGGTTTTTTTTAATGAAGTTTGATGACCTCTATGTGGTGGAAAAATAGGATTCTAAGGAGATGTATATTCCGGGCGTGCAACCCCCCCCCTTTGCGCTGAAAATTCGGAAGCACAGGAATTCGACGTGGTGAGATTGGCATCGCCTAAACCAACGTAGCGAAAATTATGGTGAAAATCCGAGTCAAGAAAACCGACACAGTGAATGAAATTCGGTATTTAGGCAATCAGGCGGAACTCGGCTTCATGGAAAACTGGCCAGAAACGATAGTAAACAGTCAAAATCCTGAGAAGACGCAAAGTCGTCCTTGTGGCCTGTCGGGATTTTAGCTGCCGCGCTGTGCAATGTCGGAATTTTGGCGGCCCTCCCCCCCGTTGATCAGCTGCGTCAAAACTAAAAATGACAAGGCTTCACTTTTTCGATTCCCTGGATTCTATCCTCGTCTATACACGCCACAGCCTCCCAAGTCTTCATAGATTGATCGATTCGCGTCGCCATTGCAACCCGACCCATCTCCCACTTTCCTCGGTCCCGACCCGCTCTGCTCGTCTTCAGCTCCTCGCCCCCCCTCCCCCCCTGAACCGCTTGGCCCCGGGGGGCGTGAAGGTGTGCTAATGAGTGGGCAAACAGTCCCCCACAACGAGAAAACCGTCAAAAAAGGGGGTGGTCTTGGAAGAGTGGAAGCTTTTCTGCGCTCGCTCCAGGGATTAGGAAAGTTGGAGAAATTCTACCAAATTTAGGGAAGAACGAAGGTTTGGGTCGTTGGTTTATGGTCGAGAAATGTGGTACTGTACTGTTAACGGGGGGACTAATTTTTGCGAGTAATCCCGTAGGGCCCTATAATAAAAGATAAGCCTTTTTATTGCATTTTAAACAGTTTCCTATCCTATAAGCGAGAAAATTTAGATATAAAGCCTGATAAAAATTTATGAAAATTGTGTAGCTTTTACATTTTAGATAAAAAACCTCGGAAATCGAGATTTTAAAAGGTTTTTATAGCTTTCTGGGAATCCAAAACTACTAAAAATACTATAAAAAACAAAATGAATGATCAACAGGTTCCACAACAGGATTGTTGTTGATTGTACAACAACTGAACAACAGGGAAGTAAATTATTTTTCCATTGCTCAAACCCCCCCGCTAAAAGCCCAGTACCAAAGTTGGTCCCCCGATAATGCACAAGCACCTTTCTCGGCTTGTTTCCATCCTGCTCTCCCCCGAACCCGACAATCCCTTTGTAACATCCCGCTCAAAACAGTGCGGCAATGTTAGCGGGTGACCCATGCTCGGATTTCCTTTGACCATCTTCAGGAACCAGCCTTTTTTGCGCGCTGTTCAACGCATTGTCCCCCCAAATTGGGCCCCCACATTTTCCTCAAAGACCCCCAGGCGGCTTCACCCGCCCTTTTAGGACAGCAGCGCGCTACGCGCGGAACATGGGGCGCGGGGGGAATTAACTACCCGGATGTGGGCACCGCCATGTTCTCGACAAACACCCCCCTGTTCCGTCGTTGATCAAGAAAACCTGCCCGAACCTTCCGAAGTAGGGCGACGTCTAGCGTTTTGGAAGCGATAGCGCTGTCTGATCGTAAATTCTACGCTTCAAATCGTCTCTGCTAGTATGCCCGTCAATTTTATTGTCGTTTTAAGATTTTGAAGGTTTTTGATTTTTTCAGGGGTGTATTAATACAGGCACTTTCAGTTTTCAGTTTTAGCAGCGTGGAAAGCTGCCGTGTCTTACCTTTCATCCCTGCCTACTAATAAATAGAGTGTATTTTTATAGTGATGCGTAGTATTACATATATAGGAAATCTGGTTATTCTTAATTGTCTCTTTTTGGCCATTTTTTCATGCATTTTTGGCCAAAGCGCTATCTTTTTAAAACGTAAATATGCTTTTATCAAGTTTTTATGTAAACAGCCTAAAATACCATAAAAAAGTTTTGTGTCCCCGCAAATCCCGCCCTGCTAACATTTAGAATGTCGGGATTTCATAACGTCATAATGTCGAAATTCCAATATGTCTAAAGTTTTCGCGTACATTTTGGTGGTTTTCCCGTAAGATTTGCTTATGTAACTTGTAAACATTGTGCAATTTCGGCTCTATGACACCTCGCCATTATGAATTTCGACATTTTGAAGGTAACCCCGCCTTCATACCTTCCATTCAGCCAGAATCTTCCCATAACCATTGACATTCCGTGTAGTCGACTCACCCCCCTCGTGCAATACCGCCCGGAGGTATCGTGTCGACTCGAGTGGACCCAAGTGCTCCGTTTTCTCTCGCCCTGTGTAATCGCCCACCGGCCACCCTCGTTTTCTGGCATATCTTTTAGCCAATTCCCAAATTTCTAGTCCTCATCCGGATACTACCCCTATAATCGTTCCGCCCATTCAATCGCCCAGATTGGCCAGCGTGAAGCTGATGAGGCGACGAAGGGTCAAACTGAGTAGTGACAGCTCGCAAACACCATCGGCCACGCTGCTCGCGCTTATCGGACCCGGGGGCTACGAGCTAGCGCGCGCGCGAGAATTTAGCCCGGAAATTTATTGGTCAGGGGATGAGGCGTTGGAATTTCAAGATTGAAGACGACAACCTATTTATGAAAAATGGTTTTAATAACTTTTTTAGGCTCTTTTACGATCTTTCAATCGCTTCCGGTGAAGTTGAGAATTGTAGAGCAAAAACCCAAAAACCCAAAAAACTTTTAGGATAAAACTTTGTAACCTAAATGTATGTCTCGGCGCAACCTTTCTTTCTTTTCTTGTAACCCGTGTGGCTTGATGCGGCTTAATTTGGCTTTTTGCAGCACTCGAGCACCGGCCGGCCCCTCAGATGCGGTAGCGTGGGCATGCGGCACACATCGAGAAGACTTCTGCCTTCACTTTTCCAATCCCTACCCCTCCTACTCATCTTATTACTCCGGCTCGCCCAGGTGAGCGTGCTTTTTGCAAACTTTAAAACGCTTGGTTTGACTAGATTTTTCATTATTAAAAACGGTAACCGCATCAAAATAGCGCATGAAATCCTCATTTTTTAACAGTTGTTAATAATTTTTCACTGAAATCGCTCAGACCTGAACCCCATAATAATTGTAAGTAAAGAGACTTTACAGTATTTATCTCTTTACTCAGCACTTCATTACTCAATTTAGGCGACTTCCGACGTTGGCGGCTCCGAATACGAGGCAGATGACGTGCAACCGCCCGTCAGCAATCATGCTCCAGTGCTTCAGGTGAATCTTACACTCTTTTTCACTAAAAATTCATTTAAGGTATCCGCCACGGAGGGCTTCCTAGCCGAAACTGCCGAAATTGGCACAACAGTCCGGGTGGCCGCCTCGATGCACTCGGACTCGCTGCAGATCCTCGTTCATGACGATGACTTGGTGAGTGGCCTTTTCGAATTTCATTTATATTATTCTCATAGCGCATTCGACGCATTTTTAGCGTTAAATGCATTTTTATATTTCATTTCAGAAAGCTGGGATGCCCCCGGCTACGTACCAGTACATCCTCACGGGGCTCGGAGCGACAATTTTCGCCGTTGACCAGCGGGGTTATGTTTATCTGAACGTGCCCGAGATCGACGCCGACCCGCCCAATCCCAGCACCTATCAATTAAACGTAGGCATATTAGTTTAGACCCAGAAAGAGTGAGCGCCATTCCAGGTGCAAGCACGCGAGGTCGGCACCCAGCCAATCCGTTCGAGTCAACCGGTCACCCTGACCATCCACATCATGGACGTCAACGACAATTCGCCGGTTTTCGACCAGCCTATTTACATGGCCAACGTCACGGCTTCTGGTGCCGAGCGGCCGGTCATCAAGGTATGATCCTTATGACCTCTTCTAGCGCCAATTTTTTAGATCCACGCCACCGACATCGACGCGGGAAAATTCGGAGAGGTTTCCTTCAAGATTACCCAGGTTAGTGATAGGAAAGCAACCAACATCAAAACGGAATTTTAGGTGACGAATGGAGCCGACGGAAACTTCCGACTAGACGAAGAGACCGAGACGCTAATGGCTAACGGAGATCTGGTGCCCGGCGAGCGATATCAGGTACCTGAGACCAATTTTTTTACACTAATTCGATTAGGTGGTCGTTGAGGCGAAAGACGGTGGTGGTAGAGCTTCACAAGCAATCGTAATTGTGCTGGCTACGGATCCGGCTGTACGATATACGTCGGCACCACTACCAGGTAAGGCCCATTCGGTGCTAGTCTCTTAGCGGGGGTGAAAACTTGACATTGGCGTACAACCTAAGCCTGTAGGAACCCAATAACTAAGTAGGTACCATTTAAGTCCTTTTTACGCCGTTTTTAGTGATCGAAAGATCAAAAAAATATCAAGATTTCCAATAGGTTTGATTCTTCCTCAAAAATGTAGGAAAATTGTCAAAAATACCAGTTTTTTTGGATATTTTAAAACTGGTCTAATAATTTTTTTGATCATCAAAAAATACTAAAAACACTGAAAATACAGAAAAAACGCTACAGTGGCTAAATTGTTCCGCCCCTAAATCGTTATTTTTATTCTTCCAACCAAAATTTTCCGATTACAGGCATGGAAACGTATACGGCGCCCCCGTCGTACGGTATCACCACCGCGTGGGCAGCGGCCGCGGCACCAATTCAAAGCAACGCCGAGGAAACGATCCAGACGTTCGTCACCGAAGTGAACGAGAACACCCCGCCGAACACCGTTGTCTTGACGCTCGGGGTAACTTTAGCCAATTCTTCATTCCTTCGATCTCTTAGGACGAAACGTCGAACCGGCTCGTCTACTACAATATTGATGGCGGCAACGAGGAGGGAAAGTTCCGCATCGATCCCGCATCGTACGTTTTTGACATAGCTGACTACAAGTTGACATTTCCGGAGCATCCTTTTTTCAAATAAAATAGAGGTGGTGTTTCTAAACTGTTTTTGGCCGTTCGTAAACGTGAAAACTACTAAAAACTTGCTGAAAAGTATGAAAATATGATTTCCTGATAGATATTAAAGAACCACTAAACGAATCATATTTGTAGCGGCACCATTTCAACGCTGGAAGAGTTCGACCGTGAGCGGACGGCAATGTACTCGCTGCAGATCGAGACGAGAAGCCGGGCTCCGGACCAACACCTCTATTGGACGTTGATTCAGATTGCAATCTTGGTATATCATTGTTGTCTCGCTAAAAATTGATTATAGGATGTCAACGACAACTCACCGCACTTTGTGGGCGCCCAGCCGTTCCGCCTTCGGTTGTCCATCGACGATATTGAGGAGCTGGCGCCGAATATGTTGATTGGAAAGTGCGTACTTTTGCAAATGGCTAAACGCTTGGAAGTATTGGAATTGCTGGTTCCTAGCAAGTACAGAGTCGTAAATTTGAATAAAAAATTTAGCAACTGCAAAAAAATGGAATTTTTGACGATTTTAAATCAACATTTTTCGAATATTTAACTTTTAGGAGATTTGAGGCCTAAAAACATTGGAAGATGTAATAAAATCGTGAAGTTTTTTGGACCCTACGGAGCGATAGCCCCCCCCGCTAACAGTACAGAACCGAATTTTGGAAGCACTAAAATCCTTTCCAGGGTTTCGGTGGAAGATCCAGATGAGGGCGAGAACGGCCGTCTGGCCCTCTCCATCCAGCCGCCGATGAACCGGTAAATTCACAAAAACTCCTTGGAAAAATTGTCTTTCTTTCAGTTTATTCAAAGTATCCCACGACGGCTTGATTTCGGTCAATGGCGACTTCACCGCAGAGCACTTTGGCGAGCATAAGGTATTGTTTCTGTATTTTTTTTTGATTACTCCTCGAATTTAGCTCTTCGTCGTCGCCCGGGATCACGGCGATCCGGCGCGAGAAGCCAAAGCGGAAGCCATCGTCTCGGTTTTTGGCACGCTAATTACTGTAGCTACACAGACACCGGTTACGGTATGGATTTACTAGCGCAAATATATCTAAAGGACCTATATCGAAAAATAAAAAATCGGATAAAACCCCCGTTCTTGCAGAATGGCGCCAGCACCGACGAATACGTGGAGTACGAGACGGACGGCGTGACGGCCCCATTCACCCGGCTCACCACCACCCCGCCCACGACACCCGACGAATACGAAGGCGAGGAGGCCGACCAGATTGCCGACAACGGCGTGCACAGTGAGCTTCACCTCCCCCTCCCCCTCCCCTAGCCCCATCTACCACCTACCTCACCATCACCCACCGGAAATGCTAGCCGAGTTGAAGTGTCTGGCATGCCGTATCGTTAAAAAATTCCCCTAACTAGCGGAAAATCTCAAGAAGCCACTTCCCAATTGACAGTTTACCTAGCTATTCCACATCTGAATACTCACTCATGCGCTATCACAAAGTTTAAACAGGTTCTGGTTCGTTAGCGGTGGGGGATGATTTGTAGCATGGGGGAATACTGACCTCTTTTAATCTAATCTCTATGGTAATTAAAACATTGACTACTTTTATAGCTATTTTAGCGGTTTTCGAATAGCAAAAATAAGAAGTTTTGTTACAAAATTGAAAAATGTATTGTTTTTCGTACGCTTGACCAAATAGGCACCATTTTTTGGCAATTTTAGTATTTTTATGTAATTTTTATATCTTAAAACAATGTGAAATTCCCCCCCCCCCACCGATAATGAACCAGAACCGACAACTCTTCCCCAACTAGCAGCTGAAGCCATGAAAGCGTTTCCAATTTACTTTTTAACTCGTTTTTTTAGGCTCTTAGAACACGTATCTCCAATTTTTTTCCGCTAAAAAATGAAAATCGGCACCCCGTCAATTCACTCCTCACATTTACCAATAGGTTCCGCGCCAACCAGCCAACAATCGGGAACCCCAAAACTGACGACAGTCGGATCGAGCACGAGCGTGGAATACAGCGGCGAGACCGACCCGAGCACCACCAACACCATCACCACCACACCAAAAACATCGATGCACACGTGGAAGACGATGGGCCCGAGCACGTGGCCCTCAAAGCCATCCACGAAACGGCCATCCTCGACCACACAGATGGCATGTGAGTGCATCTCCCACAACACAACCAAATAAAACACTCGAAATTTCTTGCCATTAAACGATACTACGATAACGAAACGATAATCTGCAACTCTTGCCAAAAATGAAACTCGGTTCTTTAGGTTCCCGGGGGGAAACCAATTTTTTTCCTGGTGATCCCGGTTGACCTAGTAATCAAATATAAAGTGTTTTCGAATTGTTTTTAGTAAGTTTTAACTATATTTAAAATAGAAAAACTTTCAGAAAAATTTAGAAAAATGTTTGAAAAAGTCGAAAATTTGGTCATTTTGGGTCTTTCCCCCCCGCGAATCCTAAAGGTTCTATAGGATCGTTCGACCCAATTTTCATTTTTTTAATTTTTTTTGAGGTTAAAATGTGTGTAGTTTTTATGCTCAGGAATAGTTAAAACAATTTAGAAACGCATCCGCAATTTATAAAAAAATCTAGGCCTGTGCCGAAAAATTTGGTTCCCCCGGGAATACTTCCCCCGCGAATCCTAAGAACCTGAAACTCCCTCTGGCGTTCCGGGAGGGGCTCCAATTTTTACGATTTAGGTATCTCTTGAATGCTCGAGGAGATATGTTCTCTACGTTTTCCAAATTCCGAATTTTTATCGCTGAATTTTCGGCATTTTTCATACAATAGCTGCGCGCTTTTTTCCAAAAACTGAATGCTTTTGTACTTGTTTTGAAAAATCCGGACTGAATTTTGCAAGTTTTGCGAAGCATGCTTAATTTATGTTGCTTTTAAGATAGAAAAATGTTAAAAAAAATCCGCTTTTTAGCATGTTTACGTCTTTTATGGGAGGCAGCTTTTGATGAAATTCACTTTTTGCTAAAAAAAAGCGCGCAACTTTTGTAGAGAAAATTCTGCAAAAATATAGGAATTTCGAAAGTCGGAGCGGGGAGAGCGCCTCGTCTCGTCGAGAGCTATCGATAAATATCTAAATCGTCAAAATCGGGCGCTGCTACGGGCCGTAGAAGGGTGTCTTTTTTGAGATACCTTTGATTGAGTGCGTTCAAAGATCCTACTATATATAAAAAAAATAGTGTCTGTGTGTGTGTGTGTGTGTATGACACTTTGCATGCAACTTCCGTCAGCGTGTCCGGAGGATATCTCAAGAGGGGAGGGGTGTAAGGAGATGTTTGATACATCATTAGATGCGTAATGGTCTCCAGATGACTGCACACATATCAGATTTTGTAAAATATGTTGTTTTCGACGTTAAAATTCAGTTTTTGGTGAAAATTCGGCCACCCACTTTGTTAGGAAAAATTAGCATACGCCGGAAGTTGCAGTAGCCTATATAAAGGCCCAAAGGTAGCATTTTTTCTTTTTTTCGTCATCGGAATTGAGGCAGAATTATGCAAAATAAAGAACATCATGGGATTAGACGGGGCCAGGGTTGAAAAGTCGCGAAGCGGCGTTTCAACCCTGGTGTTTTCTAAAGTGTGTATAATTCGTGCCCCCATTAAATCAACCAGCAATCATCCATTCCCAATCAGCCCCATCACAGCATCGCACGAAAATTTATTCCATTTGTCCAATCAACATTGAACATGCCGTTTTAGCGTTCAAGTCATTCCCTCCGGTGAAGCCGGCCCCGGCTCCGGCCACAGTTGCCCCCGCCCGACTTGCCCCAATCTTCGACCCGGCCGAGCTGACTGTGTCGGTCGAGGAGAACGGTGGACAGATGAAGATTGCCAAGGTATGCGTCGTCAAAAATTGCCTGAAATTGACTACTTAAAAAATAAAGTTGCTACGATTGATTTCCCAGGTCTCGGCTCGCTACATCGACGGCCAGGTCGGCCCAATCACGTATGTGTTGCAGAAGGGAGATCCGTCGCTCTTCAGGTACAAAAATATTGATTCATTTGACCATCACTCTAATTTTAGCGTCAGCAGCTTCTCGGGCTCCGTCCAAATTCTACGAGCGCTGGACGCGGAGACCGACGCGCAGTATCAGATCCAGATCGGCACCGCCGAGGTTAGTGCCGATTGAAAGTTGCAAAAAACCTTTAAAAACCTAATGCCGATTTTTACAAACATTATTAGGCAGATCCAGGGTGTTTTTAACGTATTTTCTGGTCAATGTAGCAAGAAGCCGGGCCGGAAGGGTTCTGTTTGGTTATCAGGCGGCCAAATTCTGCCTAGCTTCTTATAAACACCATACGATCAACTATAGACTCGTAAATAGAATTTTACGCCCTTTTTAGGTATAAAAATTATATAAAAATTGTTAAAAAATTTAAAAAAGGCGCAAAAATGGTTTTTTAATGACAAAACCGTGCGTCTTTAGTCGGCAACAATGGCCATTGACCCGACGCTCCGCCACGCGGCGACCCTGACGATCAACGTGGCCGACGTCAACGATTGGATCCCGAACTTCGAGTCGTCCCACTACGACTTTGCCGTCCAGGAGGACACGCTGCCGGGCACCATCCTCGGCCAAGTGCACGCTTTTGACCAGGATCGTGATGTGGGTCTTGCAAAAACTTCTGGACCAAAATTATAGGCCCCAAATAACCAAATCAGCTACCGGCTGCACTCTGCCGGCGGCCTCGACGAGTATTTCACCGTCAACGAGCAGAACGGGTTGATCACCCTCGCTCGCCCCGTCGACGCGTTTGCCGATGAGAAAATTACGGTAAATTTCTTATTTCGAAAGTTACGCGTTTACAGCTGAAAATCGAGGCCTCTGATCGCGGGGACCCGGCGCAGACATCGATGACCAACGTCGTGGTTACGGTATAAATTTTTCGCTTTAGCCAATTCCGCCTAAAATTTCAGGTTGAACCGACGCAGTCTGCCGTCATCCCGGAGGGCCACACTTTCTTGAACAGGCCCAGCGACAATCAGATCCAGTTCTCGCTGCGGAATTACACGTTCGTTTTTGTGAAAGAGTGGTTTTACAGTTTTTTTGCAAGTTAAAAAGGTTTTTTAAGCTTCGAACGTCGTTTTTTAGTTCATCCGTCTCGGAGTCGGTGCGCCCGCCGCATCTTGTACAAGTACTCTCGGTGACGAACAAGCCGGAAGACACGAGATTTGTCATCTGCCAAATTGTTTCGGGCAACTATCGAGGTCAGCCTTCAAACCAAAGGGTTTTTGTGATCTTTCAAACTCATTGCTTGAAATTCTGCACAAGCTTTCGATCCTGGAAAAACTGCTGCAAGGGAATTTAGTAAACTAAAAGTTTATTTTGCTAAACTTGGGCCAAACATGCGTAAAATCGGCTTTTTCACAGCTAATTTTCATCAAAAGTGTTATCGTCATCCTTTAAAAAACGCCTCCTGGTAAGCAAAAAAACCTCCGTATTTAGGTGCCTTCGGAGTGACGGCCGGCAATGACGGAAATTGTGAATTGAGGACACAGATGGAGCTGGATCGCGAAAGCGTTGAACGGTGAGCACTTGCTCAATTCTTCCTGACATTTCGACAAAAACACGACGATATTTTCTTTTAATTCTTTAATTCTTTGATTCTTGCTCATTTTAGCCGAAATCATTCTCTATTTAAAATCTTTCTTCAGTTATTTGCTGAACGTGACGGTGAGCGCGGATGGGCAGACCGATTTCGCGCTCGTCTCCGTCACCGTGCTCGACGTGAACGACAACGTGCCGCGCTTCCAGTACGACAACGACCTCGGCATCTCCACCTATTTTGCGGGTGTGGCAAGCGATGCTGGCGCTTTTGCGCGTGTCATGACGGTTAAGGTAAAGCGTGCCTCGCTTTCGAGGTACAGTTACAATTTTAGGCGGAAGACGCTGATCTCGGCAACAGTTCTGTCGTTCAATACTCGCTGGATACGCTGGCCGTACACCACAAGGTATTTGGCTGAATCTCCAATCAGACGCCTGTATCCTTTTAGTATTTCAACGTCAGCCAATATGGCGAGATCACGACCCGCCAAAGCATGCCGGCAATCCTTCAAAAGCAGCGCATCAACTTCTTTGAAATTCGGGTTCGACCATCTAGTCGGTCTCTCAAAAGTGTCTAGGTGTCGGCCTGCGATTCGCCAGTCACTGGGCAAAAGCTGTGCTCGAAAGCCGACGTGGTGATCAACGTCATCGGCGAGTCTCATCGCTTCAAAATGATCACGCACGGTCTCAACCCACAACAACTGAAGAGCCACGAGAAGGTCCTTAAACTTAAAACTTAAACTTTTAGGCTCTTTCCTATTACCGGGGGTCGGGGAATTTTTTCTAGGGAGCCCATTTTCCTAACCGAAATAAAGAACACATTCCTAAACTGTTGTTACTGTTCATAAAACTAAAAACTTACAAATTTTCATTAAAAAGAATTAATTTTTCGGGAAAACCTCGGCCCAAAAAGTTTTTTTAGTTTTTGATTAGGTTTCCGACTTGAGATATAGCTAAAATTTACTAAAAACACTATTAAAATAGTTACTATTAAGTTGCTAGGCTTTTCTGGAATTCCAGGAAGAAAATTAGCCCCTCCCGGATAATGTAAAAGCTCCAACTTCCCTAATAGTGGAAAACCACGCTCGAAAACCGAATTTCAGGACATTATCCGCGCCCTTCGCCAGTTCGCCGGCGCCTGCACGTTGATCAGTGTCGAAAAGTAAGTGTCAACCTCCAAATTGACCACTGTCAAATTAGAATGGCCGAACACACAAATTCCGCTGAACAACAACCCCGCACCGACATCTACTTCTACGCCGTCAACCCGACCACCCGCAAAATTTGCCGCAAAAATGAATTCAGGTGAGGAAAAGGTATCACTCCTGATTCTACCAAATTCTAGGCGGTTATTCGACCCCTCCTCGGTGTCGATGATCGCTGGAAAGGTGCAGCCGTGGTTCCGTCTCGACAAAATAGCCGAAGATGCTCCAAATGACGATCGAACTCCCGGCGGCCCGCTGGCGGCCAGCTGGAAGGCTGCTGGTTATGGTAAGCAGTCGTCGCTTCAAAAGTCTACATCCCTTTTCCCATTTAGTACTCGTCGCCCTCGCCGCGCTGATCATCCTCGGGGCCGCGCTGGCCATCTGCTGCGTCTGCGTTCATAACAACAAATTTAAGGTATGTTTCTTGGGGGGTTGGCCTTCAACGCTAACGACTCGATCCGTCTAGGTTTCCCAAAGATCCATGCACGCTTACCCGAACCCTTACGCACCGCATTCCAAAGTGCCTATGGGGCCGATGGGCACCATTTACCTGCCCAACCCGCCGCCGCCCAACAGCAACGCCGACAAGATTTACGAGACGCAGGTAGGCGCTTCAAATCCCCAGCGGTTGTCGTGAAAATCCCGCGCAAAACATGAACCTCTACTAATCCAGATGCTGGAAATGCCGATCACTGACGAGGAGATGACGCTGAAGAGTGTTAGTCGAAACAACACTTCTCATCATGATCAGAGGAGCTTCGGGGTTCGTTTGGGGCAAAAGCTGCTAGAATCCCCGTGCTTGGCTAGGCCAGAAAACGGTATTTGGGTATTCGCGGGGAGACCCAAGTTTTTGGCGGAAGCCTCGACTTTAAAACAATAGAGGATCTGTTAATACATTATTTCGCCTAGTAAAACACGGCAACTTACGCCTTGAATTAAAAGGCCGTCCGCCAGCTACCCGACCTGCCCCCATTATGGCTTGGCACAGTTTTTTTGGACCCCATTTTTTTGATGCCATCGGAAAGAGCATGTTCGAATTAGTAGGGCTGCATAGTTTTGAAAGTTCAAAAAGTTTATTTTTTGGTTTAAATGGGTGTCAAGTTGCCGACCACGAAAACTATCTTGGGTTACTGAATGATTGGCTGAACTTTCAGAATACCCTATATTGGGACGGGGATCATTTCTCTAATACATTGCGAAGCCTGAAAATGACCGGAACATGGTTAAATAGCGTACTAGCAACAGTTTTTCGAGATTTTTGGCTATGCGGGCGATCGAGCGCCACTCATACGTGGTAGGAAAAGATGCGCGACATTTTTCTGCGTCGAATGACGTGTCCATTATGCGGCGCTCGGTCGCCCGCATATCTTAAAAATCGCGATTATTACGCCCAAAATGACGATTTTTGCGGATTTTCGGATGCCAAACAGGCGAAAGAGTGCGCGCGACGTGGAGGGTCCAGACAGGCAGACAGCAGCCCTGGGGGAGCGAGTCGGGTGCTGCCAGAGAGCCCCCAACTTGACCACCCCAGCCGTCTCTGTCCTCTGCGCTTGCCGCACTCTCTCACCCTGCCCGCCCCAGATTTCAACTAAAAATCGTCATTTTGGGCGTAATAATCGCGATTTTTAAGATATGCGGGCGACCGAGCGCCGCATAATGGACACGTCATTCGACGCAGAAAAATGTCGCGCATCTTTTCCTACCACGTATGAGTGGCGCTCGATCGCCCGCATAGCCAAAAATCTCGAAAAACTGTTGCTAGTACGCTATTTAACCATGTTCCGGTCATTTTCAGGCTTCGCAATGTATTAGAGAAATGATCCCCGTCCCAATATAGGTGTATTCTGAAAGTTTCAGCCAATTCTATTCAGTAACTTCCAAGATAGTTTTTCGTGGTCGGCAACTTTGACACCCATTTAAACCATAAAAATAAACTTTTTGAACTTTCAAAACTATGCAGCCCTACTAATTCGAACATGCTCTTTCCGATGGCATCAAAAAAATGGGGTCCAAAAAAACTGTGTCAAGCCTTGTTCGGTTCCCTCGCGGACGGCCTTTTAAAAATCTAAGTCCAAAAATCGGTTTTCCGAACGAAAATGTCGTATTTTAAAAATTTCGAAAGTGATCTACAAGGTTTAAAACGTTTTCCTTTTAAAGGATAGCTAATTTAGGTCTTTTTTCGTGCGTGACAAGCCCGAAAATCTTTTTTGGGCTGAAATCAAAAATGTCATTTTTGAAGGATTTGTCTAACCTTTAAAAAGATTTTTCTACTTTAAACCTAATCAAATTTACTACAAACTCTATAAAAACACTTTATATGTAATTACTAAGCCAACCTGGACGAATAGGAAAAGTTGTGTCCCCCCTGCGAATAGTCAAGTACCCATAAAACGCTAGAAAATAACGTTTACGAGTAGAAAAAACGCTAAAATATATAATTTAGCCACTGTGACACTGTCCCAAAAATGCAAAATAGACCTGCCCCTATAACATCTACCTTTTTCAGCATATGCCGTACCGGAGTTACGGTAACCACCCGGCGCCCTCTGCGTACGAGGGTGACTTCAGCATAGAAGAGAACATGTACGCGATAAACGTGCCCGGGCGTATCGACCCCGTTACCAAGTACGTCTACCGGCCCTCGCACTACTAGTGAGGGTCCCCTTCCGGCCGACCACCCGGAAATCTCGTCCTATATATTGTGGGTTCCGCAAGCGTGGCCTGTTCCCTCCCTCGAATCCCTCAAAAAAAAACCCTCGCATACGCTTCGACTATCACTTCCCCCCCGTTCGAAAAAATAATCAAACGTAACAGCCAATGGAGCCATCGAGTGATGATACCTTATAAGGGCGTAGATTAAACTGATCCCCCGATACCAAATAACAATAATGGTTCTTTAGTATTTCCGGGACGGGGCGGTTGATTTTTTTCCTTACGGTCACATTTTTCTATAGTAAATAAAATGTTTTTATATGTTTTTGCCTCGTTTTATTAGTCCTAAACGTAAAAACTTTACAAAAATCTATTACAAATACAAAAATATAGGGTTTTCGACCAAATGTCAAACTTCTAAAATTTCCTAAATAGTCTTTCTACCTCAAATCTAACTAAATTTTAATCAATCTTTGTATGTCTCTACGCCTTTTTGCTATTTCTAGATGTAAAAACTTCGGAAAAACTACTATAATACAAAAATGTCGAGCTTTCGATCAACATTAAACTTTTAAATCTTTCAAAATAGTTTTTCTACTAAGAATATAACTAAACTTTACTAACAAGACTTAAAAACTTGTTACGACGTTACTATACAAGTTCGGACCTATAGGAAAAATGGATCCCCCGGAAGTGCCAACGAACCAGAATAACTTGCGATCCGTTGACCATTTTAGTCGACCGTAATTTCCTAATCACGTTCACGTCGAGCCTGAATCAACTGAAAAACATTGTTTAGGCGAATACAAACCCTGGTTATCCCGGCACCAGACTACGATCGTCAGTCCGACCGACACAAATCTATGCTATAAAGAGCCTGTAATAATAGCGCTCCCAGACATCTCTAGTCGCATTCCTCCCTCTCTCTTTCTCTCTTTATTTTCAACCAACCCGACCCCTTCTATGCTCAACCTCCCGTTACATTCTACCAACAATCCCGCTTCCCGAATTATGGGTACATTTTTCTGTCTCTCGTCGCCTTATGTCTTTCGCTACGCCGCTACCACATTTTTTTATATCTACCATATAATGTTGTGCTGATAACGTGCTCAAATGATGAGTTTATGCCTCAATTCATATACTATGAAACGAAGTTGTTGAGTAAATACAATCGACTTTGAGCGAAACAGGCAAAAATGAGAACAATACACAACGTGAAGGGCGCACGCGCTCACGAGCACAGCATGGTTAATATGTCAGCGTCATATGCATTAGGAAATAAGGCGCTCCTGCGATCCAGGCACAAAATAGATACATTCGTTGGTGTAACGGTAGAGCGAAGCGTCGGGACTGTATAGGATCCTCCCCTAAATGCAAGAAGGTTATGGGGCTATTCCACAATAAAAAAATCCGCAGGAGATTACGATTTTGCTAGCTCTACTGAAATCACGGCACCCCCCCCGCAGATTAAAAAACAATCCCGCCAAAAAAAAACGCAAAAAAGTGCTTACCGGTGATCTTCCGCTCCAAGGGTATATTTCACGCACTCCTTGCAAAGAACATTGCAAATCGGATGGGTAGCAGACGTCCGATGCTCTCAAAAGCGAAGCCGTTTGCTTTCGGGGACATCCATACTAAAACAAATAATTATCGCGTACAAAACGAATCACCTCCGAGATCGCCAGCATGCCGTCACCATTTCGATTCCGTCTATAGCTTCGATATAAGCAAACTCCAATAATTGCCATGCAGAAACCGATGAAAACCATGGCGAGTAGAAGGTAATCCGGCAACATTCCTAAATTTTATTAAATGCTTGTCATAATTCCGAAAGAAGCAGTGAAGCAATGGCGAAAAGTATGCAAAGAGATACGGAACTAACATAATAAACTTTGTATAACTAACATATAACAAAAAAGGAAACTTAGTAAATGTCATCGTAAACTTCGTAATCGCTCAAGGAATCTTCGACGATAGATACAAGGTCATCGAGGTACGAAGAATCAACGGTTTCAGAGGTACGATTAATGGTGGCATTGTCGCAAATTGCTTCCGATAACGAAATCCGGGAATGGGAAACGCCGATTTGGAGCGTCGCACCATCGGCACGGCATATCACGGCACGATAACAATACTCGGCGTCCTCAACAAGTTCGAAGGCGTCGCCGAACATTCGGGCTTCGGGAAAGATCATATCATCGACCCTGATATAGATGTCCACAATATCCCTCACTCCACATTGCCATTCTTCCAAAATGCGTCTGACAAAATTGCAAAGCTGCTGGAAATCAAGGGCATCCGAAACATGAGACACATCGATCGTCGGCACGTGGAGCGAACGTGTGCAACTTATTAGCTGCGGGCAGAGTTCGTCCAGGTGAAGCGTCCGCAGTTGCTCGTTGCAGCGGTCGACAAAGGATTCGACATGATCAAACGTCGCCAGTCGTTGCTCTAACACCAGCGCGGACGGTTTGACGCTCTCGAGCAGCTGGCATATCCTTGAGCCACTGACGTCTCCAATGATTACTAGACGATTGGCGGTCAATCCAGGAACATCTGGCAAGGTCGCATCAGGCTCGAACTCCATCATCTCGATCTTGGCGTTGGTGAGGTAGAGGGGAGCAGCTTCGTAGGTGGACTTCAAAACAGAAAAGCCATGCCAAATCTCCAAGCCTTCGCGGGCGAATCGAATCGTAGACCAGTATTTTCCCGGCCATTCGGTCACTTGTTGGCGGAGTCTTTGTGAACTTTGCGAAAGTGCACAGAGCGAGTGCATATCCAGGTATTGCATCACAACGCGCATCACTTCGCTCGGCAGCGTCATCAGATCCGGGACGAAAGCCATTGCCGTAAAAAGTCTGAAGCAAAAAATCAAAACGGCGCGTGGAGTCCAGGACACGCCGCGAGCCGCGCTTTAGCAAATCAGCCCGGGCGTTTATTGTATCAATTCGTAGTGCAACTTCCAAACGGTAAAAACTGATGGCGAATCGTTTATTTATGAAAGCAGGGGCGGTCAAAGTTTGTGCATGGAATATTGCACTACAGTTTCTACGTTTTTTATAGATGGGGGAGCAATAAGATGTCAATTCGGGATATGATGCATGTGATATGGCAGCAAAACGGGAAGACCTCACACGATTCAAGCAAAAAGGTCATGTTATAAAACTACTACAAGGCAAGCGATGAGGAATCACAAATTTAAGAACAGAAGGGATGCGGAAAATACCAGTAAATGCGACTAAAATATGTACTGCGTATTGGGAGGGATAATTCCGGGGTCTATAGGTCCAGTTTCTTGTGCGGGCCGGCTCCGTCCGTCCTGAAAAGTAAAAATGAAAACGAAAGAAATTAAATTCCGGGACCGGCGTGGCAAAAATCTTGCTCTATACCAAAAGTTGCCAATGGCGGAATACGAACCGTTTGCTTAGTGCGCTCAGTGTCCTCAACCGCGTGTTTGGCGTGCTGCTCAACAGTCGGGCGGCCATGTCGGCAAGGGCATCTTCGACTGATTGATGAACATCGGTGTCTAGAAAGGCAAATTGCATCCATGTGAAAAAACAAGACGAGTAGTACAAAGGCAACCAGAAATAACTACTTATAAACTTTTCCTTACCGAGAAATGGGTGCGCTAGGAGTTCTTCAACTGAAGCCCGTTCGTATGGGTCGCGGACCAGACATCGTTGGATCGTCTCGTTGAGAATAGCATCTTGGCGCGTAGAATAATCGATAGCACACTTTGGGCTGGAAAAAATTGTGAATGGCAGGTCGGCTAAAAAACCAACTTGCAAATAGCTTCGGCTCGCTCTTCTTGTGAAGCGTATTTTTGGAACGGCGTGCGCCCGTAGGCCATCAGATAGAGCATGCAGCCAAGAGACCAAACATCGGCCTTCGAGGTGATCTTTAACATTGCCGTGCCCGCCGTAAGCGTCTCGGGGGCCATGTAGCTGACCGTGCCAAGGACCACGTCCGAGAGCACGCTATCCTGCAACAAAAGCAGTAGCTCCAAATAAGCGAAAGGTACCTTATTATCTGGCACCGTCAAGGAAATTCCAAAGTCGATAAGCTTGAGGTGTCCACGAACGAGCAAGAAATTTGCAGGTTTCAGGTCCTTGTGGATGATATCTAAAGAACAAATTTACCGTAAACTTCTAGAACAAAGGCTTTTTGGATCGTAAGAAGTGCAAAACCCACGGTTCTGGTGCAAGGCGCGAACACACTTCAACATTTCTTCCCAATAGACTTTGATTAACCGCTTGTTCAGCTGGCGGGCCTTGAATCTGCAAATACGAGCCAATCCAGAAAAGACGCGAAAAACGGACTTTTCCTTGATGAAAGTGCCAAGATCGGTGTCGCCCTTCTCAAGAACGATGTAAAGTCGATCTTCATAGTTGACGTATTGGCTGAAAGAGAAACTATGCAAGAGACAACAATTTGTTCAGGGATAAACCAGAATAATCGTAATACCAGGATAATCAAACCAAATCTAAACCGTACTAGTCTATCAGCTTGATGACGCAGGGGCTTCCCTGTAGCTTCTTCAGTACTTCGATCTCGTTCATGAATCCTTCCCGCATCTGCAAAAAAATGTATAGAGTGAAAAACGCAGTGGCAAATTACCGCCAAGTCTCCCTCGAGCCTCACGATCTTGAGCGCCACCTCTTCTTGGCTTTCCCGGTTGTACGCTTGCCAGACCTCAGAACTTCCTCCCATTCCGAGTTTCTAAAATGAAAGACCGTGAGGGATTCAGATCGAGGGGAACGGCAAAGATGGAAAGCAGCTGACCCGGAATTTCAAGTAGCAGATCCCATTGACCTCGACGAAATCGTCGGCGCTTAGCTGAGAGAAGGAGGCGCTACGGTTGAAAGACTCTCCGGCGTGTGGTGTCGTCTAAAAACAGGCATTCATGAGAAAAAAAGTGGAACAAAATTTTAGACCAGGATTAGTCAAACAAAATCTAAAACAAGTTGGAGAAAGGCGGCATGTAAAGCAAGAAAACTTGCATATTTTAGTCGGGTGTCGCTCAGACAACGTGGTAGCGGCGTAGCGCGCACACTTCTTTCCTCTCCACGGCTTTGCGGGCGACAGTAGCTGGCTGAATCGAGTAGACTAAAAAAACGATATTGACTAAAACAACCAGGCTCACCTCTTTTCAGTGAATCGAGATCGCTGTAAATCGGCTTGTGGCGTCTCGTGCCGAGCGGATAGTAGCGGTTGCGGGAATAAATCGGCCGGTGCCCCGGAGCCCTCAAAGCCGCTATCCTAGTAAAAGGCTAAACTTAGAAAAGAATTGTACCTTTTTAGGATAATCGGCGCTCTCCGTCGAGACATTGGTGGATAAGAGACTGGCGTCGGAATCGAGCGTTGTTTGCTAAAAATGAAATTATTGTAAAACCCCTAGCATTCACCCAAGCCAAAAAATCAACCAATGTGATAATCGTAGTCCCTTACCAATGCTGTGCCCGAGAGCGAAGAGTGTGTGGCACTCGCGTCGTGCGACTCAGGAGCTGGCGGCTGATTTTCGTTACCTATCCAGGTAATGACAGGAACAATATCAATCAATTTACCTTCGTCGATGTTTGTCGGTCGCTTCGACTTTTTCAACTGGTTCTGCAGGCTACGAATCCGGTCCATTATCTCGGATTCGCCGACCTGTCCCCGCCTCATGGTTGATCGGGCCTTTGAACCCTTCAGTCAACAAACTGAAAAAAGTTTCGGTGAAAAAACAGGCTACACAATAGGGAAACGAAGCGGCAAATTGGGGAGCATTTGAAGAGGGGGCGTTGGGACCGCCGTATCGGCGAGCAAAGGAGCCATGAGTATCCAAAGGGTCCGGGTAGAGGAAAGAGGATTTCCGCTATCTTTCGTCCGACAAGAGAATTTAATTTAGCTGAATGCTACGGTAACTTCCTCAAAATAAGGACTAACGAGAAACTTTGAATTGGGAACAGGGAAAAGCGAAATGTGAAAAGGAAAAAACCTGCAATGATCCGTAAGCAAAATCGGAGTACGGTGTCGTACTGTTGCGGAATAGTTTTATAATTTTTTCCAAATTTTCATTAAAAAATTTTTTAAATCAAACCTTGATTTTTAAAACTTTTTAGTTTTATACTTCTCGAGTAGGCGAGATCTCTTTGGCGACCACGCTGTGAACATCGCCTCAGAGATCCATGACACGCTTGGTGAGCGGATTTTCGTGTCTTTAGTTTCAAGTTTCAGGAGAAACAACGTGTTTTAGATGACTTACCGAAAAAGCACCGTGTCTGGGTGTTTGTTAGAACCTGATACTTTTTAAGCAGGCTGCCTGATTAGCTATATCAAGCCGCTAGCTGGCCTCTTTCAACTTGTTCGGCTCCGCGGATCCAATTCTTTTCGTCTTTTTGGGGCCTTCCTGCTAGTTTTTTGCGCTAAATTCCAGTTTCACTGCACAGGATCGGAAAATGTCAGGTTGTTCCGGAATTCCGGCGTCAGAAGCACCCTAGCTCCACTTGTTCGCTCGCTGCATCTATCAGGGGGACCAGGGTTTCCCCTTTGGGCATTATTTTCCCGGTGGGTTATGCGATGATGTATTCTGGGCGCCCACACCGGAAGCTTCTCTCTGCGCGCACAACCTTCGCCCATAATAGCCCACATCTTTGGTGTTGTGTACGTCGACGGCTTCTTCGATTTGCGAAAAGCTTTCTTGGTAAAAAGGACATTTAAAAACTAAAATCTATTTTGAAGCCGCTCCTTTAGTTTTATAAATTAATTTAGTCTATATTTTAAAAGCTTTTGTCATTTCTGGGGTTTTAAAACCACCCTAACAATGGGATATCTTTCATCTGTAGGTAGCCGACATTTCCAGTCGGTTCCCCCTCACTCGATTCGCATGTTGTAGAACTTTAGGACTGTTGGCGCTTCTCCGAACGTTTTACCTGGCTTCCCGCCGGTGCCAGTGGCCATTTCAACCATTGCCCCTGCCCTCTCGCGGCTGGCCCCACTGCCTCGGTCGTCTAGTGCCCAGCGCCTGGTTACTCTAGAGCAGGGCCTTCTCCCCTTGATCAATACAATCTGTTCCTCACATTACTCTTCTCTATTTGTCAGTCTGACCCTTCAAGCTTTTGTCTCCCGGTAACCCCCTCGTTCTCCCCCTACCTAACTTCCCGGCGCCTCTCCAACTTGCCACCGCTTATTGACAGCCGGCGCCGGAAATCCTAGCGAGAAATTATTAATTCTTAATAATATCTAGAAAATGAATAAGTTTTTTAGTTTTTTTCAACGTAATTACGTAAAACTTTACAATTTTCTATACTTTTGTGTAAAAGTGCGTTTTAGTTGATTCATTTTCCTTCATTTTCCGAATGCCTAAATTTCTATCTTTTAGTTCAGATCCTGACCTAAATTTAATCGACCAAAACATTCAAAAATTTTTTTGCATTGTTTCTAATCGACTGATTTTTAGGTCATTATAGTGCATTTCGACAGGTTTAAAGAGGTTCTATTCCATTTTCGCATCTAGTCCTTGTTTACCGCCGCGAGCCCGCGCAGCTGGATGCCCTTTTCGTGAAGTGCGCACGTACTCTCCCTTTTTGAACGTATAGGGCCCAAACCGCACGAACTAGGCATCGGCTTTCCCCCAACAGCCTCTATGGCTTGGCCCTGCTCTGTCATATCCAAGTAAAGTCGCCTCATTTTTTGTGGCCAGCAAAAAAGCTAAAGCCGATACAGCGGTTTGGGACGGGCCCTCGTTTAAAAGTCTTCCATTGAAAGCTTTTCACCTCACCCAGGCCATCGATTAGAGAGCCGATCGTCGATTCGCTCAGCCCCTTCATTACCATGTGCGCTGGGAATTGGCACGTTCTTCGCCCCTTGGCACGTTTTGCTGCGCATATGATTCATATGGTCCGCCCGGACCCGTGACCCCGCAGCGAGAAGCGCGAAAACAAGCTTTCGCATTTTTTCGTTGCTGGGGATTGCTAGCCTCACTCACTAAATTATTAATTCTAGGGGTCCAAACCCCTCTTCCGGTTACCGCATTGCCAGCAAGCACTATTTTCAGGTTTTGCTCATTTGTCCATTTGATGCAACGGGCATTCACCAAAATAAGTCTTCATCTCTCAACTTTGGGGGCGATCACCGGATATAAGGGTCTCGGATGTTTCGCTCTTTCTTCGCACCCCGCCCCAATGCCCCGGCCTGAGAAAAGGAGGGAAATTAACGTCAGCTGAGAATTTTTGGCTTTGTCGAAACTCTCTTTTGATGGCCAAGCCCCTTGTAAGCTAAAAGGCTTTCCATTTCTGCCTTTTTACCCTGTCATTTCTGACTCTAGCACAAACTTTGTATCAGATATCGGCAATCGTTTTCGTAGCTCCTACCGATTCGGACGCTTTCCTGCCTCTAGGCCCAAGATCACCTTAGCGACCGCCTCATAAATAGACAGGTGGAGCGCGGAAACCGAGTAAGCAAGGGGGCCGCAGGCACGCAATCACATGTCCTTTAGCGTCTTCATTTTTGGCACCCTCCGTTTTGATAAAAATGTACTTGTAAAGGTACTTGACGGCAATCTGTTAGACCCTATAGGGACCATCAGACTTACTCCATGCCAGCTCGACAAGCACAAAAAATCTCTTAGGAAATCACATGTTCCGCCATCCATTTCCTGTCCGCTCAACCATCATCCGGTGAAACCGGGACCGACGACAGTCTTGAGCTGTCGAAAGGGCTCATCAATTTTATCTATCTCTCCATCGGCCCCCAAACAAAAACGCCCAATCCACGGAACGCGAGCCACTTTTCACACCCCCCCACTCTTTTCACCTCATGACATCAAATTCGCCTGCTTTTCAATTGACCAATATATCATTTCTTACCCTTTCTCTGTGTTTGTTTTCACTGAATGTTTTTACCTGCTTATTTTCAGGTGTTTGAACATGGTAATCGTCGATTTTCCTTGGGCGCCTTCGACCTCGGCGGCTGAGCTGACGGAGCAGCAGCTCGGTCAGCTTTGCGAGCTGATTAATGCGACGGTACCGACGCCCGCCAACACGCTCCTCACCAATTCGATTGGTGTAAGGATTCAAGATTAACTTTTAGCGCCTTGAAATTTCGTTGCCCCTTCGAAGTGACCTGTTATTTTAGGCCTTCGCCGTTATGCCTGCTCATCCCCGCCCGGCCATGCTAACTGGTAAGGAATGGTGCTCAAAATCAAAATACCGATCTTTAGCTATCATCGTTGGCTTCCTGTTCGTGTCGCTGATCAATCTGTGCGCAATCGCGGGAATCGGAGTGATGCGCTATCTCTCGAAGAACGTATACAACCAGGTAAGCACAATATTTCGTGCTTCAATCCTGATTTAGGTTATTACATTTTTCGTCGGGCTCGGCGTCGGCTCACTTTCCGGATCGAGTTTCTACCATTTGCTGCCCAACGTGAGTATTTAGACTTTTCGCGGGTTTTTTTACGAAAAACCATCGCGATTATTGTTATTCAACCGTTTAGGCACACCCTGCGCTAATCGAAGCCGTTGATGAACACGGGCATCCGACGCACGCCTACTTGAACATGGCACATTTCTCGCTGTGCGGTGTCTACATGTTTTTTATGTGCGACAAGCTGATCAAGATTGTGCTCGAGTACAGAAAGGTATTTTTGTTAATGGTATTGGGTATCTCAAAAATGACATGCCTACTTGCATGCATTGTTATTTCTAGCGCTCCCGTGGAACGGAATGCCGCAACACCGATGAAGGAAAAGCCAACGGCTGGCTGGTGGAGAGGAGGATTAGCGGCGAACTCAGTGATCGCAGCGATAAACATCTGCTGAACGGTCTGGCCCATAAGGATTGTGAGGACGTGCCGATGCAGGTGGTCTCCAACGGAGCCTTTTCCGGAAGTATGATGACGGAACAGGTATCCAATTTTCTTCGAGGAGGGGCCCAATCCGCATCTTAGGCTCACGGTGTCTGCGTTCATGATCATTCGATCGAATGGGAGGTGGGACAGACGTCCGGAAAGGCCATCGCCGCCGTGGCGTGGATGATCATCTTTGGGGACGGCTTCCACAACCTCATCGATGGTGTCTCAATTGGTATGTGGAGAAATTAACTCCTAAAGTTTTCCATTCAGGAGCCGCCTTTTCCGAGTCGCTCCATTCTGGAATCTCCGTCGTCTTAGCCGTCCTTTGCGAGGAGTTCCCGCATGAACTTGGTATGTTTTTGATATTCTACTTGAGTTGCGATAGCTTGGACTAGAAATTTTTTGCGCCTAATACGCAAATTGGCACCATCCCGAAAGGTACTATCTAAACAAAATGGACACGAAAACTCATAGAAAAAGTAGCTAGTTTCCCATGCAAATGCTTACGAGATGGTGTCAATATTTCACCTATTTATTTTTTTCATCAATGCTCTTTTTCAGGCGACGTGGCCATTTTGGTTGCCTCGGGCATGACCCTCCGCCAGGCCCTCATCTATAACCTACTCTCCGCGATGACGTGCTACATCGGCTTTGGCTTTGGCGTAAGATTCGTTGATCCTTTTTTTGATCTTGTATTAGATTGCTGTCGGTGAAATCGGCCCCGATTCGGCGAAGTATGCGTTTGCACTTGCCGGCGGAATGTTCTTGTACATCTCCCTCGGCTGCATGGTACTTTATTTTTTATTAAGTTACCAGATGGTTACAGTCGCTTCGCGACTGCAACCATCTGGCCTTTGGGCACCCTACATGCCCACCCACCACATCCTTTCCCACCTCCATCAATACCCCCCATAGCCCAAATCCCCTTCAAAAACGATCTAAATACCTTCCCGATGGCTGCAGATACCCCCATGGCTGAAATCCCCTTCAAAACCTACCTAAATACCTTCCTGATGGCTTCAGATACCCCCATGGCTGAAATCCCCTTCAAAAACTACCTAAATACCTTCCTGATGGCTTCAGATACCCCCCATGGCTGAAATCCCGTTCAAAAACTACCTAAATACCTTCCTGATGGCTTCAGATACCCCCCATGGCTGAAATCCCCTTCAAAACTACCTAAATACCTTCCTGATGGCTCAGATACCCCCATGGCTGAAATCCCCTTCAAAACCACCTAAATACCTTCCTGATGGCTTCAGATACCCCCATGGCTGAAATCCCCTTCAAAAACTACCTAAATACCTTCCTGATGGACTCCGATACCTCCCCTAGCCGAAATCCCCTTAAAAAACAAAAATAACGACCGACCGGATGGAATGAGAGAAAAAAAAGAAATGAAATGAAACACGAAACGCGCCCACCTGGCCACTATGTCCAAAATCACCCCCTCCGTCCCCCCCTTTTACAGGAAAAACTTTCAAAGTTAATTTTAATAATTTAAACTAAAAGTTTTCATAATTTTATCAGTTTGGGGGTTTCTGACCACGCCTATCCGAACCGGAGAGAGCTAAGCTCTAGCCGTTTCCCTTCGAGTTGAATTCGGCTTCACACGGACAGACGGAGACCACAACAAAATTATTATAGTTGATCTTTCCCCTTATTAGATGCCCGAGATGAAGAAGGCCATGGAAGAGGCGCTGGAAGTTTCTCTGGCTCACGGAATCAAGGTTCGCTTGCTTTACGCTTGGTTTTAATCCCCTTTTTTAGGTGCTGGTCCTTCAAACCGTCGGCATGTTCTGTGGGCTGACTCTCATGTACATCATGTCGCGCTACGGCGAAGAGATCTCGATCTAGCCGCAATATCCGTTTTCTACACTGCGCACCCTCTAGATTAGGCTACGTACCGTTTTTGTATCGAAATTTCGCATTTAATGGGTCGTCCCCTTCCTCATTGTTCGCCCCCACCTCTTTCAAGCCTAGCATTTGTTTTGTATTCTCGTGAGCCCGATAGGCAGTTTATGAATGTTTTGGTTTGTCTGCAGGTCCTCCCCCCATGCCCCCCGGGTTGACCGTCTTCGATTTTTCTCGAGCAAAGCGTGTAGCCGACATTGCTCCTACCTATTTTTGTCTCATTTCTTATTTTCCTCCCCCGCTCCCACTAGTGCAAACGCCCCGGTCCAAACGTTTTCTTCCACACAGGGCCCCCATTAGGTCGCATAATTTCGATATGCGAGTGAACTTAGTTTACGGCGTATCATCGGTCTATCTCGTCCTCTTCCCGATTTGGCTAACTTCTTACCTTTGTTGTTTTTTCGAAATAAAGTTTTTTGTATATTGACGACGATAGCTTTTTCGTTAAAAATGCACAGAAATATCGAGAATCGACCACTAGGCGTAGCCGGGACTCTGTAGCTGTACGTCTTTGTATGTGAGCGGGACGTGGCCCCCCCCCCCCCGGGCCCCGGCCCCCCCGCGGCTTTTCTATTTATAGAGCTATTTCCCCTTTTCCAAAATTTTCCGCGGCGCGTTTTCCTTAATTTTTTGTTCGCCCTGTATGTGAGATGCTTCCTTGCTGCGAAACGAATTGAGCAACGGCGAAATCGGGGTAGTGGGCGATGCATGGTTGTGCTTTGGATCGGCTATCGTAGCCCTGTCTCTCACCTCCTGACCCTCCCCAACGTGTGGGCCCATTCAGCCTGCTCCATCAACAGATGCTTGTGAACGATTTGTTAAAAAATTTTGTGCGGACTAAAGTTCTTTTCATAAAATTAATACGCTTATCTGGGTGGCATAGAAATTTGATTTCAGGTATTGCCGCATGTCCCTGGAAGAATTCATCGGGGCCGCAAAGGAGGGCGACATCGAGGCGCTCCGGGATTTTTGCGAGGTAAGCCCTTCGATCGGGCTAATTTTTACCTAGGTCCAATCAGGAAATCATTAAATTTGGGTCTATCCGCGATCACCAGTATCTCTTCTCTTTAGACGCAGGCGCACGACTCCTTACGGCAATTCTTCGGCCGTTTCGACGAACAAAAGCAGCCATTGGTCTTGGCAGCGCGCGGAGGCCAATTGGATGTCGTCAAATTTTTGGTAGCGGCTCTCAATCCTACTCAGAACTTTTCTTTTTCTAGGTATCCGTTGGGGACGACCCGTCGTGTCAGGGCACTGTAGATTTTGATGGAGAGACAATCCGTTAGTGCCATTATTTTTTCGAATGTTTGATTTAGATGGAGCACCTCCGCTTTGGGCAGCAGCGGCGGCTGGTTTTATGGACGTACGTTTGCATTCTGCGGCGTCACAACGCTTTTGCAGATCGTAAAGTATCTCGTTGAAGAGGCGAAGGTCGACATTAACCAGACAACTCACACGAATAGCACTCCACTACGAGGCGCTTGCTACGATGGTCATATCGAAATTGGTAATTCCACTTTACTTGTCCCCCATGGAACAATTTCTCAAGTTTTATTTTCTTTTCCTAAACAAAATTTCATTCCAGTGAAATACCTCATCGAGAATGGAGCGAATTTTGAAATTGCTAACCGACACGGCCACACCCCGCTGATGATCGCCTCTTATCGGAAGAAGAAAGACGTTGTCGAGTAAGAATCCTTTCCTTTCCGACTATTTGTTTAGATACTTGCTGAGCAAAGGCGCAAATCCGTTGGCTGCTAGCCGCAAGGGAAATACGGCTCTCCACGATGCGGCTGAGGCTTCTGCCGAGGACATTTGTGAACTACTGTTGCAGGTTGGAGGCATGGCGTTTGCAAGCAGTTTTCTTTTTCCAGGCCGGTGCCAAGCTGGCTACGGACGAGATCGGCGTCTGCCCCTTGATCAGCGCCGCGTTGCTGGGGCACGAGGAGGTGGGTTTTTGTATGGTTTCTTGCTGGCCTTTGCTCTAACATTATGACCGCCTGTTTTTTAGGTTGTGAACGTTCTGCTACCGCACTGTGATTCGCGCAGACGGCGACGTGATGCCGTCAAGCTCTTGGGAGCGACCTTTGTAAGTTTTCTTGTATTGTGGCTTGATACGTTTTATGCTTTGCAGATCGACAAACGCAGCGACTCGGCCAAAGCACTGCAGGCATGGGCGTTGGCATTGTCGATCGATCTTGGAGACGAGGAGGAAGCAGAGGTGAGGACGGGGACAAAAGACTGATATCAATATTTATTGCAACTCGTAGGGAGATAGGCATTAAGCTTCCAAAGGATTAGAACTCCACTCCCGAAGCCCACACGCCCACGACGGAAAAGATGGCGACTGGAAATGGAAAAATTTCATGTCCGGATTTTTTCCGCCGCATACCCATAATGACGGCGAGGGCGACGAACAGCGTCCATTTGCTGATGCGGAAGACGCGCTGGTCTCGCCTGAAATTTTAGCTGGAAGGAGGGCGGGATTGCATACTTGCTCCATCCGGAAGATTCGTTGTCAGACTTCTTGGTCGCATCGCTCATCGGGGCTGTGATAGCGGGGCCCCTGAATTGTGCTCACCACTCAAAGCATTATTTCTTCCCCCCCCCCCCTCCCCTTCTTTTTTTTTTTTTTTTTTTTTTTTTTTTTTTTTTTTTTTTTTTTTTTTTTTTTTTTTTAATTTTTTTTTTTTTTATTTTTTTTTTTTTTTAAATTTTTTTTTTCTTTTTAGTTTTTTTACCACTCAACGCATTATTTTGTTTACTTTTGATTTATTAAGTTGCTCATACGGATTCGATCGTGCTTAAAAATTTCGCGTTAATTTTCGTTAGAGATGCGTTCCATAATTTCGTGCGTCTTTTCTCCGCGCACTGAGGCTTTAGCCTATTCCGCCCGAACACGGTCAGGGGTTGTACCAACCGGTTTTCCCTTTCTTTTCAAGCGTAGTGCACTAGGACCGGGGCTTTTGAGACGACAACCTATGCCTATATCCTATCAGTATTTTACCTTATCTGGGCCCGGTTCAGCCCGGTTTTTTAGGCCCGGCCCTAGTGCACTACGCCGAAAAAACAACGGAACAAAAAAGGTAAAACCGGCCTGAAACCGCCCCGTTTTCGTGTGGTCGGGAGGAATATTCTAAAGCCTACCCAATGGGCGCATCCGGCTCAGGCATTCTAACCCCGTTCCAATTGCGCAGCGGAACCGTGATTGCTGAGCGATCCCTAGAACACGTGGCGTTGCTCATCCAAGTGCGCCTTGATGGGGTGGGATCTCATAGCTCTTATATTTTCTAGATATTTTTCTTTCGAAGATAATCATAATTGATCTTTTACTCTCTACGCTCCATGCTGGCCTACAGGGCTGTGAAGTATACCATAATCTTCGCCTGGTTCTTTAGAGTAATGGAAATTCATGCCATTTTAGTCGAAAAAAGTGGAAGAAAATAATTGAGGATAGGTCGAAGTGTGGCTAGGGTAGACTTTAGCCGTCAAAATCCGCAAGATTCCTACACGTTCACCCCCGGGCCAGCCAACGGCTTCTTCGTCTCATCGACTTGGTCGACTTGGGTGACGCTGAACGAAGAGTGTAAAAAAAAGCCGAGCAGGGCCCTTACTCGAGGCGCGTCTTGCTGAGGGTCGGGGCCATGGGAGCGGGTCCGACTGGCCCGGCCCCAGTAGTGCCCAGCGGCGGCGGAGGGGCCGCCGGCGGCATGTCGTTCGGGTTTCCAGCCATTGCCTCATACATTATGTTCGTTGTTTCTAAAAGAACTCGGATTCAATTGATTAGTGTATACTTACAAGTCCGTAACTGGAAAGCGCCAGGCAATTGTCCGAACAGTTGAGTAGTAAAATACTAGGGAACGTGCCGCTCGTTTTTGGTTAATAATCATAGGGAAATTCACAGTTTCCGCGGGGAATTATGCAACTTTTGGAATCAATTATCTATTAAAATTTGGGATTGCATTTCTCTGGTCGAAAATCCGTAGGAACTTTTAAGCTTCGAAAATAATGTGCTTTTTACAGCGACAAGCAGCTGAAAGCCGCGCCCAAACGGTCCCCGCGGTCTACGGCTACAAGGAAATCGAAACGGAACAAGATTGGCATAGAATGGTCGACGGAGTTGATCCCGATGTTTTCAAGATGCAGGTATACAACTGCCTCAGCTACTCTCTAATTCAAATTCAGGCATTGATCATCCGCGAGCGCATTTTGACGGGTGCCCACCAAGAAGTTCATTATTACTTGAGGTAGTTTCTTTTATATTTTTCATTTTTGTTTTCTTTAGGTATCGAGGAGCCGTTTATTGCGACTCCGGCCTGATGTCCCGCTGCTACGACCTTTGGCTGCACGCCCTCAATCTGCAGCAAAAGTATTTGCAGCCGCTCAACCAGCAGACGATGCAAACCCTGTTGGCGTTCCAGGTTCGTTGCGTTTTGTTGAAATAAATTCTCCTTAGGAAACCTTCACCCTGGTAATTGACGAACACACGAACGTACAGCCCGTCGCGAAGGAGCTCGGAGACCAGGTGGCGATCATCTATGAGAAGGCTGTCGATGAGATCGAACGAGTGAGTTTTCTTATTGATTTAAGCCAAAAGACGATCTTCTTCGCGCTTTAGCACCTCCCATTTTCAGCTTGTCGCCTGGGGATCGAAGCCACTGTTTGAAGAGTGTTCCGGTGAGGATCACGAGCACAATATCGACGAAGAAAAGGAAAATTTGCTCTTCATTATCCTGCAGCTGCTTTTCCTGGTAGCCTTTCGTATTTTCCCCCAATCTCGATCTTTAGGTACATCGCGCTGCCCTACCGCCCACCTACGTGACCGTCGAACGGGACGAAATTTTGGCCAAGGAGCGCGAGGCGTTCGTGGACGTGGAGCGCCTGGTCAACGTCTGCCGCGAAATTGGCCTCTTCCCGTTGCACCTGGCCTGCACATCGAATGAAAGCCAGGAACGGCGAGGTTTTAAGTGAGTTTTTGCTAATTTGGTATTTGCAGGGGACCTATTCCGCTTTTTGCTATCCCGGCGCTATATTTGATTAAAAAACTATAAAATACTATATTCCGAACAAACATGACGATTTTCAAGCAAAAAATTGTATTTTTAAGCATTTTTCGAAGTCTTCTAAAGGGTTTTCGGCTTAAGATTAGCTAAATTTTAGTAGAAATGGTATTAGAATATTTTCTGTTCCTTGACGCTTCGTATCTAGTCGTATAGGAAAAAATTCGGTCCCCCAATCTCTTCCCCCCTGGAAATACTAAAAAACCCGTTCTTGGACCAGTCCGATATTGTTTTTGTTTCATTAAAGCCCCCCCCCCCCCCCGGCCCCCCCCCCCCCCCGGCTTCCCAATTTTTTGGACCCGCACCCCTTAAACCCTTCCAGCGAATTCTACTCAATGTTCCCGCAACAATACGTCGTCGAACGGTTGGTGGAAGCCGGCGGCCGTTTGGATGAAGTAGACGGGCCCACCAGAGAAACGCCATTGCATCGGCTGATCACCAGCGACTCGTACCCCGACGGACAGTGAGTGATAACTAATAGATTTTTCTACGTTTTCCAGTTGGCAAATCGCGCGCTATCTACTGCAGCAAGGGGCGCCGGCTTTGGCTAGGAATGCTGACAATAAGACGTGCCTTGAGTTGATTCAGAAGCACATGACGCTGCTGTTGGAAAATTATAATGCCGGTGGGTGTTTGACTGGGTGAACGTTCATTTCGCCGATTTCTGCTGTTTTTTCCCTTTTCCTAAGGGTTTTTGTCGTTTCCTGAATTTGCATCGTAAAAATGCCATTCCTAGAGCAAAATTCGCGATTTGGCAGCACAAACATCGGAAAAATAAAAAACAGGTTAAAAATCGGCGAAATGAACGTAAATCGTTTGGCCGAAATGACCCTGCGGAAGGCTAGAATAATCCTTTCTTTTTAGGAAACCTGATCACCCTGGCCGGACTTGCAGCAAACGCCGTCCGACGGGCAGAAATCCCCTACGAGGAGCTGGTCCCGCACGAACTTTTGGCAATGATGAAGCTCCACTAAACACAGGCCATATTCCCCCGCATAATCCAGAATCCCCCGGCTAGTCATTGCCTTTTCCGAAATTGCGCTCGATTTCTCCTCGCTTACTATTCACCTTCTCTGGCCTGTCGAATTTGCTCAACTCTTCACACACCCCTAGCGGAAATCTTTGGACTTACGTTCATTTTTGCGAAAAGAATCATTTTGCCAGATTTCACGATGTCGGAATTTTTCGGTACTGTCGGCATTTTGCTATGTCGGCTTTTCGACTGCGCTAGAAGCGCCGGAAACTCGATTTTTTGCAAAAAAAATGATTTAGGAAAAATGAACGGAATTCACTCCATTGAGCCTTTGTCCGCGCATAACGTTGCGCATCATTTTCCCAGTTTCTCACGTCGTCCTTATCACCCGCACACCTCTCGCCTTGCGTCGAACATTGTGGGTAGCTGTTCCGCCCAAGGCTTCACCATTATACTGACGTCCCTGTTCAATACGCCTTTCGGTTTTACCCCCCGACTATACCGGTATGACCCCCCCCCCCGCTCTCCCACCTATCCGTGCACCAAATTCTAGCATCCCCACCCGCATATTTTTGCACCGCCTTCGCGATTCAGCGTCCCTCGCTAGTCACATCACGTTGTATATATCTTTTCTGTGAAAGAAAATATTTTTATTTCGCGTTTCGAGCTGAGGGGCATATGGATGCACTTACCAAGGGCACTTTGAAATTCAAGCCCGTAACGTGGACAACAGGGCGGCCAGTTGGTCATTGTTTGTTGAAGCGGAATCGATGTGACCGAACGGCGGGCTCCCCGGATGAAGGCGAGGAAGTGATGAGTAGGCAGGCAGAAGGCGTGCAGGATTACGACAATTAGGAAGACCAGAACAAGAGTTTTGGAGTGATGATGATTTTGCTCTGCAATCATCAGGGCTTTCGCGTTAGCGTGGGAGGAAAGCAGGTTTTTATTTGATCGCTACCTGTCTAGTAAAAAGATCTAAAATACTTTTATTATTATTTCTAAAAAACTTCGAATCAGAAAAATGTTATAAAGGCGGTGCAACCTTTGAAAATTGTTTTTTTTTCGATTTTTTGGTAATTTTTCTCACACTCCCTGACCAAAAGGTCAAAAGCTAGTCAAATTGCTCTAATTTTAGCAATTTGTTTCTATATTAAAAACAACATTAAATGCTAGAAAAGCGGGTTGTATTTACTTTTTAACACCCAGATACATATACTCCCAATTTTTTCCCATCTACCGCCGCTCACACGAGGGCTCCCGGGAATGCAACGAGAGCTTGAGGGCTAGGTAAGACCTTTTTTACTTCTGATTCCACTTAAAATTAGCGGAGAATCCAATTCGCTCGCGACCCTACTTCCACCCTAGGACAATCAGGGCAAATGATGCCGCCTTGTCCCCGGTCGGTCCCGGCAGCTGCGGGTCGACGTTTTTCCGTCGTTGCCCCGGGCAGCCCATCTCGGGGGAGGTGCGTGAAGCCCTGTATTCTCATTTCGCACCTAGACCGGCTTACATATCCGGATACATCCAACAAGAACCTTGATTCAAGCGTCTACGTTTTTATTTAGCTGTTTACTTCGCTGGGACCGCCCCGATTTGGTGTCATAAATTTTAATGAGTTCCAGCGGCGGTGCTACTGCCATGGCCAATGGAGGATATTGAGGAGTTTGATTTGAAACGGCTACCGATTTTATTCCTAATTTTGAATATAGATTAAACTCTATGAAAGAAAACCTACTATGTCTTCGATCGGTGCTTTTGCATCATCGGGGGACGAACTTTTCCTAGACGTCCAGACGGCAATGTGACGTAGCAATGTAACCTAATAATGTAATTGTATCATTTTAATAATGCTTTAATAGGGTTTTTGATAAAAAATTAGCCATATTCAAAATTCAAACTATTTAGAAACTTTGAAAATGTTTTTAAACCTTTAAAAGCTATGTTTATATTCGAAAAATTTGATCCTAAGGAGAAATAAGACGCCCTAAACACTAGAGAAGCACCGCCCCCCCACCCGATAATGCAAAAGAACCTGTAGGTTTTGTGAATCGCTCCAAATTCCCGCGGAAACCATTGTTTTCCGGTGCTGCCGGCGCGAAAGGCGATTTTCGCTGTATTTTGGTGCTTTTGAAGGATTACCCCTTTTTGAGCGGGTTTTAAAAAGAGTGCGAAGTCAACTGCCAAACTTCCCCAATTTTTTTGCAAGTTTCCTTTTCCTCCCGGAACTGTATGGATTTGAAGGGTACTTTTACAATATCGGGTGGAGCGGGAGCGAATCTTTTCGAATAGTTCAGAAATGCCTAATAACTTATTACAAACACATATTTTAATAGTGTTTTTTTAGTAAAACCAACCTATATTTCACGTGGAAAACAATCGAAAAAGATATAGAAAATTTGTTGAGCTGAAATTTTGTCGAAAATCAGCTTTTTTGAGTCGAAAATATCTTTTTTTATCTTTTTATGCTGAAATTTGCAATGTTTTACGTTTAAGAATGGTAAAAACAGCATAGAAACTATATATTAAAAAATTGTATCTATTTCACTTTTCCTTAGGAAATAAAAATAAGTCAAGAACAGAAAATAACTGTTTATATGAGAAAAATTCGGTCATTAGGAAATAATGCGAAAGATCCCTTTAAAGCAGATAATATGGAAAAGTCTCTAGAGTCTAACAATCCGCTCTATTCCTGCCACCCACAATTCCCTTTCAACGGCTGGCCCAGGTCAACGTTGAGTGCCAGCTGGGCCCTCACCTGTCCCCCTCCTCCACACTCCACCCCCTGCTAAATCATGCTCTAATTTGGGCGCGTATCCGGGCATTTTTAAGCCGACTGGGCCCCACGCGGGCCCCTGCGGGCACCAATTCTTCTAATTGGTGGCTTGTGGCCCGAGGTAGTGGTGGGCCCTAATGGTTTGCCCCTTTGCGGCTGGCTGGGCTGCTTGTGTAGCCGGCGGATTACCTGGCGCCAACCATGATTAGCCGATTCCGCGCTTTCCGCTAGCATCCGCATGACGTTTCTAAGTTTTGGGAAATTTCGATTATTTAACGGTCCTTTTGAATGACTTTCTCTATACTTCGCCAACCACCCCGGGTGGTACCACCCCTAGGGGTGGTTGGAGGGTGGGCGGGGATGGTTGGGGGTGGTCGTGGGGGTGGTGGTGTCAAGCATACACCCCCCCCCCCCTTACAAAATTCATGATTTGGCATAAAACTTTTGTCTTCCGGCTACATTGTCTTTGAGGGACCATATCTGACTCGAAAAAGCTTTTATTGCCAAATCATGAAAAAATTTTGTAAGGGGTGGGATGGGGTGGCTAATGCATGACCACCCCCCCCCCCTGACCACCCCCAACCACCCCCACGACCACCCCCAACCACCCCGCCCCACCCTCCAACCACCCCTAGGGGTGGTACCACCCTGGGTGGTTGGCGAAGTATAACTTTCTCTATCCTTTTCTTCCGAAATCACCGAGCCTGAAAACGTCGTATATTCCTAAATTCTGTACCCAAAAATGTCCTACCCCTACAAGCTTTAGCGTAGCTCTAACTATAAAAAATCCCGGCTTTTTAGCTAGCTTCCAGCATCACTTGGGTGCTTTTGCATTAACGGGGGGTTCGTTGTTTTTATATAAGCTCAGAACTACCTAGCAACGTAATAGTAATCATTTTAATAGTATTTTTAGTAAAAACTGTTTTTCACGTAGAAAACTACCACGATCAAAAATTAAAAAATTGGAGATTTCGCTGAAAATCTGCCATCTTTTAGCGGGATTTATATTTTTTTTTTGTAAATTTTTTTGGCCTGTAGGAATAGTGAAAAATGCTTAGAAACTTCCTCAGTTTATGTTTAAAAAATGGATTCTAACGAAAAAAATTGGTTTCGCCCTTATACACTCGCCCCCCCGATAATGCTAACGCACCGGGGAAAGAACCCTGCCCTTTCAGATGCCTGCTGAATGATATGCTTCATCTGCTCCATCCAACCGCCGATCCGGGCCCAGTGCTACTGTCAGCGCATCCGGTACGTACGGCTTCACACCAAAATCTGTATAAAAAAACTCGTACTGCTGCTGAAAATAGCGGGAATCCAGTCAAGTCGGTCTGGCAGTTACATCTTGCCTTTTTGGCCCGATTACCGTAGTCGATTAGACGGCAGCGGCGGCGATAATCCGCTCCCACACATGGGATTCTCACCCAGCACACCCCGCTACAACTTACAAATATTGCTAGCAGTTGGCGTGCTAGCTTCTGAAGTCTATGTATTTTATTTTTTTGCAGCTTGGTCTCGATCGCGTCAACGTCCCAGCTGGCCGTGCTGATGGATAGCGATCGGGTAAGCGGAAAGGAGAACCGCCCGGAGCCGCCCACGAAGCGCCACCGCTCAAAGTCTGAGCCCGCTATTCACACGGTCGATGCCGTGCCGTTTGGGAGGTAGGATTTTCTGATCCGGTTCTTTTGCATTATCGGGGGGTGTCGAATTTTTTATATCATAAGTCTAAAAATTCTACTGTTTGATCGAAAATAAAAAATAAATTTTTTAATTTTTTAACTGAAATTTATAACGTTTTGCCGTTTGGGAATAATCAATACAGTAAGAAATACTTCTCGTTTTTAATCAGACAAATTGTCTCATTAGAAAAAGCTAAATGAAAAAAGTAAAAAAAGCCCCCCGTAAATGCCAAAGAACCCCTTATTTTGGCGCCATTTTATGGACTATTACTTTGTATACCCTCTTTTCTTTCCAGACGCGTCAATTCTCTACGCACTGCCCGTCCACTGAAGCGGAAATCAGAAAAAGAAGCGCGCAGACCACCGATAAAAGTAGTTTTTTTTTGGTAATTCTGCATCAACGATTTTCTAAGATCTCGATCGTCTCGATCGGCTCTTCCGGTGAGGGCCCAATGGATCGTCGGGTGTCGGTCGAAGAGATTGTAAGCTATTTTTGCACTGTTTTCAATCCGGATTTTTATTTCCAGCGCATCGAGCATCGTGAAG